CGAAAACTGAATGATGTCCTTTTTTGATGTAATTTTATATCTGCAACATTAAAAGAGGTTTGAGAGTATTCTTGATCCTTTAAAATATTATATACGGAAAAGGTTTCACCCATTTTTAGAGGTATCCTTGTGCTCACTGATGTGTGCGTAAATAACTTACATGTAATAAAAATCCGTTATGGTCCCAGAGTGAGAGTTTTCTGTTTTCTTAATTAATTTCCCGCCGTGTTATTCTTGGCAGCATCCGTAGGCAAAGCAGCCAAAAGGGCCATTCCTTGATTGGCCACTGGTTTCCACCAAAAAGGTCGCTTAGGGTCACAGGCGGGTCAACAGAGTTGATCGCTGGGATGCTGGAACCCAAGGGCAAGGGTTGCACATCGAGTAGCCTAATCCAATTACATTGATTGACCGCGCCTAGTCGCGCGTAATGGAAAAGAAAAGTTTACTTTCAGCCCCTTTTTTTGTCCTTCCAAATTTTAAATGTTTATAATTAGGGAAATGGAAAGGAAAAACTGAAAAGAAAAAAAGAGAAAGAATATGGTTATAATTAGTTTTAAAGGGAAACAACTTCATTATAGTTTTTTTTTTTATCAATTAATATTGTAGGAAATCCGTCAGGAAAAGGGGATATTCATTAAGTTTCTAAACAGAAAATGGTTTGAAATGTATGATTGATTAATTTATTTATAAAGTATTTATTTTTATAAAGATTAAGGTAATATTTGTGGCATTATAATATAATATATATCTGCAAACATGCAATATAAACCATTTAAGGAAGCTAATTTTATTCCTTGGAGTATTCTTGACTTTTAATTAATAATTTCCTCAATAGACATACGATTTCCATTCAATATTATCAAGTGTTTGTGTTTGTTGTTGTATTATATAAGTAAAGTATGCAAAGGATCTATTCTTGAGGAGGGTTTTGCAGGGGACAAAAAAACAGATGGAGACGCCGACAGCTGTCCTTGGGGTGTTGCTGTTCCGTGACACCGTCACAGATTTTTCACTTCACCATTGTCTTGGCAACGCTTCCTTTTTGTCAATGTGCAGTTATGTCCTTCGGAGTCCTACTTCTTTTTTTCGTTGTTGTCGTCTTCCTCCTCCTGTTCTTTATATTCTATTCCTTTTTTTTGGCAGTGTGGCATGTGCCGCCGCTTTATTGTGTGCCAATTGGCATTGCAGCTGCCCGTCGCAAGGAGACGAGGTCCTTTTGTCAAACCTGAACTCGAGTCATTGTCAAAAAAGGAAGAAAAAAAATCCAGCAAAAATGCGCCAATTACGTTGCTCATTATCTTTGAGAGGAGGCAGGAATTATTGGAAGTGGAACTGGATCAAAAATCAGCTGCCAGAGCTTGGCGCTGACTTTTTTTTCTAAGATCCTTTTGTTGTCTAAACAACAGCAACAAAAAAAAAATGTCAAAATAAGCCTAATTCAATAATTGTTTAAAGGTAAATTGTATGTCTTTAGAACATATTTATATTAATAATAAAAGTGCCAATAAGCTATAGGAAAAATGTAGCTTATGGTGTTTGGAAACTTAAAAAAATTTAGTTAAATGTATAGTCTACGTTTTTGTTCAAATGTTTTATTCATTACTGAATAAGTTTTTGATTGTAAATCGAAATATCTATGACTATTAGCAAATCAGTGGCTTTTTACCTTTCGGATACCCACAAGAAAACTTAATATATTTGTAATCTAGATATATTAAATCAATATTTGTATACCCTTCCCAGAATACTGTAATTTTAGTTAGAAGCTTGAAACTAAGTGAAGGAATCATTTCCGACCCCATAAATCATATATATTCTTGATCAGCATCAAAAACCGAGTTGATCTAGCCATATCCGGTAGAAATTTTTTGTTTTCGAAATTTTGGTCAAAATTATTCCATAATTTTAGACATATTGAAATGGTCAAAAATTGATAAAACTTTAAATTTATTAAAATTACAAATTTAGTATGCAGATTTATTAACCTACTAAAAACTAGCATAGAACAGCTAACCGAATTAAAATTAATGATTTTTGGCTTAGTTATGGGTTTTTTAAATATTGATTTTTCGAAAAATTTTGCATGTAAAAATATAGGTAGTATCCATTAAAAAATGGTATTGTACCTTCAGTCGGAAGCTTCAAAAAACGAGAAGGAGTCATTTTCGACCCTATAAATTATATATATTCTTGATCAGTATCAACAGGCAAATCTTTCTAGCCATCTTCGGGCAAAAAAAAAATTTTGACAATATTTTCGGTATTTCTAAGGGGTTAAAATTGACCAAAAAGATCTCAAAAACTTCAATATTTTTTAATTTTAAATTGAGTATGCAGATTTATTACCCTAACAAAAACTAACATAGGAAAGCTTTCCGATTGGAAATTACTACATTTTTGGCAGATCTATGATGAATTAAAATATCTGATTCCTATAGATAGGTTTCTTTCTTGTTATAAGCAAATAATTTGGGGAAATCATATTTTTTTAAATACATAACTAACCCAAAAATTTATCAATTTCAATTCGGAAAACTTTTCTTTGCTATATTTTTTTAAAGCTAACAAATCTGCATATTTAGTTTATACTTTTTTAAAATTTAGTTTTTTTTGTCGAATTTTTAGCCAATTTTAACGATGTAGCCCCTTATAAAATTTTGAAAAAATTTTCAAAATTTATTTTTCAACCAGACAAGGCTAGATCGACTTGGCTGTTGATGCTGATCAAGAATAGAAATGATTTATTAGGTCGGAAATGACTCCATCATATTATTACAAGCTTTTAACTAAAATTATTAAACCATTCTTTGATGCAATATTTATCAATATTTTTATAAGAAATTTCACAAACAATCAAAGTTTAAAAATCTTATAATTAAGCCAAAAATGCATTTATTTTAATTCGGAAAGCTGTTCTATGCTAGTTTTAAGTAGATTAATAAATGTACATACTACATTTGTAATTCTAACCAATTTCCATTTTTATCAATTTTTGACCATTTCAATATGTCTAAAATTTGGGACAAATTTCGACCAAAATTTGGAAAACACAAAATTTCTGCCAAAAATAGCTAGATCGATTCGGCTGTTCATGCTGATCAAGAATATATATGGTTTATAGGGTCAGAAATAACGCCTTCACCAACTTTTTGTAAATAATAATAAAATAAATAATTCTAATACAATTATTTATAGAATATAACTTTTTTACAAAAACATTTGACAAAAAATATAACTAAACCATTTCCTGTTGGAAAAAATCAAATTTTCTGTTGACAAAGGGGTGTGTGCAAATGGCTTAATAATAAAGCCTCATTTTCCAGCTTTTCCCTGCTCGGCAAATGCTTATTAAGGGAATAAATCACAAGAAAAGCCTAGGCATTGCTCATTATTGCCTGGCTGTCTGCTTTCCAGCTGGCCTTCAACCCAACCACCCACCAGCTTAAAAAAATAAAAATAAAAAAACCGGGAAAAAGTTGACATTAATTTATTTAAATTTCCCTCCCATTGTATGCCCGGTACATAAACAGTTCATTAGGCGGCGAGAGGAGGAATATAACCAGTTTGTGAGGGACGGGACACTTGAAATTACGCTTAATTGGCGAAGAAACAATGCCAAGAAGAGGAGGGTTCTCCTCCTCGCGGGTGAAAAATGATAAGGAAAACTCCCTAATTACAAACAAGATTTCCATTTCCACCAAAGAACAAGAGGGGAGGTTGTTGTCGTCCCGCCTGGGAACCTGGGAAAACTCTTTGCTTTTTTTCGGGGCTTTCGGCGTTTTCGATATTAAAAATACTGTTGTCCCCCCATTATTATGATTATTTCTTCTTTTTTTATTAATAAATATTTGACATGGCATTTTCACTTAAGCCAGCAGGGAAATTGTAATCGAAATCCATTGTGTGCAAACAGGAGGTCGATCCGCAACCCTAAGCGGAAAATTTGTTTAAACAACTGAGCAAATATTAGAGAGAGAGAAGGAGAGTTTGAAATCCAAATCAAAAAATTTCCCTTTGGTAGGGGTAAGTTTTTTCCTTCTTTTTTACACATATTTTGGAAAATTTTCTCCCTCAAAAATTGGTGGAAATGAATTAAGTACACACATGACGAGCATGTTAAGCTGGCAATCAAAATACAAATAAAAAGGGGAACGGGAGGGCTCAATGGAAGCTATTGTTGTCCGAAAAAAAATTGAAGCACCTGAGTGACTTCCCTATATATAGTATATATATATATTTGCAACTATATATCCCCTGATGATCCCTTCAATCTGGGCTGTAAACTCCCAACTATTACCTTTAAATGGCATTTTCCAAATCAACGCACACGATGGACACACAAAAGGATTTTCGCCCTCAATTGCACAGCAATTTTGATTTGAAAATTTATATATACATAAATAACAAAATGAAAATAAATAAAATAAAGGCTAAATGGGCATTGCCAGAAATATTATCAAGTGCTGCTTAATTGTTGAAATAAGAAGGAGAATAAAGAAAAAAGGGGAATGTCAGCATTTTGTAGATCATTTTTCCCTAGCTGAAATATATCTATAAATGTCATAATTGAGATTTAATGCAAGCAAATAATTTATGGAAATATGTTTTTAAGGTATAAAAAAAAACATTTTTCGTTAATAAAACTTATATAAATTGTGCTTAAGTAATGCAAATTAATATATCTTACACATTCAAACAAGTAATAAAGTAGTTCTACGATTTTTAAGGACTCTACATGAAGGACTTGAGTTGGGAATCACAAAAGTATGCTATCAAATTTAAAGATGCTCAAGAAAAGGATAACATACTCCAGCAGAATTAGTTGCATACTTTTCGAAACCTTTAAATAATAAATAAATAATTAATTATTTTACATTTATACAAATTCCTCTGATATTCAACATCTAACTAAGTTAGAGATTTTTTCTAGACATTCATAAAAATTTCAAATCATAGAAGCCATAGCACAAACTGTTCTGAAATGTTTCAGTTTTTTTTTGTTTTTTAATAAATAGCATTCGTTAGCAATCATTCGAACGAACAAGTGTAACAAAAAATTCTAACAGCAAAACAATTTACAAAGAATACCTTTATTTTATATAATATGAAACGCAAGAACAGCAGCGGTGGAGGATTATATCCAAAGAAAGCCAAAATTGTAATAGGTAAGAGAGAGAGAACGATTTGTGTTTATATAGTATATATATTAGATCTAGGGACTGTCTTGCGCATATAGTTTTATGAATTATCTGTGTACTGTCCTTAAAACTTAACTGAAGCTAATATTAATGCTGATTTATGCTTATTAACCAAGATTTAACACGAAAGGGAAGCGAGTTTATGTTGAATTTCCTCTTATTTTAAGTTTTATCCCAATAACTTTAAAGCTGATAAAGAAAAAAGAAAGGAAAACAGTCTATTGATGCTGATCACTAATTACCTACATTCCTGAGTCGATTATTTAAGATATTCTTCTATAATTTAAACCATTTTCTATTCCCCTATATTCTTTATATCGACAAAAGACGATGAGTTCTTTAGCTTCAACTCAGAATCGTCTAGCGATGATTTGAGCGTTAAGCCCGCCCAGATCCACTTGCCAGTGGAGGCAGCTGTCCATGAGGACCAGAGTGTGTCAAGTGCCGAGGTGCTGGTGCTGCTCCCAGAACGTGATGGAGAGGAATCCGAAACGGATACAGATACAATGGAACCACCAATTCAGCATGAAAGCTCCAAGGAAACCGTGACAGCTTCACCGGCATGCTCCACAATGTCATACGGACAGGAGGATGCTGACGACGATGATAATGCCGATGAGGATGATAACAATGATAATGCTTACGTCGAAGATGACGGGGGAAATGTCGATGACAATGATGACATAGATGATGCCGACGATGTCGAAGATGTCGAGAACGTCGAGGATAATGGGACTAACCAGTTTAGTGTGGATTATGATTCGGACTTTATGCAAAAGGAGAGTCCCGGACAGTACAAATTCGGTGGCTATCATCCAGTCTCAGTGGGCGATGTCTTTAAAGATCGTTACTATGCCATCCACAAGCTTGGCTGGGGTCACTTCTCCGTCGTCTGGATGTGCTTCGATAGCGTGCTGGAACGCTATTGTGCCATCAAGATGGTCAAGTCGGCCGATCACTTCACAGAGACGGCCCGGGATGAGATCGAGATTCTAAATTTCATTGCTGTCAGCCGATGGCATCCATTGCGTGATCGCATTGTCCAGTTCACCGATCACTTCAGTGTGAGCGGCACTCATGGCACACATCTGTGCCTGGTCTTTGAGATTCTGGGTGACACCCTTCTCAAATTGATCCAACGCTCCCGTTACCAGGGTCTTCCGATACGTAATGTCAAGCAGATAGCCGTCCAGGTGCTGGAGGGTCTCTACTATATCCACAAACATTGCAGCATCATTCATACCGATCTAAAGCCCGAGAATGTTCTGATGGAGGCCAATGATTTGGCCATACGGACCCAGGCCACACGCGTTGTGACCGCCTTCTTCGAGGCCAATGCTCATCTTCTCAAGCCCAGGTAAGTGAAAGTATATATGAATGGGATAAGGTATCCCTTTGATTTCCATCTCAAATCGTATCATAGAAAACCCAATGGTGGCATGGCTGCTGCCCATCGTTCTAATAGCTTTCTATTTCCGGAGGACTATGGCTGTGGAATAGCTCGTTCCACTGCTAATGCCGAAAAACAGAGCACAGGTGGATGCACCGCCAAAAGCTCCACCAAGAGCTCCACAAACTCCACCACGAAGAACACACTGAAGAGCGTTCCGGCGGCAACCAAACTGACCAAGACCGCCAAGCGCAAATTACGGGCTCGAGCCAAGCGCAATATGAGCTTCTTCCTGGAGCACCGTCAGTGGTTGCGCCAGCAAGCCATTGACGATCTCCTGATACTGGCCCAGAATAATTATCTAACGCCATCTCTGGCCGCCCGTGCAGTCACCGGCAAGCTTCCCTTTATGCCCGCCATTGATGGCATAGTGTTCCTTAACGACCGGGACCTTGAGCAAGTGGAACAATTGGAGGAGATGGATGGTAGGAAAACTGGTAGATGGAGTCCGGAATTCAAGCTGGAGCAGCCCCGGTATATGGGAAGGAAATTGCCAAAGGGACATTACTCAGAAGCTGTGCGTATGCTATTCAATAATCCATTAGAGTTTATATGGCATGTCCAGCGAAGGACCAGGGAGTTGGATAAGGAGGAGCGAGAGCGTTACAAGCTGGGCAAGGTGGTGACACCTCGCGGCAGGAAGATTAAGCAGCAGGGCAGCAGCAGCTGCAGCGGTTTAGCCAAAATGATGAAGATGGTGTACGATGATGACGCACGAAAGGTAGTAATTAATATGATATTAATATAATAATAATTATATCAAAATAATATAATCTTTACTCACCTGTGTCTGCCCTTAGACAAAGCGTCGCAGCTGCTTGCCTAATTTGGATATCATTGCGCGCAAGGATCCCTCTGTGGAGTATTGTCCGGTGAAGGTAAAGATTGCGGATATGGGCAATGCCTGCTGGTTCGACCATCATTTCACCGATGACATTCAGACGCGTGAATATCGCGCTCCGGAGGTTATTCTGGGTGCCGGTTACAACGAAAAGGCGGATATCTGGAGTGCCGCCTGTCTCTTTTGGGAGCTGGCCACCGGTGATTATCTATTCAATCCCCAGGAGGGTCACGGCCGGGCCACATTGGATGAAACGCATATAGCGAGCATTATTGAGACATGCGGCGCCATACCAAAGGAACTGATTGCCACAGGTAGCATTGGGCATAATTTCCTTCGTTCAAATGGCACACTGCGCCACATTGGCAACCTCCAGGAGCGTTCCCTGAGCGTTGTTCTCGTCACCAAGTACAGTTGGTCCACCAGCGATGCCCTGCAGTTTGAGTCGTTCTTGAAGCCCATGCTGGACACGGATCCGCGCAAGCGATCCTCCGCCTTGAATGCCACAATGCACTCTTGGCTAATGGAGAAGGATTCGGTGTCGTCATACGAGAACGAGAGCAAGGAGGAACGCCATGGACACTGGTCGATGTATTACCACAAGGAAACAAAGCATGAGGGCACACCCGATCCGCGAGCCTCCACTGGCCCAAAATAAGATCGCGTTTCACGTTATTTCTCTGTTTCTTGTTGAAATTCAAGTTAAAAGTGTACACCGGCCGGCAGACTTGCGTGATTTGCAACACAGTTGTGTCCATCCACGCACCATAAATTCACGTCTGCCACTGGCTCACGTATTCTCGCACAGGTGTTTTGTAACTAATTTTTCCATCCTTTTCTCAAATTTTAACTGTACTTTCATCGATGCATACAAAATGTTCGAAGCCACGCACACACGCACACGAACACGCACCGACGACAGAGGAGCGGAGCCCCAGGGCGCTGCTGACCGGCAATTCGGCGCACAAAACTAACGCATCGAAAACGCGGTTCCCGATTGCTGATCTTGCCGTTCCTTCATAGTCTATCGCCTCGTTTCCACACTCTGCAATGATTTCGGCCACTTTTGTTAACGCAAACAACTATGTAACTATTAAAAGTTCACTTTTCCTTATTGGACACTTTTTCTTTCACGCGATCATTTATAACTGTAAATAACGCCATTTCCCATGGTGTTCGTTTTCCAACACTTGTCTTAAATTCGAAAATAATCGATTGCAAAATGATCGACATTGTTAAATTTAGTTATTTTGCTGCAAGTAAATGAATTATAATAAATAAATGGGAATTATTATTAATTTTTAATTACCAGCGAGGTAACGTTGAAATTCAATGCCAAAAACAGCTGCAAGCTTTGCGGAAAAATAGCTAAGATATCGCCACCTGTTCGAAGCAGCTGCTAAGATATCGCCACCTGTTTGAAACAGCTGATGCCTTGCTGTGTCCATCCCTGGAACTTGAAGAAACGGTGTGAAATCGCGCGCTGTTTTTGCACTATTTGTTTTTATGTCAAAGTCCAGTTCTGGCGCTCAGTGCGTCCCATTAAATAATTGTCCATAATTGTCGTCTTGGTGATACATCGCAAATCCTATTTGCCGTGCCCAAAAGCACCGCTTGTTGGCGATCTATTTGTGAGTGGAATTTTTGAAGCTGTGCGCTGCTGCAAGTGACAAGTTTGTTGTTTGTTTGTCTCCGTTTGTTATGTAAAAAGCTAGACGAGCGCGCATAAATTGTCTGGCGCGTTGATAACAGCAGCAGTCGACGCAACGCAGCTTGATAAACATTCTCTCGGTTCGTACACACCAAAAACAAAAAACAACGAGAGAGCCCATGCGGAAACGTTTCGAAAACACACACACTGGCACCCGCCGCCCACACTTGAACTGTCAAGAACAGAACCCGAAGCGTAACAGCGCCTTTATCGCTTATCTTGCGCCAGCAAATAGATAGTGGGGCTATATACTCCTCCTTCTTATCCACCTGCCCGTCGGATTTGCATCGATGTTTGGAGCCGTACGGCATTTTCAATCTGTCTATTTTTCTACTTCGTTTCACGCACACGCACACACATAAGGCAGGCCCAGGGATTGACTTCGCCACGAACTCTGGAAATACCTCCTCCGATCTCCGGTTCGACGCCAACGTGGTCGAACCTCTGCCATTGTCGTCGTCGTCATCGTCGTCGTCGCCTTTGAGTTGCGCAATTATTTAATGTTGGCCGCAGGTCTTGTGAGTCGCAGAAACGTTCTAACCCTGCCGGCGTTCAATTCATGGAGGACGCTCCTCCGGACCGCTAGACACCGTTCATCATCAACGGCATCACTGCAACCGGAACTAAGGACATTGGCAAAAGACAACAGCAACGGCCACAGGCACAGCGGCTGATAACAAGGGGGTAAGTGGCAGAGGCTTTCATTTAAACCCAATTGCAGTCATTCTCTTGAAGCTTCAAGGTCATGGAAACTCCAGCGGATGTCTTCCGCGGCGTTACGGATCGCTTTGCCGGCGTCACAGTGGATGGACGCGAAGAGAAATTGGACAAGACCTGCAGCTTCAGGGATAAACTAGAAAGTGAGTATGAGTATCTAATTCTATATATATTAAACTCACCCTTGAAATCCACAGAATCTCTGGATTTCTGGACGGCAAACAAGAATCGCGCGATTTGGTTCCGTGTGTATAAAGAGCAGGCCGACTGGGTACCCGTGCTGGCGGAGAATGGCTTCGATTTCCATCATGCCCGCACCGGAGAGGTTGTCATGTACCGCTGGCTGCCGCAAGACGAGTCCAGCAATCTGCCCAACTATGCCCACACGCTCATGGGCGTCGGCGGTTTGGTGATTAACGAGAAGGACGAGGTCCTGGTGGTTTCCGATCGATATGCAATGATACCCAATAGCTGGAAGCTGCCAGGCGGCTACGTAGAGCCGCGGGAGAATCTCATCGATGCGGCGATGCGCGAGGTGGCCGAGGAGACGGGCATTCGCACCGAGTTCCGTTCGGTGGTCAGCCTCCGGCATGCACACGGCGGCAGCTTCGGCTGCTCCGATCTGTATGTTGTGGTGGGCCTGAAGCCCCTCAATTTGGACTTTACGCGATGCGAGCGTGAAATCGCCAAGCTCCAGTGGATGCCTGTGGCCGAGTTTCTGGAGCATCCGCAGGTGCATCAGACCAACAGACAGTTTGTACGCACATTTCTGGACTATCAGGAACGGGGGCTGACCATAACCTGTCGCGACGATGTCCACCAGGTGCTCAAGAAGAAGTACAACCTGTATTATGTGGAGCAGCAGGGGAAACAGGAGGAGCCCAACAAGGCGTGAGATTGTTTATTTCAGTGGCCAAAATCATAGTGCAATTTTTTTATTAGGTCAGCAGCACAACTTTTATGTTTATACTTTAGTTAAATAAATGCTATTTTTTATTATATGTATGTGTTTTTTAGTTTTTCTTTTAGTTTTCAATTGTACATAGTTTGTTATTTGTTTCGGCGATGTTTCGTAGTTAAAATAGTAAAAAAAACATATGTTTTAAGGCGCTGTCTTATACAAAAAACCATACAAAATTTGTGCCGTGACAAAACACTAAATGTTTTATTAAAATTTTAAATGTAGACTAGTTAAACCCATAACCATTTGCTCCCCCTAAATGTGTCTATTATTTAGATTTTTAGGATGGTAAATAATTACCTTAATTACTTAATTAAAATTTGTGTTTATTGTTCAATAATGTGTCTGCGTTTTGAAGGCACTTAATTTGAGAATTGCTTAAAAAGGGACAATACAAAAGATTTAATAAAGAAGAATACCTCTGAAAAATAGTAATTTTAAATAATGTTAAAGAATAGTTACTTAGAAATAATATTTATAGCTTAAGTGACAAAACAAAAAGAATTTAAATGAAATATGTAAGTTTTACCTAAACTTAATGATTTAAAAATAATCAAGTTAAGTAAAAACTATTAGATAAGTTCAAAGAATGAATTTTTTTTAACAAACGAAAGTTAAGACACTCTTCCAGTCCAATATTCTGAATAAAGTAATATATTTAATTAACCAAAGAAGACTTTATTTATTATTCAAATCTTTTTTATATATTTTATACTCTCAACTAGTGCACTCTGCATATTTATTTAAATCATCAACAACATGCTTACAATATCATCTTTTGATAATATTACAGTTAAAATCTAATTGCTTTATTTAAGAAATCGAAAAAAAAAATGTATGATAAATATGTATCGGCAGTTCCTTTGGAAGCTTTACCAGCTTTATTCCATCAAATAAATCCAACATCGCACAGCATCTACATGATCTAAGATGATCCTACAGCAGTTCCCCAACCAAAGGACCTGGTCAGGCAGCTCAACACTGGGTAAGACCAAGTTAAAGCTTGGGAAAATAAAAGATTAACAACCATTCCTAGAGACCGGTGAGCTCGGAGAGCGGCCAGATGCGGCAGAGCACGCGGCTGCGGATGAGGCCGATGGGTATGGGTCCATAGTAGCGGGAGTCGGAGCTATTGGCCTTGTTGTCGCCTTCAATCCAAACGTAGCCACGCGGCACATAGTCTCTCACCATTAAGGGCTTTGGCTTGCCGACGGCTCCATCGCCTCCGGCGCCACTCTCAGCACTTAACTCGTTCTCGATGGGATGCGGCTTCTGGGTGAGCACCGGGTCCCCGGAAACGGCTACGATCCGCTTGCAAATATACTGGCCGGCGTTGATCGGTGAAATGGCAATGATGATGTCGCCGGGACGGTAGGTCCGCCAGTGCTTCGACAGGCGTTCGGTGAGCAGAACATTGTCCGAGTATAGAGTGGGCTCCATAGAGGGTCCCTTGCACTGGCACACAGGAGAAGATAAAAGATAGGACAATCAGCGATACAGAAGCCATTAGAGAGGCTACTCTTACCAGGACAAAGTCACCGATGTACTCGAAGGTGCAGTGTGTCACGGCAGCGTAGGCCACCGCGTAGCGCACTAGGCGGCCCAGACGAGCAAGGACCTGCATGGCAATCCCTCAGCGCCTCAGGGCATTGCCCGTGTCCTTATCCTGGTCCAAATAAAGGGCAAAATGCCGAGAGATCCTCGTGAATGTTTATTGTTGTGTAAAATCCGGCCCAGGGCTGCACTGCTCCACCTGTTCGTCAGCTGACCGGCCAACCGTTTAAAGAAGAGGAAGAAGGTAACCAATTTGGCGCGTAATTCAAACTGCTGGGATGAGTGGACCGCGAAAGGGAGAGCTTATTTCTCCCATTCATTGATAAATTTTGACTAGAAATTTCGGGCCTAGTTGGTTCCAAAAAAAAGAAACTCGAAAACTTTCGGCAAACATTTTGAAATCGATATTTATCCGTGATTTTTATATGACAATTTTATCTATAAATCAAAGCTTAAAAATCGCATAACTCAGCCAAGAAGGCGTTAATTTTCATTTGGAAAGCGGCCCAATGTTATTTTTTATATGGTTAATAAATCTGCATACTCATTTAAAATATTTTTTTTAATTAATTTTTTGCCATGAAATTTTTTTGATGAAAAATATTGAAAAAATTTTCAAAATTAATTTTTCCACCAGACATGGCTAAATCGACTCGGCTTTTGATGCCGATCAATAATATATATGATTTATAGGGTCGGAAATGACTCCTTCATTGATTTTTAAGCTTCTGACTAAAATTATAATACCCTGCAATGAGCTTATGCTCCCAATTTCAAGTAAACTTACTTTTATATAAATATATAAATAAATTAATTAAATATGTCACATTAACACATCCATTTCCATTTTATTTTTCTGCAGGTCTCCAATTACATTTGTTTTTGGTTATGCTTACGATTAGAAATACACATTAGTTACATTGAGAGAGTTGCGTCTGACAATTGCTGGTAGGAAGGTCTTGAATCGAACAAAATGAGATATATATCCTGGAAATATACACGCCGACTCTGCCCTGTATACAGCCTGTGTATATACATGTGTGTATATATAAATATATATGTAAAATATATAATGTGTAAGCGTCACGTCACAGAAATGTATTTAAACTAAAGGCAAAATAAATATATATGCAACAGTTACGGGCTACGGGCTACAATCTAAGACTATTCAAATTCATCTCTGTGTTTTCTGGAACGAATCGCTTAAATTTCTTCGATTTTTGATTCAAAATAATTGCTGCATTCCGTAAATAACTAAAAAAAATAAAGAAATACAAAATAAGGTCAACAATCCTTGCAATAGCGCATAAAAATAATTTAAATTCTACTAACACACACGTCCTATTTGGTTGCCTAATGCCCTTCATATACATAATCATGCATCTCATCCGATCTGATTTGATCTCTGTTCTCTTCGTCCTCTCTTAAGGTTTCATTTTCAGTTTTGGAATCAAAATTTGTTTCGCTGGAAGTTTGAAGATTTTACTCCAGTTTCTTGCCGGTGGCGGCCCCCGACTCCGCCTTCTGTCGCTTCTCCTGCCGCTCACGGACATCCACGGCAGCCAGATCGATGCCCGCCACATAGGCGTGCATCACCGAGATCAGAGCCTTGAGAACGGCAAAGGGGCCCGTGAGGAAGGCGAGTATCTTGAAGAGCGAGGCTCCAAATACTGCAAACGTAACGAAATCGATTAGTTTACTTGGGAATAGGCGTAAGAAGCTCTATAGACTTACTCAGCGGTCCGTAAGTGAAATGCAAGAGATACAAGCACACGTAGAACAGCTCATTGACGCAGCACATAAAGGTGAGTATGTCCTTCTGATAGTACAGTCGCATTATAAAATTCTCGTTGACCTTGTGCGAGCTGCGACCAACCACAACGCTCCTGCCAGGAGGACACCATCACAGTAGAGAAGAAGAAACACATTAATTAATTATCCAAAAGAGGACCCCGCCCTATACCTACGTCTGCATGAAGAGCCAATGGCAGGCCACATCAATGGCAATGGACAGCTGGAACCAGAACATGTATTGGGGATAGAAGTAGGCCAGGGTGACCAGGAGGCCAGTGGTGCCGCATCTATCGGTCAACTGGTCCAGCATGGCCCCAAAACGAGTACCTAGACAGAGGAAGAGAGAGAAGGAAGCATTAGCAGTCTAGATAACATCAAAACACCTAAACTATTCCTGCATTTTCGTATAATTGCAGGGACTACGTCATCGGTGGGCCCTCCAACCAGCCGTGACCATATCGGGGCCCACTATTTGTTGAATATATGTATATATCGGCAGATAACAAGCGGTAAAGCGACTCAGGCCATGGACAGGTGTTTGATTCGGCGCACGTATGCGGGCAAAGTGCGATCAGATAGACAATTGGGGAGGGTGGAAATCGTTGCTGTTCTTACTCTGATTGAAGGCCCGGGCGGCGTGTCCATCGACGGCGTCCAGCAGGGCGGAGGTTACATAACACCAGCCGGAGATCACATAGTTGGTGGACATGAACCAGAAGGCGATCAGGGCCAAGACGATGCGGGCATAGCCTGTGGAATGTCGACATACAACAAAAAATCAATTAGAAACATCGATAACGGAGGAGGAGGAGGATGAGAAAGGGGAGGAGGGGTTCTTGCCGGGGTGGCGCTTGCCCCTGAACCTGACTGGGGCTTCCAGTTTGTCACTTTACCAGGAGAAACGCGCCCCCTCTCTTGCTGCCGCCACCCAACTAATCCAATTAGCAAAACGCAAAAGTATGTGTATATGTGGCCCATAAATCAAAATATTCGATTTGTTTACCCCCGGAATCCATCCGAAAAAAAAAACAACAAAAATAACAATAAGAACAAGAACTCACCGATCAAATTTGGCACAAAAATGAAAACGTTGTCATGCTCGGCTATGGCCATGTTGCGTCCTGTGTCGCTGCTGCCTCCGGTGTATCTTCTGTATATGTGGTTAACAGGGGTCCTTATTCTTAAATTCCGCCTTTAAAGTTTGCTGAATTTCCGGAATGTGAGCGCTGCTCCAAAAAATTGCGACCTTTTTTTGCGATGTATCTGTGCCAGTGTGACCAGCACGACAGAAAGCGACAGAAGTGCGACCAGACTGTTTGAAAGTGTTGACTTTGAAAAAAATACTAGGGGAACTCTTTTAAATATAAATTTGTTATTGATATTGCTATATATAAATGAACAATTGTTAAATATATGTAATTTGTAAATATTTATTATTAATTTAATATTTATTTGATTTTACAATGTGGAGTTAATTGTGTTGGTGTTTCACATTTCAGTCACATATAAGTGGTGGTATTCGGGAAATTTTATATGAGGAATTCAAAAACAAATAAAAAAAAATTGCTGCTTCTGTATATTTTATCATAGTTGATTTTAACTGGTTTGAGGTTGTTATTAAAATAATGTTGGTTCAATTTAACTTGAATCAGTTAAAATAGTTACAAGAACTACCCTAGTGCCGCATATGAAATCATATAAATTTTTCTCAAATATCCCCTTAAATTAATTTAAATATATTTCGCAATCTAAAATTAAGCCAAATTTCGCTGTATGTTCTGTATGTATGTTTTTATTAGTAACGAAAATGTAATTCTAAAAAAAAACGAATTGGAATATATAAGCTTCCGGGGATAGTGTGACGCTGGTAATTTTCGAGCTTTTACCATCTGGTCACACTCGACCTAGCCCAATAAACAAAACAACAACTTTTACATTTTCCACAACTTACCTTGAAGAATACAAAGAAACAGCTTGGCATATAGGAATATTCAACTATTTGCCGCATCCCGGGCTTCGGCAAGAGTGTGGAACCACTGCGAACGCCAAGATGGAGCAAGCGGCTGGGGCAGTGAGTGCCAGTTTAGAGCAATACCTGCGAGCTTCCAGCAAGATCAAAAAGTTCGAGCGGGCCGGCTTCTTCAAGTGAGTATCCAGGACAAGGGAGAATGAAGCATCCACCATGAACCTCCAGATTGTTAATCCGTTGCATTCCATATCCCGATCCTCAGACGCTTTGCGCCAAGCGTGGGTGACGTTCAGGCGGACTTCCAGCGGCTGGCCTACAGCTTCGAGGAGGCGGGCATCCTACAGTACGCGGCCATGTGTCATATCGGCTATGCCAAGTGCGAGTCCTATGGCGGAGCACCGCAACGCGAGTCGGAGGCCTATTTGCGAGCAGCCCGATCCTTCCTGCGGGCCCACAACGAGACCGGGCGACTGCATCTGCGCACCCGGCACTCCGGTTTCCGGGAGGGAGCGCTTCACTGCTACCATCGGGCCGCCGAGCGGGCCGTTGACGGCTGTGTCTTCAAGGCGGCCATTCTGCGAGAACTGAAGCAGCTGCAGCGGCAGCTGGATAGCACCAGCAGCTTTGCCTCGCCCACCCATCAGATTCACGATCTGGAAACCAGCGCCGAGGCGTGCGGACAGCGGGGTGACTATCGGAGCGCCCTGCAGCACTACGACGACATTGTGGACAATGTGTATGAGCGACGCGGAGCACGCATGTATGGCGAGTTGCTGCGACGTGTTGAGGTGCTGCGATTGCTGCTCCTGGTTCACCTGAATCTACCGCCCGCCCGCCAGTCGCCCGCGCACATCAAGCTGATCGAGCACTACTACAGCTTGGCTCAGTTCGAGTCGTGTTCCACCAGTGCCGACGGACTGGACGATGGTGGACGGTCGGTGGAGCGACCAGGTGCCTTTGTGCCACCACAGCAGCAGTATGCGTTGGCAGAGATTGCGTGCGCCTGGGTGGAGCGGAAAATGTGCGACCTGAAGCATCTGCTACGTGATTTTGCCACCGAATTTGGGGCCCTCAGCGAGGCGGAACGGCAGCTGCTCCGAGTCATGCACGCGGACCTGGCCAGGAGCTACTAGACGGGCGCACATATGTACATCCAAATGTATGACAACCACTGACCATGAAATTCCGTGTAACTATCGCTAAATGTAACCAAGTCTACCAACTAACTAACCTTTGAATGTGCCTACGCGCAAGAGAAAACAAATAACTTACAAAAAAAGACGAGTATAATTAACGAAATCGAAGAGAATGTGAAGAGTGAAAGCGCAATAAATGAAACGAAGAGGGAACCATGTACGCAATAAAGAATGTTTAAAATCGAATAAAGTCGAGGTTTTTCAATATTTGAGGGACCAACATTTTAAGCCTTTCAAATAATTAAATTAATTACGTTTTTATTTAAAAAGGATTCCCATACCCCGCTAACAACCTTTTAATAAGCAATACTGCACACAAAATCCGGTTTGGTCATTTAATTTGTTTATTATTTTGTATTACCTTTGTCAAGCAACTCTTTGTTTCTCAATTAAGTTATCTAATTAATACGATATTTTGGCTCTGCACTTGTGTTACAATTCCAATTTGTTCAATTATAACCTATCATAATATCATCCGTGTGTGCTCCATTCATGGTACATACAATAACATGCATATATATGTATATTCCTTGTAATATCCAGATTTTATCGTTCTCGTTCTATATAAATATTGAATATTGAATTTCTGTCTAGGCACACACACACACGACGCGCGTCTCCTGGGAGGGCAGTTGTTATAGCGAACATTTTCAGAACGTTTTCAATTATTATATTATTGTATTGTAGCTTTAATTGTTTATATATATGTGTGTATATATATATATATATGTATAAGGCGTAAATAAATTACAAAAAAATAAAATATACTTTTTATATTTATGTTTTTATATATGTATGAAACCTAGCGAAGAATTAAACGAAATTACATAAGCGCAAGATCACAAGCTGTTTGTAGTTGTTTGTTTGTTGGTTGGTTTGTTGATAGTTCCTCCTGTTGCTTCCATAACTATTATATTATATATATATATATGTATATACCTTTAATTTGTTTATTTTGTTTAATTCGACACATAAAAAGAAAAAAATTCAGCTAAAATTTGTGTGTGTTCTCCCCTGTGTGGTTGTTGGTTGCTTTTGTTTATTGTTTTGTGGATGCTATTACTGCGTAATTTGGTGAAAACTCAAGACTAATTTCAACAGTAAGTAATACGACGGGGACAGGGGCATGGGGCAGGGGGCAGGGGGCAGGGGGCAGGGGGTTTGGATCGATGATAGTTGCCTGAATGTCTCTCTGTGTGTTTTGTTGGGTGTGTGTATGCTGTTTGTGTGTTGTGCAGGTTTGTGTGTGGTGTGAGCCTGGTAACTAACTCTAGGATAGCATCTACTTTCCCGCCTTGGCCTTCTTCTCGTTCTCGGAGGTGATCTTGTTCTTCAAATGATCCTTGTAGTCCAGAATGCCGCCCTTCCACTTGGTCACCGTCTCCTTCTCGCACACCCAAATCTCCTCGGCCACCTGAAACGATTTGTTTGTTATTCAAGTTATTCACGGTACATCAAAACAAGTTCGATATAATATTAATTTATAGCAGTATTAATACATCGTCATTATATGCTATAGATCATCTGAAACTCACCTGATTAATCAGACGGAAATCGTGACTAACTAGCACCATGCCGCCATCAAAATCATTAATCGCATCGGCGAGGGCATCGATCGTCTCCATATCCAAGTGATTGGTCGGCTCATCAAGCAGCAGCAGATGCGGCACCTGCCAGGCCAGCCAGGCGAACACGACGCGACACCTTTGGCCATCGGACAGCTGACGGATGGGACAGACCTGTTGGCGTCCGGTAAGACCATAGCGACCAATTATCTTGCGCATCTCCTCCTTCTCCTTGACATCGGGAAAGGCGCGCATCATGTACTCCAGCGGACTGGCGTCCAGATCAAGCAGTTCGTGCAGATGCTGGTGATAGCGGGCGATACGCAAATGCGAATTCTTGCGTATCATACCGGAGGTGGGCACCAGATCGCCATAAAGCAACTTAAGCAGCGTGGATTTGCCAGCTCCATTGGGTCCCACAAGGGCTAGACGTGTGTCCAGATCGATACCAAACTCCAGATTCTTGTAGATCCAGGGCGTTTCATCGTTATAACGGAAATTCACATTCTGCAAATGAAATTATGATTTGATTTCCCCGACGAGAGAAGATTGAAATGCCATATCTAACCTGCACCATGATCACAGGCGGCGGCACCTTGCCGCACGAGGGGAAGTAGAAGTTAAGCACCTTGTCGTCCGACACCTTCTCTGTCAGACCCTGGGCAACCATCTTGGCCAGTGTCTTCTCCTTGGACTGAGCCTGTCGCGCCAGCTTGGCGGAACCGTGACCAAATCGGGCAATATAGTTCTTCATGTGCGAAATCTGATCCTGCTCCCAGTTGTACTGCTTCATCTGGTTCTCCAGCAGCTCCATGCGGGTACGCACAAAGGCCTCATAGTTACCCGTGTAGTATTTGAGGCGCTTGCTCGTCAGATGAATGATGTTCGTGCAGACACCGTTGAGGAAATCTTGCGAGTGCGAAATGAGCACCAGGATGCGCTTGTATGTCTTAAGCTCCTCCTCCAGCCACACGCAAGCGTCCAGATCCAAGTGATTCGTCGGCTCGTCCAGCAACAGCAGATGGGGCTTTACGAATAGGGCTCGGGCCAGGGCAATGCGCATCCGCCAGCCGCCAGAGAAGTCCTTGGCCTGTTTCTGTTGCATGGCCTTGTCGAAGCCCAGACCGTGCAGGATGCGGGCAGCCTTGACCTCGGCCAGATCGGCGGACATATCGTCAAGCCGCTCATAGATATCGATCAGCTGCTCCTGCGCATCGTCCTCCTCGCTCATGGCCAGCTCCTCGGCCAGCTTCTCCAGCTTAATACGCTCCTCGTCCACCTCCATGACGCACTGCAGGGCGCTCTTCGAGCTGGCCGGTATCTCGCGCGTCAAATGGAAGATGTCGATGTGCGGCGGTATGGGCACCTCGCGTCCACCGAGCACCGCCAACAGCGATGATTTACCGCATCCGTTCAGACCGATTAGACCGTATCGCCGACCGCAATTCAACTCGAGCATGGTGTCCTGCAGCAGCTCAGAGCCAAAGAACGTGATCGAGAAATTGGCAATCTTGACATCACGCGAACGCGGATGCACCGCCAGCGATCCGGTACAGGAGCGGGCCTCTGCACTAATCCGGGCCTCCTCCTCCAGCTTGGCGCATAGCTTCTCCTCCTCGGTCAATTCACGTTCCGGCTGCCCGTTGGCCTTCTTTGTGGAGGGTATCTGTTGAATCTTCTTGTTGCGAGCATCCTTCTTGCGCTGCGCGTCGCGTTTCTTTGAGTCGGATGGCATTTTACTTTCGTGTTTTTATTTACTTTAAAGAGAGGCTGCAAATGGGAATCAAGGAGATTACTTTGAGAGTACAATTTTTTGTGTTATTTAAAGGGAAAAGCCTTCCCCGTTTGAAAGGGTATCCATCTAAAAACTTTATTTTAAATAGAGAATCAATTTCCACAAAGAAACCATGTTTGCAATTAGCTTTTTTGGGAATTTAAGCAGATGGAAGCGAGGTCTAACTTAAAATAGCCAAGACTAGTGAATAATTAAACATGGTTTAAAGAAAACATATGAAAGAGTTGAAAGCATTTTGATAAGACGGAAGCACAGAAACACGTTTCAGGTTTGTTGTGGCTTCCTCCTTATCTACGACAGCAACGCGGTTCCCTGGCTAGACATTAAATTCGTTTATTGTTTTAATTTAGAGATAAGCATTATAACGATAAAAAAAAACATTTGTAAATGATCTTTTCCAGGAAAAATGCAAAATTCTTGGAATTACAAGGATCACATGTGGGAACACCTGAACGAGCGTTGCCTGCTTTTAGGCGCATCTCCTGCCACAAACAGATGTTCGCAGCATGGCACACACTCACACGCACACAAATTAACAACTGCACAACTGTTTCAACAAAAATTTGGTGAACTAAATTTTAAAATTAGACAGCGTCAGCAAAAACTCAAAAATTTCCACTGTGCGTCGCTCTCTCCTCGCACGTGTTCTCGCTCTCGCCCTCTCCCTCGCTCCACACACACGCTCTGTTGCCGAGGGGAAAACTCGGCTCCCCCCGCGCCTGGCGGGGATGTCTGAATGGACACTGACTCATCCCGGGATACCCTGTACTAGGGAATCACCTTGAGACGCTGGGAAATGGCGGGGAAAACGCCAAGAAGGAAAAACTGCAACACGCGATCTGCCCTCTCTCTCTGTCCCGGCTGCCCGCTCACCCCCCTTCTCGTTCACTCCAACGCACACTTGAGGTTACAACACGCACACACTCACGACTTGGGACACAACGACTCGCGGAAATGGGCAACTGCACGTCTTTGGTTACACGTTATTGAATTTTCCACGTTGTTACCTGCAATTACTCACCTTCGGGGACCTGGTAAATATTTCGCAGTTTTTGGCTGGTGGTAGGCGAGAGGCGCGGGGGGAACTGTTAGGTTGTTGGATTTAAAAAAAAAATATCAAATTTTGCTAGGTTTTTTTGTTATATTTTTGGATATTTCTTGTCTGGGCACTCTAAAATCCGAGGCTGTTATTAACATTTTACCTCAATAAACCGATTTTACACGTTTACAGATACATGTGGTTTGCTGAAAATATATCTAAATACCAATATGTCTTTATTTCTTTGGTATATTTTACCCGTCTGGAAAACAATTTTACGCTGTTACAGATACATGTAAAATGCTCATGTAGAACCAGTGATAGCCACTATCGGTATACATTGTTGTGTCAAATCATCGATTTTTGGCATTATCGATGTTTTCTAACAGATTTGTTCTCGACACTTTACACGTGTACAGAAGCATTTTACACGTTTACAGATACGTGTGTAGAGTTCTCACGTAAGAAATAAAATCCATTAACATATTTTCCTTGGCTATCGGGCGCAAGCAGCAAGTATTTTGATTAGGTGTAAACTGTGTAAAAATATTAAATACTAGCTAACACTAATATCGATAGGAACTATTGTATAGAATTCAGAGTTATCGAGATATCGATTGTACAAGAAGATCGAAGAAGAAGATGATGACTGAATATTGAGAGCAAGCAAGAAAACAACGTGAGTAAAGAAAAAGACTAAAAATTTTTACATAGGGCTGTTGAAAATACAATAAAATATCGATATATTTCACATATCGATGCATAACGACCGAAATCGAAACTGGTAACATTGTGCCGAGCAGTCAGCTGGTCACACTAGACGACGGAGGGTAAACAAAAGTTTGTTGTGTGTTATTGGTGATTTATTTAGAGTGCAAAAGCAGTGCCCTGGCCCAAATCAGGCCACAAGCTGGCCATGGCGAGGCTCAGCGACACCAAGATCCCGATCACGGACTTCCTGGAGGCGTACCGCCGCCAGCCGTGCCTGTACAACACTGTATTGGACACTTACAAGAATCGCGCGTCCCGCGAGAAGGCTTACGAGGCAATAATCAGGGCCCTCAAAATCCCCCACCTGACCGTGGTGGACATAAAACTGAAGATCAAGAGCGTGCGCACCGTCTACTCCAAGGAGCTGCGCATTTGGATGCGCGAGAAAGAACTGGGAAGGCGCTACGTGCCCAAGCTATTCTGGTTCAAGCTGGCGGACTCGTTCCTGCGCTCCGTGTCGCTCTCCCACTGCAAGCGGGTAAGTTGCAGTCATGGCCACTGCCCACCTCTGTGAACTAACTACCCTCCACTTTCAGACCAAGAACAGCAAGCAACCTCAAACGCCGACCAAGCCGGAGCCCCTGACGCCGCCGAGCAAACTGCTGGTCACTGCCACGGCGGACATCAGCATGAGCGAGGATGCACTGGAGGAGGATGATGAGGTGCAATGCGAGGCTGACCCGAACCCGGAACCAGAGGCGGAGGAGCACGCGAGCCCGGAGAATCCAGCGGTGAACACTTGCATCATTTCCCTGCCCACGGAGAACGGAAGCGGTGGCAAGGACGAGCTCATTATAGATGATTCCACGCTTTGCTTGGTCGAGGCGCAGCAGCAGCAGCAGCAACAGCTACAAACACAACCACACCCCCATCTTCATCCCAATCCCCATCATCATCAGCAGCCAAACGCACGCAAAACAAAGTACAACAACGCTGGACCGGGCCTTGACGCTGCCAGTGAGGACGAGTTGGTGATATTTGGCCAGAGCATAGCTTCCCAGCTTCGCACCATTGTGGACTCGTATTCCCGATCTGTGGCCAAGCTGCGTATCCAGCAGGTGCTGTTCGAGGCGGAAACTGGCCAGTTTCAGGCCAGTTCCGATGTCTCCACTGCTCAGAGCCAGCAGCAGCACAACTTTTAATTCTTAATAATTCTAGACTTTAGTCTCCTTTCATGATCAAATTGACAATGTTTAAACAAACTGTAAATATGACATTTGAAAAGTACATATATATGTATATCTGCGTAAGTCTCAAAAACCCAAAGTTATCATATTTTATTTTTCGTATAGATTTTGAATAATAATCATAACTTAGCCAAAAAAGTATTAATTTTAATTTGGAAAGCTTTGCCGTGCTAGTTTTTTATGGCTAACAAATCTGCATAATGAGTTTTAAAATTTTTTAAATTTAAATTTTTTGTACAATATTTTTACTGTTATACAAGGTATAACAAATAACGTGCGCTCTGAGCAACTTAAGTGTGACCACTTGCATTTCTCGTAAAAAATCCAGTCATGATGCAGCCCTGCAGTTCCATGCAAAGTTCAAGTGTGACCCGTTGCCGCGAAGGCAGTAATCCGGCCGACGATTTTTAGCACCATAAAAAGATAACCTGCGAGCACACTGCACTTTTCGCGTAGCCTTTGCTTGGTGAAGATTTATTAAATTAAACAAATTGCATTGGCTGCATTTAATCTAATCGTGAGTACCGCGGCGCCAGCGCCTTTCAACTTTCCGACCGAAACCTATTAGTTTGACAGCCCTATCGCTGCTGCAGCCGCACACTCACACACACTCGTCGTCTGCATTGTTTCTGTTCTGACAGTGGCAATTTCTTTTCGTGAATCTCTTTTTTTTTTTGTACATTACAGCTACGGTACTAGTTCCCTTTTGTCTTTCGTTTATTTTTTTTGACCGAGCTTGTAAATTTGTGAACGCGTGTGCGGAGCCCCTAGAAAAGGGCGAAAAAATGCAGCGTTAAGAGGAGTGGAGAGAGTTTTTGTTGTTGTTGGCCTGGCTGCAATAATGAAAAATTCGGTGAAGCAGACACACATACACACACATTATAGCATTTGCCCGAGCGCGTTTGTGTGCGTTTCTGTGTTGGTGTGCGTGGAAGCAGTTCAATTTCACTTGTTCTTGTGAATTGCAAAAGTTCCGGGAATGTAGTGAAGTTCGGAAAAAAAAGTGTAAGGAAAAGTGTGTTTCTGCAACCTGAAAAGCTAGCAGGCTCAAAACACGCACACACATGCATGCAAACCTACATGCAATCCAGTCGGGCGTATGTATGTAAGTACATGCATATGTGTGTCTGGCGAAAAAGGAGTTTGCTGCATGCAGTCTCCTGTTCTGTTCTGATGTTGTTGTTGTTGTTGCTGCTGCGGCTGCCAACCTTGACTTACGCATCGTATCTCCTCGCGCTCTCTCTTTCTCTCTTCTACCTTGCACCTTTCATTGCTGTTTTCTGCGCTTGGCGCTCATTTGACATTTTGCTCAAACATGTTGCGTTGTGTCTTGAGGTCTGCATATATGTGTGTGCGTGTGTATGTGTGTTTGTGCTAGTGCCCCCTCTCTCGCACTCTCACTCTGTGTATGCATATGGGTGTGTGTGTGTGTGTGTGTGTGTGTCTGGTGTGTAAAAAATAATATAAAAAATAGTGCAAAACAATTGATTCGGAAATCGCAAATCGTTCGTACACCTCATTTCTATATATCCGCAGCGAAAAGTCCGTTAATGCGCGCGCGCTCTGTTGCCCAGTTAGGGAAGTCCAATTGGCTCAGCTGACAAGTGCAGTTACTTTTTCTGAATCTGAACCGAACGCTCGGCCCCCCCCGGCTCCACGCCCGCCCCCCCCACCCCCCCCCCCCCCCCCCTCTTGACACTCGAACTATGCTTTTGTTTTGGACTGTCAAAAGGGGAAAGGGAGACAGAAAAAGCAAGAGAAAATCGGACGCAGCAACCGGAATAGTTCTGTTTCTCAATTAAATTCTCCCAAAATTGCCTTTGTGCTGTTGTTGTACCTTTTTTTTCTATTTGGTCTTCTATTTTCTTACTCTCCGCTTCCGTACTGGCCTTTGTATTTTGATAATAACCCACAAACTTATGTATATTCTTATACTCGCGTACACCTTTGCAGCTCACTGAACGCGCTGACGTATATATATATATATGAACATATGAGCCGCAATTCGATGCCCAACCAATAAACAAACGACGCCGAACGATCACCGGCACCCCATTACAACTCCCCCCAACCCTTGCCACCACAACCATACCAGATTTCCTACCCAAACAACCGACGTCTAACGCCCCCATAAAGCAGGAGAAGACGACGAAGAAGAGGAGGAGCCAGGAGGAGGAGGAGGAGGAGGAGCACCCTGCCTGCGCTCAGGTAGTGGCCACCTGCTGCTCCGCCGTCTCCACCGCTGCTAGCTGCGCATAAACCGAAACAGTCGCAATGAAGGTGGACACGGTGAAGCTGAAGAAGGGCTCTTCGGAGCTCACAGCCGAGTGTCGCGAGCTCATCGATGAGCTGACGAAACGTCGGACCCGGGCTGAGCTGCTCGAGTTCCTCGACACGGTCCACGTGTGGATCTACGGCAAGTGCGAGCTCTATCACTGGATCGAGATCCTTGACCGCTTCGACAAGATACTCGAGGAGGCAGCCCGCCATGTCAATGCCAATGAATTTGTGCTGCAGTGTGACACCAATTTCCAGGATATGGTAAGCATGGCCTCAACATATCCGTTTACGGAAAGATAATGATACTCTTCAACATTTTTTTTTAGGATGTCACCCTACTGCTGCACGTCCTAAACTTCACCACACTGCTAATCGAGCACTCGTTCTCGCGTCATTTGTACAACTCCATCGAGCACCTAACGCAGCTGCTCTCCTCACAGAACATGGACATAGTCCTGGCCGTCCTTAACCTGCTCTACATGTTCTCCAAGCGCAGCAACTTCATACCCCGCCTGCCATTCGAGAAGAAGGAGCTGCTGATTGTCAAGCTCTTCAACATAGCCGAGGTGGGTATCTCCTCGTGATTTCCCCCAATTAAAAATTGTATAAATTATTATTATTATTATTTTTTTATTATCATGCAGCGCTGGGGCGATCCCAACTACGGCCTGTCGCTCAAGGACTGCTGCATCGGCGAGCCCAAGCTGGAGTTTCTCTACCAGCTGTGCATCGACTATGTGGATGAGCACGGTCACGCCGCCCAGCTAGAAATCCCGGACATGATGGACCTCTGCCACACGGCGGCGGCTCCCGAGGTGATCAAGACGATTGCCGGACAGATCTCAAAGCCCAGTGAGGCAATCAAGGTGAGTTTCAAGTCTCCATGAAGGGTAAATACCTCCCCAATGCAATGTGAATGCATTACTAATTCATTACCTCCACAGATGCGCATTGCTCATCGTGTGCGCTTGATCTCAGGCTTCAACAACTACAAGCTGCGTCTGCAGTTCGTCCAGGCCCGCCTGCAGGCCGTCTCTATTCTGATTTACTCCAATGCCCTGCAGGACAACACGGACAAGGTGCTGTATGCCGGCTTCGGCGAGGAGCTGTGCGAGCTTATAGACAAAGAGGACGTGCACCTGGTGGAGATTCGAGCGGCAGTGCTCCGCACACTCACCTCAATGCTGCACTTTGACCGTAATCCCAATGTGCCCAGGTAAGCGATCTCATTCTGGCTCCTGTTTGCCTATAGGATCCCCCGATAATTGCCCCCCCACTTTTGTTTTTGTGCAGCAGGGCCGGTTCCCGTCTGATGAAAATCGTCCATTACACTGGAGCCGAGCGGCAGGGCGGTACGCTGCCACTGCTGGTGCGTGACTGCATTGATAACCTGACTACACACGGACTCACCGAGCGCTATCCGCTCATCCTGGCCACCTCACTGTTCTCGCTGCTCTACCATCTGGCCAGCTACGAGATGGGCGGCTCCGCTCTGGTCAAGAGCGGCATGATGCAGTCGCTGCTGTGTGTCATCAGTTGGCCGGGCGTCGATCTCGAGCATATAACGTTTGTGACACGTGCGGTCCGTGTAATAGACTTGATCACCAACATAGACATTGCCCGTTTCCATCAGAACAACGGTCTCAACGTGTTTATCGATCGATTGGAGAAGGAGATTAAGAGCTGCTGCAAGGCGCTGGCCGACATTGGCATTACACTGAAAGAGTCAACGCTGCGTGACGATAACAAGCTGGACACATCGCTGGACCAAGTCGATGAGGATGTGGAAGGTAAGTTTTTGGGGTTTATTTTGTAAGTTTCCTTTTGTGTTGCTGCCCCATATCTTCTCTGGGCATAGACAGGTTTTTGTTTATTTGGTTTCTTCTTAATTATCGCTAAGCCCTTGTGCGTAAACATCACGGGTAGTCTCAGGTTACCTTCGAAGAATGCCTTCAAGCTGTGAAATTAAACAAACTTTAAGCTGATCTATCTTTTCCCCGATAATTGTTTTCAATAAACATACTCCTTCTCGAATATGTCCAGACAGTTATAGGAGAAATCTGAAAACAAGTCGCGACTTTTGCGATCTAATGTTTTAGCTGTGAAATTAAACAAACTTTAAGCTGATATATCTTTTCCGCTGTAATTGTTTTCAATAAACATACCCCTTCTCGAATATGTCCAGACAGTTATAGGAGAAATCTGAAAACAAGTCGCGACTTTTGCGATCTAATGTTATTGTAAACCTATCTCTTTGAAGTCTGCACTTTGCCTGATAAACAAACCACCTCTCATCTCTTCCCTTATCAGATGGCGCCGGTGAGAATGCGTCTATAGCCAGCGGAAGTGGATCGCCGCGTCCCGATAACTCGAGTGACGCAAGAGGAGCCGACTTAGGAGCAGGTCCCCTGAACATTGTCGGTGCGCCGAGTAACGTTGGTGGCGAATCGGGACCACCTGGCCCAAACAACCGATACGGATACATCTTGCCCATGTATCCCACAAACAGTTACTACGCCCGTCCGCTGGCCGAGCGCAAGGCTGAGCTCTCGTCGCAGCTGCCGAGCAGCCTGCAACCGAAGAAACCCTCCTGCGTTACCCAGCGTGCGGCTCTGCTCAAGTCGATGCTGAATTTCCTGAAGAAGAGCATCCAGGATCACGCCCACTTCAGCAACATGCGCAACATCATGGAGACCAGCCTTACCCAGTCTCTGCGTCACATCATTGCCAACGCCGAGTACTACGGACCGTCGCTCTTCCTGCTGGCCACCGATGTGGTCACCGTGTACGTATTTAATGAGCCATCACTGCTCTCATCGCTGCAGGATCTGGGCATCACTAGTGTGATGCTGAAGGCACTGCTCCAGAAGGATGTGCCGGCCACTCGCGAGGTCCTGGGCTCGCTGCCCAACGTCTTCTCCGCCCTGTGCCTCAACGAGCGCGGCCTGTTCGAGTTTCTCTCCTACGATCCGTTTGACAAGGTGCTGAAGGTGCTGCTCTCGCCCGACTATCTAGTGGCCATGCGTCGCCGCCGCTCCTCGGATCCTCTGGGCGACACGGCCACCAATCTGGGCAATGCCATGGACGATCTGATCAAGCACCATCCCTACTTGCGGGAGGATGCCACGGATGCAATTGTGCGACTCCTCAACGAACTGGTGCGTCTGGGCTCTGATCCCAGCTTCATTTGCTGGCGTGCCAACAAGGAAAGCGGCGGCTCTGGCTCCGGTTCGGGAAGTCATGGCGCCGCCCATCATGTGGCCTCCGCACCCTCACCCATGGTGATGGTGGCGGGCGCCGGAGTCAATGTCTCTGTGCTCCAAGGAGCAGCCGATACGAACGATAGCAGCGGCGAGGATGATGACGATGATGATGAGATGAGCTCCGCCTCGCAGCAGCAACAGCAGCCAACGACGACGACCAGCGGTCAGGTTACCGCTACCACGCCTAGGACACAGCAACAGCAGGCAATGGGAGCAGCGGCAACCGGAGGAGTAGGTGCTGGCGCTGGAACGGCAGCCTCGTCATCGCAGGCTGTCAAAGTTGTCACGCCACCGGAACGGGAGGCCATTCCCCTGATCGACTATATACTGAACGTGATGAAGTTCATCGAGGCAATCTTCAGCAACAGCCCCAACGGTGATCACTGTCGCCACTTTGTGCTCCACGGGGGACTAAAGCCCATTCTGCAGCTGCTATCCTTGCCCAATCTGCCCGTCGATTCGCCCGTGTCCACCACCTCGCAGGCCGTGGCCAATGTGTGCAAGGCAATCCTTACCCAGGCTCAGGAGACCAAGGTCCTGGATGTGGCGCTTAAGCAGCTGGCGGACATTGTGGCCCAACTGAAGCCGCTGATCAAGCACTTCACCTTCCCCGGCGGCAGTGTCCTTCTGGCGGAGCTCGTCTGTTGCCAGCGTCTGGAGGATGGCTTCGCCAACGCCGAATACACGCCCATCTTGCACAACATGAGCTTCGTGCACGGCTATGTGGTGATGCTGGTGCATCTCTGCCGCAACGCCTCCAACGAGATGCGAACCATACTCCTCAAGCGTTGGGGCGTGAATCGTGAGACAGGCGTCCAGCTGCTGCAACAACTCGTTCAGCTCTACATTTCGCTGGTGTGGGAGAGCACCATTCTGCTGAATCTGTGCTCGGACGAGCCCACCCAACATCCGGATCTGATTTGGGACGAGATTGCTGCCCAAATGTCAGCGGCAGCAGGCACATCGGACCCACTGACCGAAGCGGAGCTCTCCCGCAAGCTGGAGCGCGCGGCTGAATTCCGTACAAAGTACACACCCGAGGAGCAATTCCGCTACATCAAATCCCTGCTAGCGGCCAGCTCCCGACTGGGCCGAGCCCTTGCCGAGCTGCTCGGAACGCTGGTGAAGCTATCGGTGGGCTCGCCGCAGACCCGTCAGCGGCGCATCAACGATCTGATTAGTAATATCAACAAAGTTCCTACGCCGGAGGCCCGCGAAATAGCCCGCATCCTGAGCTCGATCCTGGTCAATGGCTTCAGTCACGAGAGCATCCTGCCCAAGCCGGTGCCGAAGCTAAAGCTCACGTTCCTCATCTGCTCCGTGGGCTTCACCGGCCCGATGCTGTTCGACGACAAGCGCAGCGCCTTCCATCTGATGATCTCGCAGTTCTGTGCGGAGAATGGCCTGAAGGCCTTCTTTGAGATGTTCTACTGGGCCCTCTCCCTGGACAATGTCTCGCAGAAGTTTGAGTTTGATCAGTGGGCGTCCATGGAGGACTTGATGCAGTCGCATGAGGATGATAAGCGTGACTGTCCGGAGGGCACTGGCGAGTTCCTCGATGCCTGGCTGCAGCTGCTCGAGAAGATGGTGAATCCCCGGGCCATGCTCGACTCCCCGTACACGATGAGTCCGCGTCTAAACTATCTACCCGACTCGGTGCCCTTCGAGCCCGTCTTCTACTTGATCCACATACACCAGCTGGCCATGCAGGCACTGCGCCGCATATGGGCACGTCGCCCCATCCCCAACTACGGACCGAGCATGTTCGAGACCATGATCCTCATCCTGAAGCATCTGATCAAGTCGCATCAGACCCTGCTCGATCGCTACCACACCCGCATGAAGGAGATTAGGTTCGAGAACCTGTACATTCGCAGCTCGGACGAAGGCCTCAATGCCGACCACATCAAGATGCTGACGGACATGGGCTTCATGCACTACCACGTCATCGAAGCGCTGCGCAGCAATACCTCACTGGAGGAGGCCACCGACTATCTACTGAACAATCCAGAGACGAGTGCCCTGTGGCAGTCGGGCAGCAATAATGCGCCCGGAGGCGGATCTGCAGCTGCTGGTGCTTCAGCTCCACCACCACCGCCACCGTTGCCACCAACGGCCGGCAGTGGTGCCACAATGGACGTAGACATGGAGATGGATGGCAGCGGCGGTGGGGCTGCTGGTGCTTCCGGTGAGACCGCGCCAGGTGGTACCAATGCCTCATCGTCGTCTTCCAGCTACGACTACAAGCACCTGAAGCTGATGCCGTCGATGATCTTCGATCGCTTCTGCGACGAGGCCATCTCGCGTGCCTTTGAGTTCATGGAGGCCATACCCGACACCGTCAACAGCGCCGCCGACCTGATCGCCGTCCTCTACAGGCGCCACAATCACCTAAATAAGCAGGTGTTTGTCACCAATTTCGTGCGCAACATCATCCAATGGGTGGACTTTACCCTGCAGCTCTTCGAACCGGACAAGAGCAACACCAACTCTGGAGTGAAGGCAACCCGGCTGGATGAGTGTCTCACCGGAGTGACAGCCACCCGGCTGTTTGTGCGTCTCAAGACTTCGACGCTGCTGCTCGAGGAGAACTATAGTGATATGCATCGTCCGCTGGTGGAGGCTATTACGGCCCAGGATGCCATGGTATCGCTGGTCAAGCTGCTTGACTGCATGAGCCAGTGGATGCTGGAGCAGGCGGGTGAGACGCGACCAGTGGTGCCGCGTTGGGTCCAGAATCTGGTGGACCTGATCGATGCCATCGATAGTATCAGTCACATTCTGCAACGCAAGGCCAACATGCGGGCAGTGAGCAGCGATGTGTGGCGTTGGTATGACGCCTCCACGGGCAAATGGAACGCCTATTCGGAGGCCAACAACGAGTTGATACGGAATGCCTACGCCGCCGGCGAACGCTGGCTGCACATCAACATTGGCCGGCAGCGATGCACCGTGAGCCTGAACTGTATGACCCAGGTGAGCGAGGCCTCTGGCACCCATCGTCCCGTCTTTCCCGCCCTGAAGCTAAGCGAGGCCATCGGCTTTATGAACAATCCGGTGGTCCTGCCCAGAGCGGATAATTTCTTGAATCGGATCGTTCGCACCTCTCCCGATGGCACTGGCACCGTGCACACGGACGAATTGATACCCCTGCGCCAGCTGGTTAACTTTAACGATGGCCAGCCGCCGGATAATACCGCCAGCAATGAAGCGGAGAGCGGCGGAGGTGGAGAAGGATCAGGAGGAGGAGGAACAGCAGCAGCAGCCTCGGCCTCAGCCTCAGCCTCAGCCGCTTCAACAGCCAGTGAGGATAACCCTGCCGCCGGTGCCAGTGGTGGATCCCCGCCACCGGCCATGACAACACGCAGCAAGTCGCGGCAAAAGAACGCCGCCGCTGCTGCAGCTGCAGCCAAGGTCAAGTCATCGTCGTCGCAAGCAGCGGGCGGCTCTCCGCCCATCCCCAAGCGCACGCAAAAGATCATACTGAATGAGGAGCAGGTGGGCCTGAGCAAGTTCGATTGTGGCCGCATCATTGGCAGCATTGTGGATCTCCTCAAGCCAACGAATCTGCTGCACAACGAGACGAAGCTGTCGCTGCTCCGTTTGTGTGCACGCCTCACGCGCAACTACGACAACGCCCAGGTGTTCATCCGCCGTGGCGGAGTGCGGATGCTGTTGCACTTGCAGCAGGCCTGCAGCTTCATGGGCTTCCCCACCTACGCCATCATCATTCTCCGGCACGTCCTCGAAGCACCGCCGGTGCTACAGGAGGCCATGGAGCGAGTGCTGGGCATGCGAGCAGCCGGCATTGTTCCCGTTGGCCATCGTGATCTCATCTACGTCCTCACCCAGGTCTCGACAGCGGTGTCCCGCAATCCGCAGATATTTGTGGCCGCCGCCAAGGAGATGCTCAAGGGTGAGTATCTCCTAAACTCGAGCAGTTCCACGCTGACCGACGATGCCCGCGTCATGGTCAAGTCCAAGTTTGGCCAGCAGCCCACGGCGGCGGCCGGCGGGGCCACGCCACAGACCCAGACACCGCCGCCTTCCAAGAGCGACGACGAGCTAAAGGATGATCCGCAGGTGCAGTCGTCGGTGGCCGTGCTCAAGGATTTGCTGCACGGATTGGTGCAACCATGCTGGCACTACGGCGGCACAGCATCCACGGATCGTGGTCATGGCGCCGCCGAATTGGTGCAGCCGGATCAACCGCCTGGCACGGCGCCACAGGGATGTCACGACGACGAGGCGAGGCCGGAGACCAGCACTAATCAAGCCACAAACAAGAAGCAATCCGCGAGCGGCGGAGCCACTGGCAATGCCCAGGCAACATCTGACAAATTTGAGCCCTGCTGCTGCACCTGGCACATCCCCACCAGCGCCCACAGCCACGCCAAGCCGACCATTTCGCGGGCCACGCTGCTAAAGCTGCTGGCGGACGCAACGCGTGCCTACCAATCGCTGGTGCCGCGCGTCCTACTCTCGCATATCTATACGCCGGCGGACAGCCCCCTCATCTCGGCACCCCAGCAGACCTTCCTCGGTGTCCTGCTCGATCGTTTCCTGCCGCTCACGCAGCGCCACCATGTGCCGGAGGTGAGCACAATGACCAGAGTGCTGGTGTGCTCGCTCTCGGACTGCTACCAGCAACCCGGTGTCCAGGTGCAGGTCGCCGAGGAGCTGCACGCCGCCGTGGCCCGAGCCCTGGCCCAGCCGGACTCATCCGAGAAGCACACGCGCCTGCAGGTACTGATGAGCCTGTTCCCCAACCTGATCGAGTCCCCGATGCTGTACGACAAGGTGCACATGCATCGCAACAACATGTACCGCGTGCTCCTGCGCCAGGGCGTCATGACCTACCTGACCAAGGTGGCCCAGTACAAGGATCTGTCGAATCACAACACCCTCAGCACTCTGGCCGCTATCCTGCGGCCCATGGAGATCCTGTTGCGTTTCAGTGTCTCAACCACAACGCTGGGCTCCAAGCGCATACTCTTCGGCGGCAGCGCACCCGGCAGCGGAACGAATGGCACCGGCAGCAGCAATAGCAGCAACGCCGCCGGCGGAGGCAGCGGCACTGGCCCTGGTTCACTCAATACCTATGGTGCCATTATCAATCGACGACTCTATCCTCGCCTGGCCGCACGCGCAGCCTTGAATGCGGAGCGCTCGAATGCCGGCGAACATGTGCTCCGCGACATTATCCGCAACGTGCTCACCGATCGTCGGCATGCCTTTGAGTTCATCTTTAATTCGGACGAAATGGCAGTGGATGCGGAGGATACGACGGCAGGAGGAGCTGCAGCAGCAGCAGCTGCCGCTGGCATGGTAGGAGGCAGTGGAACCGGCGGCGGCGGCGGCGCCTCGGGAACCGGTTCAGGTGGCGGTGTTACCGCCGCCGTCATCGATGTCGTCGAGGAGCGCAGCAATGGCGGAGACACAAATGATCCACCGGCCAATGTGGGCTCTGCCGCCGGCGGCGGTCAGTCCGGTTCTGGAAACACAGGACCCGTGCGACCAGTACTCAACTTTGACCAGCTGTGGGATGATTTCCTCCAGAGCGAGGGATTGCGTCTGGCCTCGCGGGCCATCGGAAGCAATGGATCCGGCAGTGGAGCCGGCGGTGGCGGTGGCAGCGGCACCGGCAGCTCAGGTGCTCAACAGAATGGCAGCAATGCAGTGGGCAGCGGAGGAGGAAGTGGAAATGGTGGCAATGCAACTAATTCCGGAAATAACTCCGTGAACGTTGATCCGCGTCTGCGCACCAATCCCGATGTAGATGTGGATGGCAACGGTGGCGTTGCGGGCACCAACAATTCCAGTTCCGTCAACGACAATGGAATCGGCGGTGGAGGCGGCAGTGATGGCGCCTCTACATCCTCGGACCAGGGACTACTTCGTGAGTTAGGTGCCTCGCTGCTGGGTGATGTTAGCACCACCGATTCGGATTCGGATGCTTCCACGGAGAACGATGAGCGCAACGAGGAGGAGGAGGACGAGGACGACGATGCCCCCGATGAGGATGTGGATGAGCACAGCGAAACGGATGTGGATGAGGAGCGTCCATTTATCGAGGTCTTTGATCACATCTACGAGCCGGAATCCTCGGAAACGGCATCCAACGATGCCGATGTGGATGCCGACGATGATGACGATGAGGATGAGGAGGATGTCGACGATGACGACGATGATGATGATGACGGCGACGACGAGGATCGGGAGGAGCGCCAGAGTCTCATCGATGCCGAGCTGGAGGACCAAATAGACTTTGCCATTGCCCTGACCACTTCCAGTCAGCGTCCGCGACGCAGTGCAGCAGTCAATGCTTCTGGCGATGGCTCTGCAAATCGCACGAATCCTGGCAACGACGAGGTCGATGACGAGGACGATGAGGACGACGATGATGCGGACAATGATCCTGATAACGATCCGGAAGCAGATGCGGCACGAGCAGCCACCGCGGCCGAGGAAGAGGCGTATCTGTACGATCACCTGGTCGGCGAGAGTGACCTGATGCCCACGTCGGCGGACAACTTCCGGGTGCGGATGAACCGTACCATTGCCCAGATTGCCCAGCCGCTGGACATTGATGTGGTCGGAGGCAGTGGTGGAGGCAGTGGCGGCAACGGTGGCAGTGGAGGAGTCGGTTCTGGGGTCACCGGATCGTCCAGCAACTCTGGCGGTGGCGGTGGCTTCTCCCTGCGCGGCTTCTCGATGCGTAACCAGAGCGGCGGCTCCACGTCCACCGCCCTACGTCCCTCGTCAAGTTCTTGGATGGCACCAGATTTCAACTTCCTTGGCGTTTCGCTGGGAGCCAGCGGTTCCAGTGGTGGCCCAGGAGCCTCCGGCAGCGGAGCAGGTGGAAGTGGAAGTGGTACCGCCAACGGTGGCGAAGTGAATGCCTTCCTCACGCCCTCGCTAGTCCAGGGCGTTGCCTCTGGCAGTGGCCAGAGCATGAGCAATCTCTTGGACGAACAGCCGGGCGTGGGAGTGCCGCGTCCAGGTGATGGTAACGGAACAGGAGCAGCAGCAGCCAACTCTGGCCCCGGCAACAGTACCGGTGGCGGCGCAAGTGGAAGTGGCGCCAACGCTGCCGCCCAGCATCCAAATGCCACACTCTGCACGAACGGCGTGCGACGACGTCTGCTTTACCTGGATCAGCAGTACTGCGTTTGCATGCCCACGCACCAGAATCCGACCGAAGAGACCCAGATGGAGACCTTTACACAGGACGGTGAGTGCTAATCCTCTAGGAGTAGGAGAGCAGGAGCAGGAGATTTGCTATAACTTGTTTTCTCCCCATCATTTTTAGCTCTTCACTGGTGGCTGGAGGAGGCCAAGGCCCTGGACATGGAGAGCCAGACGGATGCCTGTCTGTATGCTGCCCACTTCCTGCTGCCGCATCTCATCAAGGAGCTGAAAGTGGCTCACCAGCAGCGCAAGCAGGAGGAAGCCGCTCGCCAGGCGGCAGCTGCCAGTGCAACGCCTCCAGCAACAACAACAGCAGCAGCAGCAGGAGTGACTCCAGCAACTGGACCAGCTCCGGCCTCAGCCGTAGCAACGCCAGCGAGTGGAGGAGGTACCACAACGACATCGTTTATTGGCTCCAGTCTGCTGTCGTCGGGAGCGGGAGGGAACAGCAGCCTGGTGGTGCCACCAGTGGCTGCCTCAGCCACGGGTGGAACCCGCCGTAGCTCGATACCCGTGTTGATTCCCTCGAACTTTGGAGCAAACAACAGTACAACCGCATCACAACCTGCAGCAGGAGGAGGAGCAGCAGCAGCGGGAGCCAGCGGCTCTGGCGACGGAGCTACCACGAACAGCCCATTCCTACAACTACCAACAACGAGTGAGTACAAAAATACAGATGCCAGGAGTTGTTATAACTTATAGACCCACTATTCTTTCCTTTAGCAGCTTCCAATAACAGCAGCAGCAGCCCTGGTGGAGCTGCTGCCGAATCACAGTCGTCCACGACGGCGACGCGGGGACACCGACGCGGACGTCCCGGTGCCCCGTCCATCTTTAACATATACGCCGAAATTGATCTGACCAATGAAACGGATAGCCAAGGCGCCACATCGACCAATCCCACGCCGGCAAGTGGTGCAACTGCTTCGGCCGACGCTGGAGGAGCTGAGGCGCAGGTATCGCAGAATTTCTTCACCAATTCGTCGGCATCGGCACCGAATCAGCGCCTACCTCTGGTCCTGCCCTCGCCAACCAGCGGCAGGCCATTGCGTCCTTACTCTCGTCTGGATGATGCCGAGCTGCTACTGATGCAGGTAACCACATATATAGATATAAGGTGTATATAATATGGTTTATATGCTAACTTTATCTCAAAATTGATTCATCGGCAGACCTCTCGCAGTCGCCCAGTGAACCACAGTTTGTATCCATCGTCACGCCATTCTGGCGGCGCCCGTCCCAATCGTGATCTGCCCGCCCGTCTCCAGCGTCTCGTGCAGGCGCATAGCGGCATTGTGGTACCACGCAATACATCGCCAGGACTCACGCTCCTTTCCACACCCCAGGCTATGGCAGCGTTGGGCCAGCAACTTGGCCAGACACCCGCAGAGAATCGAAACAACTTTGGCCTGCCCTCGTCCCTTGAGGTGGACGTGATGCCGGGAATATTGGGCATGCCGCTGCACGAGGCCCATCCGGAGGATGAGGTTGTGGTGCAGATTGAGCCACAGATACTGCCACCGCCACCGCCCCCAGTGTCTGGTGATTCAGCGGCGGCGGTGCTTATTGACGACGACGACGATGAGGAGGATGAGGATGAAGATGGCGACGAGGGCCTCGAAGCTCTGGCCCGTTGGATGCCAAGAAGTGCGTCGGAAGGAGCTTCGGCCACCTCTAACATACGCGAAGCGTGGTTCGGCCTTAATCCCAGGGAAATGGCCACCGAAACGTCGAGTCAGACGGAGGAGGGCACTGAAAGCAGTCCAGCAGCAACGGCTCCAGAGGCAGAGCCCACATCAGGAGAAACGGGAGGAGCAGCGTCCGGTACAGAGTCAGCAGAAGGTACGGATACAAGTACGGGTACAGGCGGTGCATCAGCAACGGGAGGAGCAGCAGCAGGAGGAGGCGGCGGCGGCACTGGTGCCACCATTACCGACATGAGTCCCGAGGTCCGTGCCGCTCTCGGGGATCTGGAGGTACCCGAGGGTGTCGATCCCTCATTCCTGGCCGCCCTGCCCAGCGAGATGCGCGAGGAGGTGATCCAGGAGCACCTGCGCATGCAGCGCATTCGCCAGCGGGCTCAGCAGAATGCCATCCAGATCGCCCATGACTCGCTGGTCGAGGTCAATCCCGAATTCCTGGCCGCCTTGCCCCTGAACATACAGTCGGAGGTGCTGATGCAGCAGCGTATTGAGCAGCAGCGCCAGGCGGCTCAGAGCGCCAATCCCGAGGATCCCGTGGACACGGCCGCCTTCTTCCAGAACCTGCCCGAGAATCTGCGTCAAGCTGTGAGTGTCCTATTTTCGATTTATAGAGTTTCGCAGATCCCTAACTCCAACTTTTTCGCTTTCCTTAGATCCTAACAGATATGGAGGAGTCGCAGATAGCGAGCTTGCCGCCAGAACTGGCGGCCGAGGCACAGTTCCTGCGTCGTGACTGGGAGTCACGCAATGGCGCCCGCATGGACGCCCATCCGCCCAGCAATGCCTTGAGTAAGTGTCCCACTGGGCTAATCCTGTTAAAAGAAATCGCATTTTAATCAACATTTTCCTCTACATTTTCCTCCTTAGCCCGCTTCCAGACCACGCTCCAGAGCCTGGAGGAGGCACGCTGGCACAGTTCCATTTGGTACGATGCCAGCGGTAATGCACAGCCGCAGCATCACCAGCACACAACGATTGTCCATCATCACCCGCATCCGCATCAGCTGGCGCCCATGGGCAAGCCCCTGGCCCTGCTGATGATGGAGGATGAGAATATCCTGCTCGACCCGGACTCGCTGGCCACGCTGCTGCTTTTCCTGTTCGTCGAGGACCAGAAGGTGTACAGCATGCGGCTGCATCGTGTCATCCGTAACCTGTGCCACCACGAGCCCACTCGGGATTGGATAATCAATGCCCTGATCAGCATCGTCCAGAAGACCAACGAGGATAATGCCAACTTTGGGACCGCCGGCGGTCAGGCGGGCAGCAAACCCGAGTGGCTTAAGCTGCGCGTGGATGCCGCCTTTGGCTACAAGAGCAACATCTTCCTGATCAACCGCCTGTACGAGGGCAGTGCCCGCAGCATCAGTATAAATCCGCAGGCGGCCCAAATGATCGTGCGCAACTGCCTGGACCTGCTGTTCGTGCTGGCCAAGCACTATCCGACCAGCTTTGTGCCCTACAATCGCGAGGTGAAGACCCGCCGCATCCTGAGCGCCGTCTTGGGCTTGCCACCCAACACAGTGATGGGTGCAGCTGGAACAGGACCAGGATCAGGAGCGGTAGGTATGCCCTGGCCCGCAGCCGGAGGAGCAGGATCTGGAGGGGCTGCGCCTCGGCTAGACGAGTCCGTGCCACCGGGTGGAACTCTGGACTTTCGCTCACGCTTCTGCCGCTATCAAGTGGCCAATCGACTGCGTGGCATGCTCGACGATCAGCCAACCAGTAACCAATCATCCTCATCCCTATCGAAGCCTGCCACTCCGCTAGACGAGGCGCCGTCCACCTCGAAGGCGGCGGCAGCCAAGGCGGCTGCTAGTGCAAAGGTGTCCAGCGGCAGCGGTAGTCAGCAATCGGTGCCCTACCAGACGAATGCCAAGAACTTCTGGGACGTAGTCCTCAACATCGACAGGCAAACGCAGGTACGAATGTCGCATGTCTCCCAGTTCCCGCTCACATCGCAGCCGCCGTGGGAGTGGCAGACGAACACCTCCGACTTCCTGTCCTTTAGCGACTCGCCGTTCGGCCAGCTGCTTGAGATGCTGCCGTACAAGGTGATCTGCCGGTCGCCCCATCTGACCGACATGCTGGTCAAACTGTTGGCCTCGCTCAGCACGGAGCTGCCCAAGGAAGAGGAGTGGCTAGCCGAACAGATGCCACCGCTGATACCCATTGGCCAGGCGACGGGACCGGGTGCAGCTGCCTCTGCACCGGCGTCTGAGTTGGCGACAACGGGGGCCAATCCTGCCAGCGAGATCGGTGATGGTCTAGCCACCAATAGCACCGAACAGGCAACCCCCGCCGCCGGAAATCCAGCCTCTGGGGATGGAAACGATGGAGTAAAGCCGGCGGCACAGCAGCAGCAACAACAGCAGCAGCAGCTGCCGCCACTGAGCGTGCCCATGCCGATGCAACCGTCGAAGCCCAGGCGAAAGATCTATGCCAAGAACTTCTCCCAGCTGCAGCTGGTCATCGAGGTGTTGACCCACCAGTGCGGCACCACCGAGGGCCTGGACAACGTGGCCAAGCTGATAGTCAACCTCACGCAATGCTCGCAGGCCTCCAATGCCATATTCATTCAGTACTTGACAGCCGCCATCCTGGGCCTGGCCGAGGAAGTGCGCCAGGCCATTCAAACGCTGCTCAATGAGATTCGTGCATACAACAGTCACCATGGCGTGGCCAGCACCTCACAGCAGGCCTCTGCCTCCGTCTCGACATCATCAACAGCTGCTGGATCGGCTGCTCCATCAGGATCTTTGGGATCTTCGGGTTCATCGAGTGGTGCCAGTCTCTTGCCCAATCTGGCCGTGAACGAGGGTATCATGCAGGATCGCTTTACCGCCGAGCATGTCATCATCTCGGCGCCGAAGAATGCCAAGCCCACGTGCGAGCTGCAGCTGCCGTCGATGAAGAAGCTCATGTCCAATTCCTCCGCCCAGCCTTACTTCCTGCGCACCCTGAAGATCTTTATGCAGGTGCGCGACATGTACGATTCGCCGGATAGCCTGCCAACGGTCAGCGGGAACAGTGCACCGAGTGTCAGGAGGACCCTTGGTTCTGGCGGTCACGATGATGATGATTTCATCGACATTTTGGGTGATCCACCGACAGGCAGCAGCATCTGGGCCACCGATTCGGTGAGCACAGGCTCCTCGCCGCCGCCTCTGTCTGGCTTCAGTATGGACACCAATCATCATCAGCAGCCGGTGCAACAGGTGAACATACAAGATGTGGAGGATGAGGAGGGCGACGATGATGAAGAGTATTTGGATGTGGATGAGGCGCTGGAATCCGAGCATAGAGCGCGTATCAATAACGAAGGAGCCGCGGCGGGAGCCAAGGCCACCGCGAATAGCAACAGCAACAAGCCGACGCTGAGCCAAATTCTCTGCCTGGACGTTCTGTGGCACACGCTCAGTGAGTGCCTGGTGGCACTGGAGGAGTCCAAGGACGAGTTCGCCGTACTGGTACTGCAGCCCACCGTGGAGGCCTTCTTCCTTATCCATGCCTCACATCGCAATGCGGTAAAGAAGCCCAGAATTGGAGGTTCCATAGTCCTGGGACTGCGTTCGTTGGCCGGTCCGAATGGTAGAGCCTTGGCGGCTGAGATGGCAGCTGCAGCTGCATCAGCAGCTGCCCAGCGGCAGCGGGACCAGAGCACTCCACCGCCGATGGATGATACGAGCAGCGCCAATACCAGTTACGAGGGTAAGATTTTATTACAAATTTTACTAATTTATCTCTGCAACAACTAATCAATCGATTATTCCCCAACCCTAGATGAACCACGAATGCTGGATGCTTCTACCAACACAACCAACCAGACGGGGGCCAACAGCAACTCCGCCGGCAGCAGCGCCAGCGGCACCAGTGCCACTGCTAGCGCTAGCAACGCCCTAAGTGCCCACGAAGCGCAGCTGCGTCAGGATCGACAGAAATTCCTTCAGTTCGCCGAAAAACACCGCACCGTGCTCAATCAGATCCTTCGCCAGTCGCCCACCCATCTCTCCGACGGTCCCTTTGCCGTGCTGGTGGACCATACGCGCATCCTGGACTTTGATGTGAAGCGCAAATACTTCCAAACGGAGCTGGAACGCCTGGACGAGGGTATACGACGGGAGGAGCATACGGTTAGCGTGCGACGCGTCACCGTCTTTGAGGACTCGTTCCGTGTGCTATACCGCCTGGGACCAGAGGAATGGAAGAACCGATTCTACATTGTCTTCGAGGGTGAGTTGGTTCGATCCGGCAGCAGTACATGATCTTTATTTGTATCTTTTCCCTTTCAGACGAGGAAGGCCAGGATGCTGGCGGCCTGCTGCGGGAGTGGTATGTGATCATATCCCGCGAGATCTTCAATCCGATGTATGCCTTGTTCTGCGTATCGCCCGGCGATCGCGTTACCTACATGATCAATCCCTCGAGCCACGCCAATCCCAATCACCTGAGCTACTTCAAGTTCGTGGGCCGCGTAATTGGTAAGTAAATGCCCTTGCCGCTTTGCTGTCTTTATCTCATGTTATTCCTCCTTCTACAGCCAAGGCCGTGCACGATAACAAGCTACTCGAGTGCTACTTCACACGCTCCTTCTACAAGCACATCCTGGGCAAGCAGGTGAAGCACACGGATATGGAATCACAGGACTATGAATTCTACAAGGGTCTCGACTATCTAATGAAGAACGACATCTCTACGCTGGGCTACGAGCTGACCTTCTCTACAGAGGTCCAAGAGTTCGGCGTCACCCAGATCCGTGATCTCAAGCCCAATGGCCGCGACATAGCGGTGACCGAGGAGAACAAGTTCGAGTATGTGCAGCTGGTGTGTCAGCTCAAGATGAGCGGCTCCATACGACAGCAGTGAGTATTATTTCTTGGTCAATATTAGTAATAACATAAATATATACATTATATATATAATGAAAAGTGCGCGCTATATATTGAGTCATCAGAGAGTATATCGGACTTTCCTTTTAATATTCATAAAGTATTGAAATATCTATCGATCATTATCAATCATTAACTAACTCATATCTTTATTTTCTCTTCTCCAGATTGGACGCATTCCTCGAGGGCTTCTACGACATTATTCCAAAGCATTTAATATCGATTTTCAACGAACAGGAACTGGAACTTCTCATATCCGGCCTGCCGGATATTGACATTGAAGATCTAAAGGCCAACACCGAGTACCACAAGTATACATCCAAGTCGGCACAGGTAAGATTCGCTCTCCCGATCTCCCGATCTCCCTTTCTCTCTCTCTCTCTCTCTCTCTCAGTAAAGAGAGACTCTCCATCTCGAGAGAAAGACTTTGTCTCCATCTTAGAGAGAGACTTTGTCTCCATCTCAGAGAGAGACTTTGTCTCCATCTCAGAGAGAGACTTTGTCTCCATCTCAGAGAGAGACTTTGTCTCCATCTCCCTCTATATCGTGCTGTTGTCACCATTACGCTTTCCCCTTTCAGATACAATGGTTCTGGCGCGCCTTGCGCAGCTTCGACCAGGCGGACCGGGCCAAGTTCCTGCAATTCGTGACGGGCACCTCCAAGGTACCATTGCAGGGCTTTGGCTCTCTGGAGGGCATGAATGGCATACAAAAGTTCCAGATTCATCGCGACGATCGATCCACGGATCGCCTGCCTTGCGCCCACACCTGGTAAGCTTGCACTTTCCCCCTTCACTCACGAATCCCTGATGAATAATTTCTCCTCTCGTTAGCTTCAACCAATTGGATCTGCCCATGTACAAGTCATACGACAAGCTGCGCAGCTGCCTACTCAAGGCCATACACGAGTGCTCCGAGGGCTTTGGGTTCGCCTAAGCTGGAACTGGCGACCCAAAACGATTCCTAAATGCGAGAAATACTACGATTCGAAGAGGAGAAGGAGAATGAGAATGAGGATGAGACGAAGGAGAATAGAGCACAGAACAGCCACGATAGATAATGAGAGAAATGTCAGAAACAGAAAACTGCATACACACATAACGTACACACGGTACATATAGTTATATAGTATATATAAAAATGTTGAATTAATTATTAATTTTCGCGCCTATATATATACAATATATATTTTCTTAAATTTTCAAAAGAAAAACGATAAAAATCGAAGCAAGCATGCAAAAAAAAAAAAAATATAACAAACAAACAAAAGAGCAAAACAAAAACCAAGAAATCGAAATCCAAAAAACAAAAGAAAATTGATACAAACACGATTTCAAACAATCTGCGTAACTCGTTTTACAAACATTACCTATCCTTTTTTATGTCGATGAATCTACACACTCTTAATTTGCAAAGAAACCGATTTATTGTATACAAACACAAAGCGACACACTTTTATTTAACACGAAACCCTTGTCGGGAATAGCAAACACGATGATACAGATACGCGTAGTATATATACATATATAGAGAAGCAAATGCACATAAACGAGACGAGAACAACACAACACACCACAGGTTATACGCTTTGGTTTCGTATTTACTTAAGTGAACTTACCGAAGAAGAAAGGCCGGATGAATGGCAGGTGGAAATAATTAAACGGATTAAAGTATTTTGATGTAAGAGAAATAAGTCCCTATGTTATGCATTTTATGTTTACCTTCTTTTCAAATGAGTCGCGGATGTAACTTAAAGAGAATGGAATAAAATAAGAGAGTAAGCGCTCATTTATCATAATACATATTCAGAGAATCATTTAATTGGGTTTCCAGGCTCTATAAAATGTAGCCGGAAATACATTCTATGAGAATATTGGATATAGGGACTTCTTTTATTATGTCATTGGAGTTAAATATAATTTAGTATATTATTTTTGGTGTACAATTAATGATTTCCTTTAATTTTAAACGTGGAATTTTTATTTATTAGTCAATTTAAGTTTTGTGGTACAATTTTGAAAGTATATTCAAGTTATCAACAACTGTTCCGGAGCCAGTCCTTTCCGAATTTCTAAATCTAATATTTAAAGGGATTATAATTCAATATAAAATAATAAGGCAATTTTCCCCCAAAGAATCCTGTTTATTTTAAATAATTTCCAAATACTTAATCACTAAGTTTAGAAATTTTAATATAGTTCAAATATGAATATGAGGATTTTTGAATAATTTCCCAAAAGGATCTTCCCTATTTTTAGTCAATTTCCCTAAATGTGTACAGTATTTTAACCCGTACAGGCGACGGTCACTCTGAAACGATAAGATAACGCGGCGGCGGCGGTGCGGACGTAATGGATTTATATATACGCAAGGATTTGATCCTGACCAGCAGCACCGAGCTGGAGGACGTGGTTCCGCATTGCCGCAAGCTGCTCATCTGGCTGAGCGCATGTGAGGAGGAAATGGTGTCGCAGCACCGGCGCGTGCGTCTCAGCCAGTCGCTGGTCGAGTCCATGGTGAAGGCCACCCTGTACCTGTTCGAGTGTCACGATCGCTTTGGGAAGGAGCTGGCGGAACGCTGCGATTCGCATGGTTTCTTTGGCGAGACGCCACGAGAGTACATCCGGGAGTTGTGCGCCGGCATAGTGAAGACACGGCACGGCGAAGAGCATGCGCCGCTGCTGCATGTGATGCACAAGGCCCTGGCGGAGATTCAGCCGGCTTGGAATGTGATTCGGCACCTAGACTGGACACAGATGCGGCATTCGGAGGCGCTGACCGGTGACGATCTGATCAGTGTCGATCTGCAGCAGATGCGCCGCCTGGTGAAGCGAATTTGCCGGTTGACTAGCCTCCAGGACATGGAGACAGCGCTGCAGCGCTCCCTCCAACTGATGGGCTTTCACGTGTGGCTGCACCTCTTTCGGGAGCCCCGAGAGAGCGCCATACACCTCGACTGTCGCCTGCTGCGCCACATGATCTGTGATACGTTGACGGAGGGCACCTCCCCCGCCTGTGCCAGCTTCCTGCACAACATCTTCATATTTGTCGCACTGCCCGCCAACGAGATGAGATTTTGGGCCTGCCTGGAGCATAGCCACTTGGCCGCCAGCCTGATAGCCTACCTGATCGGCTATTGGATCCGACAGCTGCCCTACTTGGATCTGGAGGAGATGCAGCTAACTCCCGAGGCGCCTGCCCTTCAGACTGCCCAACTGCCAGTCAACGAGGCCACCTATGTCACCCATTTGATGCTGGCTCCCTGCTCCCCCTGCCGCCTGCAGTTTCGCCAACAGCTGAAGCCGCTCCTGCCCACCACTGCCGGTAGTCAGCTCCTGCAGCTGCTCAATAAAGTGGCCTACGTGTATAGTTAAAACGGCAGCCCGGCGGGCAAGATCTCTGTTTAATCAGTTTTAGGCAGGAATTCGCAGTTACCGTCGACCAGGCGAATCACCTTCTCGCCCTTCTCCGCCAGAATCTCCTCGATGTTGCGCTTGCCCTCGAGGTCCGTGAACCAGTTGAGGTTATCGGCGATGAGGTGGTGATTGGAGCAGCCCTCGCAGGTGACAATGACGACGCCACGGTTGTAGGCCACCTTCGAAATGGTCTTCATGTTCCGCGTCTGACACACCTTGCACGTGTAGATCAGCTGCATCTTGGTCTGCAGCTCGGCCAGGGGAATGCTGTTGGTGGCCACCGTCTTGTCCGCATCATGCTGCGGGAGAAGAATCAAAGTTTTTATGTTAATGATAGTGAAATTTCAATTTAAAATAATAGAAAAGATAAACCATACTTAAAAGAATTAAATGCTGCCTTATAATTCATATTTTTGAAGAATATTTATTAATGTGACAATAAATGTTAAATGTAGTAATTTTTTAATATTGTGTAGATTTTAAAATGTGATTTTATTGATCTAAAAAATCTTGGTTCATTAACTGGCAATGATAAAAATGAAAAAAAAAAATCAAAATTCGATAAAAAAAATTGTAATGTAGTAATTTTTTTATAATTTTTTTTTAGATTTATGGATTAGATTAATTATAAAATTAATTTTACTAAACTTACAACCGAATTACTTGTATGAAAAGTCCTGCAGATGCACGTGTAGTTGTTATTGTTGTTGCTTCTTCCAAAAACAGCTGATTTTGTTGTGTTGGCTGCTGCAGCCAGTAGTTGCGTTTCGAACCGAACTTCCCGGCGCTCAAACGCTGCGCTTTTTACTTTCCTTGCCGTGGCACACAGGGAACGTCTTCCCAGACCTGTGCTGATTTTGTACATTTGCTTTAAGACACTCATTTTTCGTGAATACTATAATTATTATGATTCTGATTAAATTCGATCGAACCGTGTGAAATAAAAATGTTATTAGTGATGGCACTTTGACTCGTTACCAACAAACATCAATGCGAATCGTGACTTTCAAATGAAAATCGTATATGATGAATGAAAAATATATATGCAATGACAGTCACTGTACCTTTTGTAAATTAATAGCAAAAACAAGTACAAATTATACAAAAATATCGTTCTTAATGATATCCGTTTTGTTTTCCAATTAGATTTCTCAAAATTTTTAGTCTCGCTCTTCACGCACCTATCGATAGCAGTAGTATCGCCGCAATTCACGTGACGTCTATCGACGAACAGTGTCACCACTACCAGCAACTAGAACTTATAATTTCGAATCGCAAAATCGGGAAAACAAATTATATAAAGCATTGGGAGCGAGATGGCGACACGTGTGGTGGCAACGGCGACCGTGCGCGCGGTCAAGGGACGCAAACTGATCCCGACGCGGGCCGCCCTTACCCTGGTAAGTGCTGCAGACTTGCGCTGCATCTGTGATGAAATCGGCGCGGGCGGACGCGGATTGATGAAGTAACAGTCACCCGTCGCCCGTCCTCAGCCCACTTTCACCAGTTGTTTACGTTCTATTGTTGTTGTTCTACTTCCAGACACCCGCGGCAGTGCAGCGGATCAAGACCTTGCTGCAGGACAAGCCAGACATGGTGAGTGAACAAGGCAGGCCACAGGAATGATACTGGGCGGACATAAGGATGTCCTTGCTGCAAATTGTTGATATTGTCCAGTTTTTAAGGATATTAGACTACAGAAGTTGATAGAAATTAGCTCTAATTCATCCTAGGAGTGTATCCAAAACACTCCTTTTACTCCTCTATGTTCCTTTATATCGTATTGTTTATACTACTCAGATTTTGTATGTCTTTAGCCCACTGACCCTCGAAATTCTTGCATATATATTGCATTTTTTAATCCCGCATTCAAGAGTTATTATATCTGTACTTAAGCGTCAAGCTTTAGCTTAGCATATCATAAATTTGGCGAGACTTTTAGGTAGTTGAACCTGAGATACTCTCAGGTTCAAGGTCTTTCTGATTAGGATGATGTGTTTAGAGAGTATTAGGTGGGGTATTATTATTAAATGGGGCATCTCCAGACGAACCATAGTGCTTAACCAATCTCCTTTTGCATGTCTTCTCCTGCCAGGTTGGCCTGAAGGTGGGCGTGCGACAGCGTGGATGCAACGGCCTCTCCTACACGTTGGACTATGCCAGCCAAAAAGGTGAGTTGAAGAGATCTTTTTATTTAGAGGCTTACTTACCTTCCATGTTGTCTACATTCACATCTCCCAGCAGATAAGCTGGACGAGGAGGTGATCCAGGATGGCGTCAAGGTGTTTATCGACAAGAAGGCCCAACTCTCGCTGCTGGGTAAGTGGCTTTGACACTTTAATTAGACCTTCCTTAACTCCTGAACCTGAATCGTTGGCAGGCACCGAGATGGACTTTGTGGAATCAAAGCTGTCCAGCGAGTTCGTGTTCAATAATCCGAACATCAAGGGCACCTGTGGCTGCGGCGAATCGTTCAGCATGTAAGCCGGAGATGGAGATCCAGAGGAGATCCGCCGGCACACACCCGCCTCGCAGACCTAAATTAACCAAGTTAAATGGAGCAACAGTAGGAGCAGCACGCAGCAGACTTAGTATCTCATTTCTGTTGGCCAAAAACACGGCAACCTCTACCCCTTTGTAAATTCTACTTCGCAAACGAATGCTAAATGTTAAGTTGTGTTCTTTAGTTAAATTTTAGTTGTACAATGCTTAGCGCTAGGTAAGTGACCCGTGGCAGTTGTCCTCTTAGCCGTAGTTCAATATATAGACAAGGAATGTTCTAGATGTGATTTCGCTCCCTCTCTGGATACTGTTTTAATGTGTTTACAATTACATACAAGTTTAAGTGCTACTCTTACGACTACCGCTGGTTCAGCCCATGTGCTCCGTACTCCTCGTAGTCCTCGCGCGTGTACACGAACTCGTCAAAGTTGGGGCTGGTGGCTACCTCCTTGCCGCCATACCAGGCATAGCGCACTGGATCCTCGGGGCAGATGAGTGAGACCTCCAGATCGCAGGGCACAAGGGCGCGCAGATCGCGTTTGAGGCGCGGCAGGAATCCGGGAAACTGAGCGCTGCCACCCACGATGAGTATGTTGAGCAGGAGTTCTCGATGCGCCTCCCAGGGGCAGGCCTTGAGGCAATCGGCCACCGCCTCGGGTATCCCCACCTGCTGCACACCAATGTCGGAGGGATTGAAGAGCAGCTCGGGCACGGTGAAGCGTTCATTGCACAGCGGCACCGACTGCTGCTGGTCCTCGTCCTCCCGCGGTTGACCGGGCACCCGGATATAGCCACGCTTCACCGTGGTAAAGTCAGGCAGCACATAATCCAGAGTCACCTCCCGTCGCTTCTCCTCGCTCTGGTGGACCCGCATTGCCTCCTTGAAGTCCTCGGCCACGAAGCAGACGTCCTCCTTGATCTGGTTGACCACGTGGCTCTCGTCCATCACGTTCAGCTGACGGTAGGATATGAGCTCTTTGAGGTGATTGGTCAGCGCCTTGCCACCCATATCGATGCGCCGGATGCCCTCAAGCACACGGCGTCCAAGGACGAAGGGCACAACATGTGTGAAGCTATAGCCGACGTCGATAATGATGCAGTTCAGTGATTGCATCGTGGTGCGCTCCTCGCTGTCAGCCACATAGTTGAAGGCGGCCAGGTCGGCTGCGGTTGTCTTGTATACGCCCCCTACACGGTATTCTTCAAACAGCATCTCCAACATCGCCTCCTGAACGCTCTGGAAGTTCATCTGCGGCTCCGTAATCACGATGCTGCGTCCATCGAGGGTGCAACCGATGCCGTCCTTGCTGAAGATGTAGTCCCACACGGTCTTCTGAGTGTCCCAGTTAAGCAGGTAGCCGCGCTGGAAGGCCAGTATATAGAACAGCGCCGAGGTGTCCCGGCACTCGTCGATCTGGTTGCCCACGAAGGCGCGCCGTCGCTCGCTCTTGGCCTTCATGATGCAGTTGGGCACCACCTGCGGCTCGTCCTGGTTGGCCAGTCCCACCTTGGCTGTGTGCGCCCCGTTGTCCAGCACCACCACTGCGTTGGCCATCGTTAAATGCGTCTTCGACTCGGCGGAGTTCTATAGCATTTTCTTAAAAGTTCAAAAAACACCAAAACCTCGCTTTAGTGATGAACGTAGCCTTCGATAGGCCTGCGTGCAGAGACTTATCGGATACCGATAGGCAGTTGGTGCCGTGAATATCGCTTTTTAGTGTATTTGTCCCATCTCTATCGCGAATTTTATTGATTCAGCAGAAGAATTCTCCGCGTAAATCAAATCTCCCGTGATCAAGTGCTACCCGCTGCGCCGTAGATGTGAACCGGCACCTGGCAGCCGACCCGCAGCACCGGATCCATCGATCCGCCGATCTGCCGGCAGCGCTTACTGCGCAAATAGAAAACAAACCACAACTGCATCCATAAACCGTCCCCCCCTCGCTCAGCGGCTGCAGAAGTACGAAAGAAGGGGGGAGAATAGGCGAGGAAAATGGTGGACGCCGCCAGGCAAATGCTCGATGAGCTAATGGGCCGCAACCGGAATCTGCATCCCTCGGAGGCCGGGGCCAAGGTCAATTGGGAGGACCCCGAGGTAAGTGGCTTGATGCCAGTGCTACATGCAATCCTTATCACTCCAATTTCCCGTTTCCGTGGTGCAGTTCTGCCAGTTCTACAACGTCAAGTTCTGCCCGCACGACCTATTTATCAATACCCGCGCCGACCTCGGTCCCTGTACCCGCATCCACGACGAGGAGGCCAAGCACCTGTACGTGGAGGCGAGGCCATCGCAGCGAAAGCGACAGTACGAGGACGAGTTCTTGCGGTTCTGCAATGTGATGCTGCACGACGTTGATCGAAAGATCCAAAAGGGCAAGCAGCGCCTGCAGCTGATGCAGCGCGACCAGCCCGTTGTCCCCGCCCCGCTGAGCAGGCAACAGGAGCAGCTGGCCAACCTGACGGCGCGCATCAATAAGCTGCTGTCGGAGGCCGAGGAGGCGGGCATACGGGGCGATGTCGATCAGGCCCAGGACCTGATGACCCTCTGCGAAGAGCTGAAGGAGGAGAGGGAGCAGCTGGTGCGGCAGTACGAGGCCAGTCACAAGGCCAACAGCAGCATTAGTAACCTCCAGCAGTCGAGCGGGGACGAGCAGCAGCCACAGTCGTTGCCCATGAGTCCCGGCGCAAACTCCAACGACGGTGGTCTCGCCAAGGAGGAACCCTTCAGCCTGACCCAATCAGTTGGCCAGCCTGCTGTTGGCAGTGATAAGGCCACAGAGGATGTAAACACATCTAATTTGGATTCCGTACCCGGATCTATCATTGCTGAAGAAGGTAGCGAAGGCCTTGCTACGATAGCTTTTGCTCCAGCTCCTACTACTCCCGGCAGCGAGGATAAAGCAGAGCGGCCGACGGAGATAAAGTCCGTTGGCTGGTCGCACGAGGCATTGCCGGAGAAACAAATGAAAGTGTGCGAGATATGCGGCGCCTTTCTGATTGTGGGCGATGCCCAGCAGCGGATCGAGGACCATCTGACGGGCAAGCAGCATCTGGGCTATTCCAAGCTGCGCAATGCCGTAGCCGAGATCAACGAGGCGCGGCAGAAGGAGCGCGAGCAGGAGGATCGTCGTCGGCGAGAGGGCCGCGTCCAGCGCTTCCACAACTACGATAATAGGCGGTAAGTGGCCATTGCTTGATCTTTATTTGGAGATGAGCTTATAAGGAGGCACATTATCTACTACCTTCAGCTGCGTAGTAGCTACCCACCTTTTTTGGTCCCGACATAAATTACTTTTTCCTGTGTTTGCTTCTGTAATTATTCGCAAGCAAACTTGGCAACTTGCCCTTGTGATGTGACTATTGGCTAATACTGCCAATATTCACCTTACTTTGTAGTAATCTTTTGCGGCTGCCAAATGAATGCTTGTTCAAATTGCATCACAAATCAAGGCAAAGGTTAAAACCTGGCCAATTTAGTTTGCTTCAAAGAGTTTATATTTACTATCTAATCCTTGAAAATATTATCCAGGGACTCACGCAACGACTACAGGGAGCGAAGTCGAGACTATGGCCAGAATCGTCAGCCCTCAGATCGGCGACACCGTAAGTTAACTTCCCCACCCACATTGAGTTGCACACGGCCCTCATCAGCTTTCTGCTCTTTCCAGATCACCACAAATCGCATCACAGCTCGCATCATTCGTATTCGCGAAGTGGTGGAGGTGGCTCTGCTGGCGGAAACGGCGGTGGAGGCGGTGGCAACCGGAATAATCGCCACCATAATCACAACCATAGTCACAGCCACTACCGGCATGATAGCCGTGAACGGCACTGTCGCAGCCGGAGTCGCAGCCGCTACTAGAGACCAAAAACCAATAACAAAGTGAAACGAAATAAGGAAGCGAGAATAATACAAAAAGAGTCAAGTTAAAATATTAGCAAACGCTGAGACGGAGGCCTAGAAGCATACGCAGAATGTTTGGAAACGAAACCTTTCTAAAACCACGAACAAGACCAACCAACTGACACTCAATCTTCGATTCGCAATCCGTAAGCAGCAGCTGCCAACGCAGAGGCAGCATCGAGGTACCCCAAAAAAAAAAAAAAAAAAAATCATTAACACAATTTCCAAAGTAATATGTATCAAGACAGTAAAAAAAAAAGAAACAGTGTATCAGAGAGCTGGCTAGAACGAGTGCGCAGAGGTGAGTCCAACACTTGATCATCTCCGTAAACGTAACACTCTCCGGCGCCATCGTGTGCCCCTCCACACTCCGTAGACATACTCGTACTCGTACTCGTACCATAACTATATATATTGAACAATCCGACTGACTCCGACCTGCCCCCTATATACATATGTCGTATTTTGGAGGCATTTAGCCACGCAGGAGGGTGATCCTAAAGAAAGCTTCTCTAACAGAGCATTAACTAATTGTTAGTTTGATTTTAAAATTTCCCAAAAGACCCAGTGTCTTGATCTAATCAGCTTTGATTTTTGATAAGCCATATATATTAATATATTAACGCTTAAATGAGTGACTTTATTTGACTTTCTGTTAAAAACATTATTTGTACGTTTCAGAAAAGATATAGTCCAGCAATCTGAAACTAGATTCTAGAATTAAATAGTAAATAGTATTTGATATAGATATTAAAATATCTCTGTAAAGTGTTACTTAGCTTCAGGATCAGGGATAGGGAATCCAAAGTAACTTAGCTCCCTTGAGGATTGGGGTGAGACGAAGCGCTCTTCCGGGCGCCTGTGCGACATCGACAACGACAACGACGGGACAGTGACTGTTCCAGGTATTTACCAAGCCTTACTCCTTATCTCTTTTGCGCTTTACTAACCAAAATCAAAACCAAAACCAAAAATAAAAACAGTTTCACCACGCATCTCATGCAATCCCCTGCACACTCAAAACCCAGGACACCAAACACACACACATGGCTCCTCCACACGATAAAACAATGAATGTAAATATCTATGTACTATATACTATATTAGAGACTTAGAGAGACTCGAACTGCATGTGCTTTGGCTTGGCTTGGCGAATGGGTTGCTGGGTCCCTTGCCTTGTGTGTCCGTGCGTGTGTGTGTGTGTTTGGGCATTGGGAGATCCTTATTCCGAATTCCGTAACCCAGAGATACCTGTAGTTGAAGTACGAGTACCTAGCATAAGGACAGATGAGAGCTGATAAGAGTGATAATGGGAGCAGCTTCCGTTGTATGTATTTCAAAGAATTTAAGAGTTTTCCGATTTGGATTATAACCAATTATTAAGATAATGTTTTATATAGAGAATATCCCTTAAAATATGTTAAATAGAGAAATAAGTATTTGCGATATCTATAGTTACTCTCTAATCGGAAATTGGTTTAATTACTGAGGAAGGATTATCAAAGTTATAGTATAGTATAGTTACTCTCTAATCTATAATTGGTTTAATTACTTAGGAAGGATTATCAAAGGGACCTTACACTCCCATTGTCACTTGAGCGAGGAGGGTTAATTGTCGGGTGTACCCACCTTTTCTTATTATAACTTTGCAGGGTATTATAATTTAAGCTTAAAAATCAGTGAAGGAATCATTTCCGACCCTATAAGTCATATATATTCTTGATCAGGACAAACAGGCGAATCGATCTAGCCATCTTAGGCAGAGAAAAAATTTTTGAAATTTTTTTTCATAATTTTATAAGGTTAGAATTCGCAAAAATGGACCAAAATTTTTTTAATTTTTTCAAATTTTAACTGAGTATGCAGATTTATAAACCTCAAAAAAACTAGCCTAGAACCGCTTTCCGAATTAAAATTAATGCATTTTTTGCGTAGTTATGCGTTTTTTTAACTTTAATAAGTCTAAAAAAATTGTTATTAAAAATATAGGTACAAATTACTCAAAGAATGGTATTATAATTTTAGTCAGAAGCTTAAAAATCATTGAAGGAATCATTTCCGACCCTATAAATCATATATATTCTTGATCAGGACAAACAGGCGAATCGATCTAGCCAACTTAGTCAGAGAAAAATTTTTTGAAATTTTTTTCATAATTTTATGAGGTTAGAATTCGCAAAAATGGACCAAAAAAATTTTAATTTTTTCAAATTTTAACCGAGTATGCAGATTTATTAACCTAATAAAATCGAACATAGGACGGCTTTCCGATTGTAATTTAATAAATTTTTGGTTGAGTTATGATGAATTTTCTCTGCAAGGGTATAGCAATTTCAGTTCTCCAAAGTTAGCTTCCTTTCTTGTTGTTTTTTATACACACACACACACCCACATGTATCCCCTGTGTCATTGTTGTGGTGTGGTGTTTTGTAAAAATCCGTATCCCCCATCCCACTCTACAGCACTTTACCCTAATTATTATAATTAAGAGACAAGAAACTATTACTACTACTAACACCCAGCGAAAATCTTCAAAGCCAAGAATCCAAGATACCCAACGAAGCCAACGAGGTAATTGCATCGATCGTTAATTCGCATTAAATAATAATTAATAGACATAGGCAAGGGGCAGAGGGAATCAGAGCACATAGCACAGGCAGAGAAAGAGAGAGAGAGAGAGAGAGAGAGAGGGAGAGAGAGAGAGAGAGAGAGAGAGAGAGTGAAAGCGAGAGTTCGAGTATACCCAAACCCAAAACAACACCAGTGGTGTGTCCGTCCATATGTATCCCCCAACCATCCTCTTCGCCAAAACAGGTAAATTTCGAACGAACTTAATAGGCCCAAAGCAAAAAAAAAAAAAAAAAAAAAACATACATATATGAATGATATTTGTCCCCCCAACACGTCCACGATCGGCTGTATGTGATGTTCGTGCCACACCATCACAACACACTCAGAGGATGTACGCATATACCAACCATATATGTATAATTATCTATTATTATATCGTCTCTATATGTGCATCTGTGTACCCAACTTAGTTTAAGCCACAGAGTGTACTAACTATATTGCCTAGCTCACTTCACTCACACGTTTCACTCTGCCACACATTTCAGGACACTTCTGGAGGATGTATATTGATGATGAAAGCCCAAAGGATGAAATATATTTGAGATATTGAGAAGATATTGAGATTTTAGAAGAAGAGCCAACCCAGGTAACTTCTATGCCACTCCTCTCCCCCACATAAATGTTTCTTCAAGACAGACACAAAAGGTGACACAGTGGCGGCGCAGTCCGAAATCAACTTTCAACTGTCAACGATCAACGATCAACGAACGAACGAATGATGATCACTGGATCAGTGATCACAAAACACGAGAGTGAAAGAGAGAAGGGAATGAGAAGGCAGAAGAATGAACCATGTAGGAGCGTTTTTAGGCATGAATGATACAACCAAAACGAGGTGAATTTCTCAATTACTCTCATCTATACTTATAAATTGATCTATAACTCCACGATCCCACAATCCCACTACCCAACATTTGACCCCCCTATTATACCATTCTGCGATCAATTCACATCCCCTCGTACATACATGTATGAAGAGATGTACTAAGGCCGCTTAAGTTTTGTTCGAGCAAGTGCATCCAACATCCCACATCCCACATCCCATATCCCACATACCCATACCCAATCCAATGTTCCTTTTCGGTTATTATTAATTCACCTAGCGCAAATTAATCAATTGAATTGAATCGAGCCTCCCCCATTGGGCCCCAAGCAAGCAAATAATCAGAAAAGTAAGGTATATATATAGTCTAACCCAATCAAGAAATTCGATCGATCGCCTGTAGTCATGTAAAGATGTTTTTAATTATGAATTACGATGATTTAAGAATAAGGTTACTACATTCTATATTTATGTATATGTATATATATATATATATGAATATATATATATATAAATATATGTATATTGAGAGAACTCGCAATAATTTTCTAATAAAGATCAAAGCAAATCCCGAAAACGAAGACAAACCTTGTAGTTTTCTTGATTGATAACATTAATAACTTAAACTTTCCTTTCCATTTCTTAACGATATATAACCCATCCCCCCATTTCAAAGTCCGTGTGCCTGTTATAACAATATCCGCCTGTGTATATTTATTACTGTATACGTATACATAGATTTAATAATAATAATATTTATAAATTTGTTGCCAGTTTTTACTGTATGTATTTGCCATTTTTTGTAAGTTTAATATCTACAACATTTAGCCCCGTGATACCTGGTTAAAGCTAGAGCTAGAAGAAATCAATGTTATATCGAAAACATCGATTCTATTCTAGCTCTAATAGTTACAGTGCGCTTACGGGGCAAACTAGGGTTTTATTTTTTATTACATTTTCGAAAAGAAAGGCAGAAAGAAATAAATTAAAATGGTACCGTCGTCTAATTGAGCAAATAGCAATAACAATAGTTTCAAAACAGACACCAATTAGGAAAGGCAGTCAGGGGTATAATGGATAAAGGGATCATTAAGAATACACATAGTAATTTAACGATCAAGTGAAATCGTTGTCGCGACAACAGTTGTTTTTGCTTCTTCTTTTTTAAGAAATAACAATTTTCGAGCCTAAACTAATTAAATGCAATGCCCACCGTCTGAACTGGATAATTACTTTGGAAGTACATTTAGCGTAAAGAAAGTGTACTGAATCATCTCACAAGAGCATGCCGAGACAACAGACATGTATGAAAATTGGATTTTATTACCAAATAATAATAATAATAATAATCGTAGTTGTATAATATAAGGGGGATACATAATGGTATAATAATCGTGATAAAAAAATATTGATATTTGCTTTTCGGGTGGTGGGAAATCGGAAGGAAACGGAAGGGAACAAAGACTGAGTACCAAAAAGAAAAAAAAGAAGAAAAAACTGATTGCTTTCCGATTTCCGATTCTTAATAGTAAGCTATATGTAAGCATGTCTGTTTTTTTTTTTTAATAGGCACACTGTACACTACATCGACTTGATGGCGATCATCCTTTGCGAGAAATCCTCCATCCTTCCAGGGGCTGGGTGGGGGGCTAAGAGTTAGTTACAGGCTAATACCTAGAGAGTAGCAAGTAGCAGGGTGTGTCTGTGTGTTTGTGTGGGGTGGAGAGCTTCCGGGAATTCCAGGGTTCTTAGCACCAACGGTCACCGCCTCCGTCTCAGGATCCAGTCCGCCGCTGCTGCTCCTCCTCAACATCATCATCATCCATCGTGAGACACCTGCGACTGAGGCTGCCGTCTGTCCTCCTCTGCTAGTGACAATGCTCCGTCACATCCACAATGACCGATTTCTTCCAGCAGAAGAGGAAGTAGCCAACGGCAGCGCCCAGCACCACCATCAGGCAGAGCCAGACGTTGTAGGTCATAAAGATCAGCATGAGCAGGAAGGAGAGCGTCACCTGGAGGACGTGCAGCAGTGTCTGGAGCAGGTGGGTAACCGACAGCATCGAGGGTCTGAGCATCGATCAAAGAAATCTCAATTAGAATTTTAGTTAACAAAATGCAAAACCCAAAAAAAGAAGGACGATAACAGAGACTGTACAAGAACTGAACTACTTTAAAGAACTCAACAAGGACAAGGAAGAAAGATGGTCAATTGAAAGTAAACTGAACTTAAGTGAGACAACGGATTAACATAAGCGCTGGGGTCAGGAGGTGGGAGGTCTGTTTCGTTTGGTGTCTAAACGGAGCGATACTTACGGTTGCTTGTGCACAACTTCGCCCACGTATCTAAAAAGGACCGATCGAAGGACATACGTTTGCGATTCACGGATGTAGATGTAGATACAGTAATTAGATATACGTTTCAATCACAGATTCGCATGAATCATTTTACAATTACGATAACAATTACAGGCGAGGCGAGGCAGAGCGAAGCGTAGCGCAGCACAGCGGCATGAGATTGGATATTGGATATTTGATGGCATTGGTGTTTTGTGGATGGATCGATTTACAAATGGAAGAGCGACGCGTGTTCATATTGCACAGATGATATATATACATATATAGCATATAAGATGGATCAGGATGAGTCGGTAGCAGTAACGAAAGAGAGAGAGAGAATAAGAAGAAAAACATTAAGATTAATATATATATATATATATACAACATAGGTAACGACCAAAGCTAAGGCAACAGGGGGCGTAAAGCAAGCAGCATGCTTGATAGCCAAGTTGTAACTCGATGTACTCACTGCACGGGCGAGGGAGCCGCCGCCGCCGGTGATGGCAGACGCGGCGCCTCTGGATTTCGTTGTGGTCCCGTCACCGGGCGATACTCCATTAAATTGTATGTCTTCCAGAACAGATACTCGCGATAGTACTTCAGACCCTCGTACATGAGGGCCAGCAGGAAGATGGCTATCATGGAGCCGACCAGTCCGGCCACCGTTTCGATATGCCACCAGGAGAACAAGATGGTCTCGTTGTACCCAAAATGGAACTATTCACATGCACATGGAGATGAGTCAACTTTGAAGCATCGGAATATAAAAAGATGAACCTACCGCCATGGGCATCATGTGCTCCATTCCGGTCCCAGAGCCGCCACCTCCGTGATTGTGATGGGCATGACCCGCATGGACATTTGTGTCGGGTATCAAATCAAACAGTGAACCAGCGTCCGAGGGTGCAACAGTGGCTGCCACAGCTCCACTGGGATCGTGATGCATGCCCGCATGATCGTGATGCATCATGGAATGATCTATGAAGGGTATAGGAATATGGTTATAAAATCAAAGAGATAGCTCCCAGAGGGGTGGACTCACCAACTCCAGCTGCACTGTGGTGGGCGTGATCCATGACTTCTGTTTGCTTCTTTCGGAGGAGGATTGCTTTTGGCTAGCTGGGCGCTTCTGCGAATTTGCTGCTGCTGCGGCTGCTGTTAATGCCTGTGTGGAGTGGAGCAGAGTGAAAGTAGCATTAAATCTTGGCCACTTGCGGAGTGTACATGTTATGTGCTTGATATGGGAATGACCACAGTTGCGGTCAAGGGAATAGCTAAGCACGAAATATATGTTTTACACTCTATCCATTATTACAATCTGAACGATCTCTAGCTCTTTTGCAACTACAATTTCCACCTCAACTGTGTGAGGGTTGGGTCATTAGCCTCAACCTACATAAATTCATAAAACCCATTCAACTCGATATTTCAATTAGAAAGTCAATCTTTGAAGACAAAAGGCCAAGTGAGTGTGCCCCTTCTCTGCTCGTTTCGATTCCCTTTCACATCTCTAGGCAAAAGGGAATGCGAATTGCGATGTGGAAACTGGGTAATGAAAAATTCCAGGCATAACTCCACCAACCACCACCGGTTTTCCTCTTCCGAAACTTCCTCCTTCTCCGCCCCAACATCACGCCTCACGTCTGACCTTGCTTTATAGCCTGGATTCACCGACTGCTCCAACTGCTGTTCCACTTCTGCAAATGGGAGCAACGCGTCGCCTCCTCGAATCAGAGAACTACATACTTAACTGGGTAGCTCTCGCCGTCTGTGCCTGTTTAAGCTTTTGTTTGTGGTTCACCGCACTATATTGTAAACAGATTATATGTTTTGTATCGGGGAAAGGGAGTGTGTGATAAGGGGCGAGACCGCAAAAGAAGAAAAAAGCAAAAGTAATCAGGGAACTATGTTCGCGGCACTTGTGGCAGGGCAGGCATGCAAGGCGCTGACATGAAGCTGACTGATAGCGCACTTGCAGGAAGTGCGGTGTTGTGGCAGACAGCAAACAGTTGGCTGGTCAAGGGAGGTCAAGGACAGTGCACTATCCTGATATTATCCACTTAAATGGCCGTAGCATTTATAATTATAAATTTAATATGAAATTAAGCAGGACAAGTGTTTGAAAAGCTCAAAATACACATACTTGTAGAGTTTCAGATCGATTAAATAGAAAATAAAGACGAATCTTATGTATTGACTGATCCTCAACACTTGTTACCCTGCTTAAAACCTAATAAAAAAGGTACTATATAAGAAGATAGCTTTAAAACGTCAAGGTATACATAAAAATGTGAATATATAGTATATATATTTTGCTCTCCCTCACAAAGATAATAAACAAAATGAAAAAAACTTGGGGGAAAACACGCTCACACACACATGCGCACAGATTTCAGCGAAACGATAAAAACACGTATACGCCACCGTCATGTTTGTAATTAATCTCCACAAAAAAAAAACAATTGTACATAGAATCCACAAAGAGCGTTAGGAAGAATCGTGTCTAGAAAACTCTCCACCTGTAACCCGTTTTTGGTTTCCCCGGAACCCTTCCCAGCCAAGAAATCTATGACCAACTGGTGCAGTTAATAATATAAAATACGCTCTTCGCCAAGATCTGGCGCGGAATGGAATGCTCTAACCTTGGAGCGAATCGAACTGGACCGGACTGGCACGACTGGTTAACTGGTTAACTAACTGCTTGGCTGCCTCTTTTGCGTTTCTAGCCCCAAACGAAAGGAAAATTATATCGCTGCCGCTGTGCCGAAGTATGTCTTAACATCGGGTAGACAGACAGAAATACAAAGAGATCTACGCGGAAGCCAGAGACTTTCAAAATATCTCATTATTGGGAACATAATTGCCACTTTTGGCTGCACCAGGCAGCGAATCGGGCTTGGGATTTTGTAATACATTAGTGGGTCACAGGTGTAGGCAGATCACATCGCGAGGGGGGTGTCCTATAATATCATTTTTATATCCTGTCAGGGATATCATCTCCGACCGACAGGAAATCGTTTCCGACCCTATAAATCATATATATTCTTGATCAGCATCAACAGGCGAATCGATCTAGCTATGTCCCGCAAAAATTTAATTTTTTCAAAATTTTATAAGGGGTTACATCGTTAAAAATTTAAAAAAATTATAAACATTTTTAATTTTTTTTAATGTTAAATAAAATATGCAGATTTATTAATCTAATAACAACTAACAAAGGGCAGCTTTCCGATTTAAAATTAATGAATTTTTGGCTTAGTTATGAGATTTTTAAATTTTAATTTGTCGAAAAATTTCATTTAAAAATATTGTTAATATCGGTTAAAAAATGGTAATGGACCTTCAGTCAGAAGCCTAAAAGAAAGTGAAGGAGTCATTTCCGACCCTATAAATCATATATATTCTTGATCAGCATCAACAGGCGAATCAATCTAGCTATGTCCCGCAAAAGTTAAATTTTTTCAAAATTTTAAAAATTTTATAAGGGGTTACATCGTCAAAATTAAAAAAAAAAAAATGATAATAATTTTAATTTTTTTTAATTTAAAAAAGAGTATGCAGATTTTTTAATCTAATAAAACTAACATAGAACAGCTTTCCGATTTAAAATTAATGCTTTTTTGGGGTAGTTATGAGTTTTTTAAAATTTGATTTGTCGCAAAAATTGCCATATTAAAATATCTACTTAAAATGTAGAAATCATAGGTCTTCTTGGTGGTTTTTTAATTTGTTAACATTTGAAATAAAAGCTAAAAAAAACTGCAAGGGAATACAGAGGTAAGCTTTCTTTTGCGTATAACTATATACAAATTTTCAGGCTCTCAAGAAATGTATAAAAGTTGAAATACCCCTTTTAACCACGTCCCTGTATTGAACATCAACCCAACCAGTTGATACTCTCCCTCTCTGTCTAACACTCTCGCTTTCAATGGGGGGCATTAACTGCATTAGCAAACTCTACCCCATTCTCTTCGGTTGCCCCCACTATCTCCTATTTGCATGGACGTGGAATTAACAGTTTGAATGCTGTAAGTGCAAGAGCTCTCTTGGCTCTATCTCTCGGACGCACACACAAAACCCCCACCTCATCACCTCCCCCCCACCCAACCCATTTGCGAAATGTCAAATCGTGACTGGCATGGACTACAAAAAACAAGCATAAAGATAAAATAGGCAAAGAGAAGAGCAGCGAAGAACGAGAGCGAGAGCGTGTATTTGTTAAGTGCGTGAGGGGGGCTGTTATATCACAGAGTGAGAGTGATCTGAATTCGAATATCAATCAAAGGGGGAAGACCGCTGCACACACACACACACAAACTAATTGTGCTTGTAACGGTATTAATTGTCAACCGATTGATAAGCGATCGGCAGCACTGATAATCGCAATCGGCATGCAAGCGCTGATTATCGATAAGAGCTGCTAAGCTATTCTTGCTCTTGTTTTGCTTTTGGTTCGAACTTCGAATTCGAATTCTTGTCGTCGTATACCCTTTCCCCTACTTACTGCAATTGCTGCTTCTGTTGTTGTCTTTGTTGTTGTTGCAATGTTGCCGGCGAATACCGAATATCGCGCGAATAGAGTGGTTTCAACGGAATGTGTGTATATAGCTAAAACAGAATCAACAAATAAATGCCAATAAACCACAATTGCCAGCAGCAGCAGCAGCAGAGAGAGTGTAGAATGGAGTACAATGGCAAAACCGAGGCGGTTGGCGGCAGCAGCTGTCGCCGCAGTTCCAACACCGCCCCCTCCGTCGTCCGCACAATCACAGTCTCTGTTTATTACTTTGTTGCTGGGCTTTTTGCACTAAATCGCCTGCACATGCACACACACACAAACACACGCACAACAAATCACTTTATCGCTTAGCATATGCTAAGCTTTGCACGAGTGGGTGGAGGAAAAGGAGGAGGAGGAGGAACAGGGAGAGGAAGATAGAAAAGCAGTCATCTGCGATGGGTATAACTGGGAGAGTAAGCGGAATTTATTTCACGGATTCACTGTGTTATCCAATCGCACATGTGTATGGGTGTGCAGCTGTATGCGGCCCGATTAAGGCAGAGAGGAGAGCCTTTCGTATCAATCGTTTTCATTTACTATATCCTTGCAAGCTTACTTTCTGCGGCTCGATTGGCGTCAAATTAAAAACAAAACAAAATCGCGCACGTCCGCCCGCAGACTACTTGTTCCCACGAATTTGTTGATGAATTAATTGACGGAACATATGTTCTTTTTTTCATTTTAAACAGCACAAGAAAAGCACTAAAAAACGACAAAAATCGGTGTGGGCTAAACCGGGCTTGATCAGAGTTCGATAGTCTTTTGCATACACTTTGCCAAAGCCCGGGGGCCCTTCACTTCTTGAATTCACATGTGTTTAGTTTAAATTGATTAGTTTTTTACAAAATAAATGAAAAGCCCAACATCTGCGGGTTCAGTGTGTGCACACACCGAACGGACAATCATTTCCAGATATCGATAAGCCCCAGCTATCGAGTGTTTACCATCGCCATCAGCCAGCAGGGTTTTTTGTGCGTAGTAAATTTTAAAAACATTGTTTATTGACTTTAAAAGGTGAATTTAATCAGGATGTGAGCCACGTTTTAGCTAAGACTAATATCCCAACTACTTGTAGGTTGTTTGCAACCTCTGAACGATAAGCAGCAGCCACCGGACCGACCGGACCAACTTGGACCAAAACACGTGCAGCGCAGCAAAACAAACGTTTGCTCCAATCTCTAATTCGCGTTGCAACTGGTAAACTACACACACACACAGCCGCAAGATGGGAATGGTACAGAAGCGCAAGAAGATGCACTATGGCGACACTCACCTGCAGCGCCGGTGGCGCGTGCGCAACCGTCGTCGCGACCTCGACCAGATCGACGAGGACATGCGCAACAGAAGCGCCGAGCTGATCAACCAGAACGTGGACCTCGATAAGCCGGGCTTTGCACAATTCTATTGCGTTCACTGTGCCAAGTACTTTATCGATGACACCGCCATGCAGGCGCACTTCCGCACCAAGGTGCACAAGCGGCGTCTCAAGGCGCTGGAAACGGAGCCATACACCATCGAGGAGTCGGAGCGGGCCGCCGGCCGGGGCAGCTTCGTCCAGGCCAAGAAGCGAACGCTGGAAACGCAGCCAACAAAGGAGGAAGTAATTGCAGGCAAGCGCATCAAGGTAGAGGAAATCCCATCAACATCCGATGCCGATGCAACGCCCTCCACATCGAAGGCGAAGCGCAAGAAGGCAGAGAAGATGGAGACCTAGGCGGGGGAGATTAACAAGCTATCTATTTAGATTAATAACCAAGTACTTGGGTAACTACTACTCCAGTTTTCCTCTTCTGTTTTCTAGAAATCCATCTTATAAATATATTTTTTTTTTGCTTCTGTATCTGGTGTATGTACGGATTGTTTCATTAGGAAAGAGATACATTATCACAATGTAAACTCTAGCTTGAAATAAATAATGCTTGGATTGACTTTTTCCTCGGTATAAATATATTTTTTTGCTTCTTTATATATATGTATATCTCCGTTCACAATTTCGCTTGATACATACAAATAGATGATATACTTAGGTTAACTATAACTATTCGAACTATACAACATGATGGTGCAGAGTTGCTGCCACTGGGCGATGCACTTGCACTTGGGTTGCCTTTGCGGATTCTCGCTTGCTTCTTTACAATTCTTCAATATATATATTTATATTCTACAATTCATTATCTTTTCCTTTTTATTTTTGGTATTCCTTTCCTATTGTTCATGATATATATATATGTAAAAAAAGAAACATTCCTACAAATCTAATTGTGTGTTGTTGCGGGACCCTAAGCAGCTTGAGGTAAATAGATGCGGCCGAGCTGGGCACTGGGCACTGGGCACGGTACACTGGACTGGATTCCGGGCGCTGGATGAATGAGACGTGCTCGGATGATGGGTGTGTGTTTGTGTGTATATGTACAATCGTGATATGTGCCTTATCTATATACAAATGACGAGACTGGGGTATGAGGACTAGTTCATTAATTTGTTGATTTGCTGGAGCTCCAAATCTGCCTGCTGCTGCTGCTGCTTTAGCTGCGGCTCCGATATGACCGTCTGCTTGTGATGACGCTGGCGTCGCACCTTTCGCATTGTTCCATTCACCGGCGGCTGTTCTACCGTCTCCGTTGGCTCTGCGGCCTCCGTAAAGAACGGATGCTGCAGTGCCTCGGCGGCAGTGATCCGCTTGTGCGGATTAACCTCCAGCAGGCGGTGCAACAGGTCGTAGGCGCTGGCCGGAAAGCACTCGTATGCGTCCAGCGGCTCCGTCATATACTCGCTGTCGTCGCACAGGCAGTTGAAGAAGTACTGGTCACAGTTGCGGCACACTTCGCACCGTCCGTCGGCGGACTCGTGGCTCTTGAGCAGCTTGGCGTCACTGAAAACGGTACGATGGCGAAAGCGCAGGCACAGCTTTCGTAGATTTAAAGGTCTCGATCGCTGGCTGAGCGTAATCATGCGGTCGAGGGCCAAGGCCGTCTTTCGAATGGCCTGGTCACCGAATATGGTAACGATCTCGGCCAGAGCGATGAAATCGTTGGGTGCCTTGAAGAACGGATACACCGAGGACATGATGGAGAGAAAGATAACGCCAGCAGCCCATACATCTACGGCTGTGGTCTGGTCCGGATACTTGAGCAGCACCTCCGGCGGACGATAGCCCGGTGTCCCAGCCCGGGAGGCGTGCACCTCCTTCTTCATCAGACAGTTGAGGCACACCGATGGATTAGCAAAGCAGAAGCACTTGGAGCTATTTGCAGTTACTCCTGAGGCGCTCCTATTCGTATTGTACTTGCTGCCGGATGCCGGTGTTGAAGCGACAGGCTGATCCTGTTGCGGCGTCTGCTGCTGTTGCTGCTGCTGCATTGTGGCCGCCTGCTGGCCGGGATTCGATCCATCGGCGAGCTGCGTCTCGCCCTGGGCGATCTCATTGACCGGCTTCAATGGCATCTTGATGCCGTCCTCATGTAGCCGCATTCGCTTTACAGCGCCACCCAATCCGGCGTCTGCTGGGACACTTGCCTGCACTGCATCCGTTTCCCGTTCCCTTGGCCGCTTGCTGTTGTTGTTGTTGTTGCCGGCTGCGGCGGCACTACCTCCTGCAGCAGCGGTGGCTCCCATAACCGGCGGATTCACATGCTGGGCCAGGCCAAAATCGACGAGAAGGAATTCACGACGTCGCCGATTGTACAGAAAGTTGCTGGGCTTCACGTCGCGATGGATCACATCGAACTTGTGGACATGCCGCAGGGCAACCAGCAGATTTCGCATATACAACCGGATCTCGGGCACATCCATCCGCGTGTAGAAGTCGTGGAAGCGATCGTGCGGCATGTAGGGCATCACGAAGGCGGCGGAGGCGTCACAGCGCAGGCAGCAATGAATGCCCACGACGTTCTCGGTGCCCCTGCAACAAAACAGAGCGGAAGAAAGATGGATTAGTGATTCGTTCAGTATATTAAATAGGTTTTGATAAATATTTAATTAAAATTACAATGCATTAAAGCGTCTGTGCTTTATTTCCTGTTTTCCGTTAACTTTTGATTCCTGTTTGCAAAACAACAAAGACGCCCACATACTAGCCCACCCCCTCAACCTCTCTCCCCTCCTCTGTTACCATGACTGTGTGGGAGAGTGCTTGCTATTCACTGTGCTATTTTTAAAGTTAATCAAATTAAAATTTAGAAAATGCGATTTAGCTAATCCTCTTTGGGATTGATTAAACTCTTATCGGCATGGCCCTACCATGGCCAGCCTTTGGAGCTTCTGTTGCCTTTGATTTGTGCCCTGTAGGTAAACAACAACAACAGATAAACCCACACAACACACACACACGCACACACCTGTACACAGACCGCTCTCTCGCCCACTCTGACTGTGTGCGAAGGAGAGATAGAAAAGCTTCGACGACGTCACACGCAGAACAAGTGTTGGCAATTTCGAAATTGGTAAGCTAATACAATAATTAATTAATAATTAATTAAGGTAAGGTTAAGAATTAAGTACAAGATGATTTATAGTTATTATACTTTTGCAAGGGTATTATAATTTTAGTCAGAAGCCTGTAACATTATGAAGGAGTCATTTCCGACCCTATAAATCATATATATTCTTGATCAGCATCAATAGCCGAGACGATTTAGCCATGTCTGGTGAAAAAATAAATTTTTCAAATTTTTTCAAAATTTTATAAGGGGTTACATCGTTAAAATTTTCATAAATTGGCAAAAATTTTAAATTTTTTAAATTTCAAATTGAGTATGCAGATTTTTAACCTAATAAAAACTAGCATAAAACTGTTTTCCAAATTAAAATTATAGCTTTTTTGGCATAGTTATGATCTTTTAAAACTTTGATTTGTTAAACAAATTGCCATAAAAATATAGATAAATATTTATTTTTATTTGAGAGCTAGCGAAATTAAAATTATTTGTTCCTTAACCGAAATAGGGCTTGTAAAATTAATAGATTTGTTTAATTTAGTAGCTTCTGCAGCCGGCAGACTGCGCAACACTGTGACGAACCTAGAGCGATGGAAGATGCGAGATGGCTATAGGCGGCGTGAGGGAGTCATAATTATTGTCGTTGTGACGCAATTGGGCTGAGGAATTTGCGCAAATCGCTTGAATAGACACAAAATCGCAGCAGGACCAGAGGGGGGCGTATGGGGGTGGATGGCCAGTGGGCTCGAGGGGGCAGCCGGTTTATGTCAAATACAAACGCACCGCCCACATGCGACTGCTCTCTCTCTCTCTCTCCCTCTCTCTCACTCTCCTGGCATCTGTATTATTCAGCCAGCTTAGCGGCAGTTTGAGGCGGTATTGAACGGATTCGAAGATTCGGATTCGGTTTCGGGTTCAGCCTATGCGTAATCTAATCTCCAGCTGCTGGCAACTGCCGGCAAGCAGCCGCCGGAATAGCAATCGATAACAGACGGCTGGCTGGGATTGCAGGATATGTGAGTGGCTCTGTGACGTACACTCACACGCACAAGTTCCAACATATATATACATATATATGTATGTAAACAAACATTACAGCCTTCAAGGGCCAGAACGAGATAGACACACTGAGAAAGAGCTGTGAGCGGCATTGTAACTGTAAATGGGCACGTGAATGGCGTGTGAAAGTGCAATAAACGAACGTCGGTGTTCGTTCGTTCGGTTTTACATATGTATATATGAATGTGCGGCTACCCTCACTCCCTTGCCTTGTTCGTACGGCCGGCAAGCTGAAATAAATTGCAATGACGTATGACCGGCTGACGTCGGTTAACGGCGTTTGACGCAGGCGAGGACGAAAGCCGCCCATCCATGTGTGGGTGGCCGGCCTGTGCCGGCATGCGAGAGTGTGTGTGTGAGTGTGTGGGACTGGTGGCCAAGGGTTTAAGGACTAAGGACTAATAAGGCTGAAGAACCTACCCCATTTTGGTCATGCACTGCAGCTCCTTCATTATCCGATCCGGATGACTGGTGGGTATGTGGTGCTTGATGGCAAACTTTCGCCGCAGGCTCTCCGGCAGATTCGCCTCCCGTCGCATTGTTGCCAAGAGCACGGTGCTAAAGGTTCCATTCCCAATGCGACTGTGCACATCGAATAGCTGTCCCACGTCCGGAATGCGCACGAGAAGATCGGCAATGGCCTCTGCGTATAGAATTAAGGTTAGCACACTCACGCACACAACCGACTACCGACTTCGCCTTCCGTCTCCGCTTACCTTCGCTCTTGTTGCGCGGTGGCTTTATCTGAGTCGATCTGGGCGTGGTGGGCAGGGCGTCTACCGCCACTGCAGTTACTTCGCCAGCCACCGGCTGCTGCAGCTGCTGTTGTTGTTCCAAGTTGGCCAACTGTTTGGCTTGTAGCTGTTTCATTGCAGAGGCAGCAGCGGGGCCAGGTCCGGGTCCCGTGCTAATAGCATTCCCATAGTATTGCTGCTGGCGCACTCCTCGCCAGGACGCCGCACCATTGGCATTGGCGTAGGCATGGCCCGGACTGGCCATTGCCGGCATGGCCGCCATTCCCGGCTTTGGACGACGCTGCTGCAGCTGGGGATGATGGAAAAGCGGCTGCGAATGCGGCGATTGCGGCTGATGGTGTTGGTGGGGGTGGGGATGATGGTGGTGATGATGCACGGCGGCCAGCTCGTGGTAGATGACGCGCTCGGCCATTCCCCAGCGCTCCGGCGCTTGTTCGCAGTGTCCAACGTAGTCAGCTGGCAACGGTTCCTTGGCATCGGCGCTGCAGTTTGATGGGTGTCTCCTCTAGCAATCTGCGATGTTCGTCTGCCGAGTACCTCGCGGTGTTTCCTGAAAGTCCGCAGTAAAAATTTGGACATAAAATTTAGAAATATTAAGATTTGTTTCGCTATCAGCTCTGACTAACTGTAGCCGCCTACTCACGTCGGTTCTATTCGAGCTAGTCTCCTGGTGTTTTCAGAGCCAAATGCGACTCCGCGCTCCTGCTGCGCCGCCCTTCAATCCCGGAACTATGGCAGTGGCGCAGCTTCCGTTGGGTTCTGTCGCGTGTCCCCGTTGCTACCGGCTGTATTATCTAATTCGCGGTCAGATGCGGATGCAGCTGCTGCTGCTTGGTACCTGGCGGTGCTGTGTTCTGGTCAGTAGCGTTGGCGCTGGCGGCAAGAGTATATTGTATGGAGGCAGTTTTTTCAAGCATTTCCTCTGCCGCCCAGTGTGACCGATGCGCTCTTGTGGAAATACTTCTAATACCGCTATCGATTAAAAAATACCATTTACCATATTTAAAGAATACCATATAAATTTTTAAAATTCCAATCTTATATGTATTTAACCTGGCTATCGATGAATGTAAAGCCTTGCCGGACTAAAAACTAAACAGCTGTGATATCAATATTGCTCTTATTTAGCGGTTTCTAGCCGGTAAATTAAATTAAAATTAATAACTGACGCTTATTTACCTTTAGCTCCATAGCGGCGAATACAATAACAATATTCAATATAATATATCAAGTTTATCAAGAAACAGCTGGCTACCGCTGCCAGTGTGACCAATTTTGTGCCGTTTCTACATCATCTTTGGTAACACTGCTGAGCAAATACAACATTCTTACACAGTGCCAAGTTTAATACGATACAAAGCTTTGGAAGCTGCTGTTGGCCCCACCACAAAAAAATTAAAGACAACAATCAACAAACGGCGGAAAGACATATTTAGTTTTTTATTGTGAACACCATTGTGCCTGTACCTGTGTGCGTTACTGTTCCTGCCGAAACCGACAATTTGTTGCTGTTATTAAAGTGTATTGTCAACGCCCCCCGCAAAGGCAGAACGAAGACCAACAAGTGCGCTCGCACACACACAAGTGTTACTTACGACAATCACACACGCACATAAAAAAGGGGCGAGTGCCGCAATTGAAAGTGAATTGCAAGTGAAAATAGATTTAAAGTGGAACAGTTTCGGCGCTAGCAAATTGTTGCACACGAAAATAGCGAAACAGCTGTTTACCGCCGCACCCGCAGTTGTTGTTGCTGTTGTTGCCTGCCTGCGTGGGAGACCGAACGTTTAGTGAGCGAGGGAGACGAGGAGATCGAAATCTGCATCTGCATCTGCATCTGCTTGGTGGGGAGTGAGTGCGAGCGAGAAGGCGATATAGAATCATGACCGATCTCAACGAACTGATGGGCTCGCCGTTTGTGCGTGTGAAGGTAAGCAGTGCACGCACTGGAAAAGCAGTGGGCGATATGCAGTTGCAGCATCACAACGTCCGCCCCCCGCAAAGCTGGTACAAGTACAGCTGGGGTCAAAGTAATAGCACTGAAAATTAAATTCCCTTGGTATTAATATGAAAAACTATTTGAAGTTCAATCAAAACAATCTTATATATAGATATAATTTAAAGTTAGCGTCAATTTCCTAACCGGTCTTTGAGTAAAACGCCTTAGAGCTGGTTTGAATATATCTCTTCTCTTAAAATCTATGACCAAATTATAAATTGCTATTATTGTGAACCCATTTGTACTCTCACTTGTTGGGCCTCCATGGGTTAATGGCCGTTTGTTGCTATTGCTATATGGCTGATTAGCGCCCCAAGTTAGCCGCCAAGTTAGCCAAGTTAACCGCACATGACAGCCGATACACGGACAGGCGGCGGCTGGCGTTGGCCAACTTCGTGGGGCTTCACTTGGCACTAAGCCGCTTATTATTAACCAAGCTAACCAGAGATGCGTTTTTTGCCACATTTTCCTTCATATTTTCCAGCTGGTGGCCTTTGTGCACTTTTTCTTCATCTCGAATGCCATGCTGGGGAGCTGGGACCATGGTTCGTTTCAGTTCTACAACTTTCTCTTCCTGATTGCCATGTTCTGGACGATGCACAGCAAGGACTCCATCGAAGCGGTGCAAACGGTGAGTCGAAGGAAGAATTATAATAGTAAATCTATTTAACTTTTTTATTAAGAGCCCCTTTTAACCCCTTTGAATTGAAGCTAAGCTGAAAAAAACCTTCATTTATATGTTTTGTTGATGATAAATCTTAATCACATTATTTATTTGTAACAAACATTCAATTCTTATTAAATATTATTAAAAATAGAATCGCCGGGTAGTGTTAAGATGAGTGTCACACACAATTAACTCTTATTATGGCGATTTAGCCTTTGCTGTGACTCACAACTCACATTGCATTGTTGATAGCTCCGCCGAGTTGATAAGCGGGAAAAAGACCATCAGAGTGAAAGAAAATCTCGCATTTATTTTGTTTATAATATTCGACAATAGACTGGCACTTGCCTGGCGAATTTTGAGCTTTAGTTTTTGTTTTTAATCAAATTCAAAGACAAGTCACACCACAAACCGGTTGCGAATGCTAGCTCACAGTTTGTTCCTCAACAATTAACATATACAGGCGAAAATATAAATAACAAAATGCTCTCACTAACAAAAAATATATATATAGTTTTTGGTATTGAAAGAATGACGAGCGTGTGATTTGCTTGATTGATTCACTGATGCAATGCATTACAGACATTCCAATTAATCGTTCGAATTAATTACCTTCTGTTGAGAATACAAACTAAGGCAATGCCATTCTTTATTTGTTGATTACATAAAGGTTTTATTTTTATTCGAATGTTTGATTTACTAGACAATATGGGCTTCTTACTCATAGAGAAGATTATCCAAAGTTATTTAAGATATTAAAGACTATTTAAAAGACAGCTTAAAAACAAAAGAACATTAAATGTATAAAGAACAAAAAACCAAAAAAAAACAGATAGGAATTGAGATAGAGCCTATATCTTAAGGGAGCCAATATTTTATAGGGGCTCACAAAAGTCTTCTTTATTTGCTTTCTTTTTCTTTGTGGCCGATAAGATAATGTGTTATCCACTGACTAAGTAGTTCACTCTTTTTTAATAAGATTTATTAAGGGGCCTTAGTTAAACTGAGAAAAAACGCTAGTTACTCTACGAGTACTCTTTAAACATTATAATGGCAAAAGCTGAGCTAACGATGAGGAGTTATGACCAATCAATTTACTCGCTTATGGGTTAACTTGGCCATAACAGGCATAGCATAGCATTGCGTCGTGTAGCCTGGCCAAAAAAAAATAATATAAAAACAAATAAAAATACGAATAAAATAAACGGAACCAAATCACAATCCAAAAAGTCCAGGTCCAAACGCGTGGTGGTATGCTAATGAAAGCTGATATTTTGGCAAATGCACTGAGAGAATAGTATGGTATATAGTATATGTATATATTGGTCAGTAAATTAAAAGTTAAAAATGTTTAGGATATTTTTGAATCCCTTATTTCAATTTTTTTTTAATTAAAAAAGCAAAATCAGATGTGTCAGAGAGTCTTCTTGGTACTCACGAGCTTGAAATTTGTAAATTCTAAGCGCCAAATATGGTCTTACTAATTTTTATATTAATTTTAAACCTATTTGAGCTAAAGGAACCCCTCTTTTTGCGCTGTGTAGATTTGAGGCTACATAACTACCTTCACATTGAGGTCCTTGTTTAAGCTTTTGGGCTCTAGGATTGCGTGTGGCTTTGGTATATGCGTGTATTAATAGATGAGTTAGAGTAAGTAAAGACGGTAAATGGCTTGGCTCTCAACTATGACCTTAGGGCGGCCGAAAAAGTGACCACAGCCCACCGTTTGAAAACTTCACAACCGCCTCATTTTTTTCCCCATTTTTCCGCCCCAAGGACATGGCACGCGATTGCCATTTTTCTTTTTTGGGTCAGAGAGACTCCATTTTGAGCAGTGTAAATTACGATTCCATTCCCAATTCCCATTCGGACAGGAGGAGGACTCGCCACCTGGTTGGACTTCCAAACTTGGTCGGTTTGTTTGCTTCCTCGAAAGCCATTAGCAACGGCTTTTAATCAAACTCCTCCACGGTTCCATTTCAACTCGACGCGATGTCAAATCCTGGCCAGTCATGGCGTTCATTACCCCAAAAGACTGGCTGGAAAAGTACAATTCAAAAAATCAATGAACATTATTTATTTAATTAAAAGAAATATATGTAAATTGTGTTTTTGTTTCATACAAACTTTGAGGGAGTTTCCCCGAACAGTTAAATACTCGAGCGAAATTGTTGTTTTCAAGCCAAGTTGAAGTGGGTTAAGGATTTTGCAAAAGGGCAGAAGGGAACAGGAAGGGCAACCATTGGAATTTCGACATGTGTTTTTGTGGGTTAAAGTAAGGGTTTTTTTTTATTAAATAGTGATTGTTTACTACTTTTTTGAAAGCACGTATGCGGAATACTAATACTAATTAGAAAATTGAACTAGGGCAAGAAACAGCTGCATATCCAAGGTTAAGTGACAAGATCTTTAAATAATTATTTAACAGCTTTTTTTTACCCTTGCAGGGTATTATAATTTTAGTCAGATGCTTAAAAAGCGATGACCCCGACCCTATAAATCATATATATTCTTGATCAGGACAAACAGGCGAATCTTTCTAGGCATGCAGGAAAGAAAGTAAATTTTTGTACATTTTTTCGAAATTTTATAAGGGGTTACTCGTTAAAATTGTCAAAAATTGATAAAAATTTGAATTTTTTAAATTTTAATTAGAGTATGCAGATTTATTAACCCTAAAAAAACTAACTTAGAACCGCTTTCCGATTTAAAATTAATGCATTTTTGGCGTACTTGTGCGTTGGAATGGTATAATAAATATAGATAAAAATTACTCAAAAATGATATCATTTTAGTCAGAAGCTTGTAACGATGTGAAGGAATCATATATATTATATATATATATATGCTTTCATTTCCGATTTTACACAAAACTCTAGATTTATATATAATTGCTATATATCAAATTTGATGAAAATCTGTTGAAAACTGGAAAAGTTATCATTTTTGTTTTTTAACATTTTCCGATCGGTCCTATGGCAGCTATATATATGTATATATATAGTCCACCGATTCCCCATGATCCGATTTATATAGTACTAAAATTATATAGAAGAATAACACCATAGTTTCATTCAAATGCTCATGAATTTGTTCCAAATTAAATCTCGCACATCTGTGCTTATGATTCCCAACTAGTTCTCACCTCCCCGGAACGAAGTGTCTTCTACCGGCCACGTCTCAGATATGTGTTGTGTTACAAAAGTTGCAAGTCATTGTTTACTAGTGTTCAAAGTTAGTAACTGATCATGGATACTTACTGGTCATAGGTAGGTCATATAGTGATTATACTTACTTACTGGTCATAGTTACTTAACGTTCATAGATACTTACTGGTCATAGGTACTTAGTGATTATACTTACTTACTGGTCATAGATACTTAGTGCTCATAGCTACTTACTGGTCATTGATACTTACTGCTCAGAGTTACTTGCTGCTCATAGTTATTTTTTTTCTTAACATTTTCCTATCGTTCCTATGACAGCTATATATGTGTATATATATAGTCCACCGATTCCCCATGATCTGATTTATATAGTACTAAAATTATATAGAAGAATAACTGCATCGTTCCATTCAAATGCTCTTAAATTTGTTCCTAAAGAAATCTCACACATGGGTTTTTATGATTCCCAACTTGTTCTCACATCCCCGGAACGAAGTGACTGCTGCCTTCCAGGTATCAGATATGTGTTGTGTTTAAAAAGTTGCAAGTCATTGTTTACAAGTGTTTAAAGTTAGTAACTGATCATAGTTACTTACTGGTCATAGATACTTACTGATCATAGTTACTTACTGGTCATAGATAATTACTGTTCAGAGTTACTTACTGCTCATAGATACTCACTGCTCATAGTTAATTGCTAATCATAGTTATTTTTTTCCTTTAAATTTTCCTATCGTTCCTATGGCAGCTATATATATGTATATATATAGTCCACCGATTCCCCATGATCCGACTTATATACTAGTAAAATTACATAGAAGAATAACTCCATTGTTTTATTGAAATAGCTGCAAAACAAATCTCGCATATCTGTGCTTATGATTCCCAACTGGTTCTCACCTCCCCGGAACGAAGTGACTGCTGCCGGCCACGTATCAGATATGTGTTGTGTTTAAAAAGTTGCAAGTCATTGTTTACAAGTGTTCAAAGTTAGTTACTGTTCAACATACTTACTGGTCATAGATACTTACTGGTCATAGTTACTTAATGTTCATAGATACTTACTGGTCATAGTTACTTATTGGCAATTGATACTTACTGATCAAAGTTACTTATTGGTCATAGATACTTACAGTTCAGAGTTACTTATTTTTTTTTACTTATTGGCTTATGTACAATAATTTACAACGTTAATTTTATATGGGTAAAAGGTGTAGATTGTATAGCCACTTGATCTTTGTAAATAGGCGGAAGTAGGTGCTTTTTAATAACCATTTCCTCAGGCACAAAAATATGCTTTGAGAAATAATTAAGAAAAAATCTTGAGGAGATAGATACACGATATTATTTCTGATTTTTAAATTAGCTTAGTAAGTGTTTCAACCCAAGCCTTAACCAATTCCACATGACATTTCCCTTGATTTCACACTCTCATCTCGTGTCATCTCTCCTCGTATCTTTCCAGGCGCTTGTCATCAACGCTTCTAGCATTTTCTTTGATCTCGTCAACATTATTGTTTATTTCCATGGCATGAGTAAGTAGTCTTTCATCTCTCTCCCCAAACTACCGCCAGAGATAGATACTGTCTGATATCCTATGAGATTAATTATAATGTTGATATATGTTCTCTCCATTTATAGATGGCTGGGCCATTGCATTTAGCATTATTAACCTGATCCTGAGACCAGTGAGCGTGGCTTTGCTCTACCGGGAATTCAATACACGCGGTGGAACCCTGCAAACGGGCTCCGTGTTCCCCACCAGCCAGCAGAGGAGCTACCAGGACATTGATCGACCCACACAGCCGACACCCACCAACTCGCAGCCGGGTCCGAATGTGGCTAGCATTTTTTAAAAGGTCTCGGACGGAGTGTCCTTAAGTGTCCTGGCGCGGCGAGGACCCTTCCAAATACCTAGACAACGAAGCGAAGCGATGTGAATGTGGAAAGACAGAATAGACTCTCCTAGTCAGTGTACGGCGCCATCAAACAGCAAAAATCAAAAAATTTACAGTGAATTATGAATCTAAAATTACGAATCTAAGGCACACGTCGTTTTGTTAAGTGTGGCGGCGATGGGGGAGACAGCGTTTAGTTTTTTATATTTAAGCATTGTAGTTAATTTTTTTGTGTGAAAAAAAGACAAAATTTAATTCGAAATGACAACAAATCTGTGTCCGTGTCCGTGTCCCAATTTTATCTTCTTTTTTTTTTGTAACTGTTGACGATTAAAGACGACTAACCCAATTTTTATATATATTAATATTTATATTCGTATTTGTATAACAAAGATTGCAATTCTACTTTATACAATATATATATATATATACTTATCTAGATAAACCGTAACGCTAAACTGTAAAACCCAACAGAATATTTGAAAAATAAAAATCGGGCGTCATATCGTTTGTAAAAACAAATAAATACATTGATTTCCCCACCCTCGCTTTACATCCATTATACATCTCAATCTCATCACCTTCCCTCCTGTACATTAAACCCCTCAGAAACACCGCATCGATGTCATCCCCCTAGAAACCCTCCTTGGCCGCCCGGAACTTGTATGTATTGCTGCGTCCATCCAAACAGGGAACCTGCACCAGGTTGAAATAAATGGAGCCCATTAGCTGCGAGGCCGAGGTATTGGTCATCTTCAAGCAGGAGAAGAGCATGTCATCGCAAATGCAGTGTGATCTGTAAGTATAACATGATATATATCATTAAAAAGAACAAAGTTTATTAACAAGAGCACTCACTTGGTGTACAGGGAATCGTTCTCCAGTTCGTATTTGTGCTGATAGGCCCGGATCTTCACAGGACACAAATCATGCTGGCGACAGCATCGATCCATGGCCATCTCACTGCCCAGATCGCTGTATGTATTGGCAATGTCACCAGTGCCGCACCACTTTGTGCCTGTTAAGGAAGGGAGGAAATTTAAGGAAAGTCAGCACTAAAGGTTCATCTATAGTGATCCTGACTCGGCTCACCTGGTATTATCCCGCTGAGCAGAGAGATGGGACTGCGTGGAAGGATATTGGCACCAAACTTTAGGCTCACCGCCGTCGAGGAGGAATCGCTGCCACTGCTGCTGCTGCTCCGCTCTCCGCCGCCCTCCAGCTTGGAGGCCTTGTGCCGGGTGGCAAAGCTCAGCTTGTCCACATGCTCGCACTGGTCCATTAGCTTCAGCATCTCATCGAATTTGATCTCCAAGGGGCGATTATAGTGCGACAGGCCGTCCAGGAGCATCTTGCCCTCCTTCTCGTTGCTGAGGGTGAGAGCAAAATACGGAAAAAATATATTAAAAATGCTCCCAAGGAAGCTATATGATATAGTCATACGATCTGGTCTTTTTCGACTTATATACTTTAATGAACAAGAATTAAAACTAACTTCGTGAAGTCAAAGTTTATATAGACCGTTGCAGTATTTATAGATTGAAATGCGATCACTTGTAATTAATACAATATAAATTATATATGTTTATGTTAAAAAACAATAAAGTAATGCCTGCTTATTTTTTATTCACCGTTTTGCATTTTCGTCTATTTTTAACGATCGTTTGTATGGGAGCTATATGATATAGTAGTCCAAAATTCTAGATTAATATATCATTGCTATATATCAAATTTGATGAAAATCTGTTGAAAACTGGAAAAATTATAATTATTGTTTTATTTTTGAACATTCCGATCGTTCCTATGACAGCTATATATATGTATATATATAGTCCACCGATTCCCCATGACCCGATTTATAAAGTGCTAAAATTATATAAAAGAATAACACCATAGTTTCATTTAAATGCTCTTAAATTTTTTTCCGAAACAAATATCGCACATCTGTGCTTATGATTCCCAACTAGTTCTCACCTCCCCGGAACGAAGTGACTGCTTCTGGCCACGTATCAGATATGTGTTGTGTTACAAAAGTTGCAAGTCATTGTTTACTAGTGTTCAAAGTTAGTAAATGATCATACATACTTACTGATCATAGTTGAATATTGCTTATAGTTTCATTCTGCTCATAGCCATAAGGTCGGAAATGACTGCTTCACATAATTACAAAACTCTGACTAAAATTAGAATAAAACGCTTGATATTTGCGATTATTCCAGTTAGTTTCCTTGAATTTATTATTTTGTAGTAGTCCTAATTAGCAAAATAATTACTAACTGGTCGAAACTGGGAGTAATCAACCCTTCCAATAAGAAAGAGGCGAGCTGATATTAACGAAATCGCCGTTTCCGCTCTTTTGCCTCGCTCTTCTCGTTCTCTTACCGCCTTCCAATACGGCGCAGCGACTCTCACGGCGGCCATTGAAAAGAACAAAATAAATTCACAACAGACGAAAAAACGCGCGCGAAAAGAACACGGCAAAGACATAATAAACGAAAAATTCGCTGAACAGGTTGATCGCTCCGGATAAAAACCTCAAATTACGTGGAAAACTACGGCGGAAAGTCAGTGGCAGGTGGTAAAAGTGCGGGAAACCCAGTGGCAAGTGTGGAAAGTGTGGAAAATCGTCGAGTCCCGGCAGTGAAAAGTGCAAGCGAAGCTGGGACTCAAAGGAGCCCCAAGCCGGACCGCCGTCGTGCATTTTTTTTCAGCTAGCCAAACCACGTATACACAAATATGTATGCATATGTGTGTATGTATGTGTACGTGCATAGCCAAAAGAAGTGCGTTTTCTAAGGCTAGTTAACTTTTTTTGTTTTTTTTTTAATGTGCAAGTGTAACAAATGTCCAATAAGAAGGCTTTTTCTTTTGCTTTTTTTCTTGTGTGTGTGTGTGTGTGTGTGTCTCCATCAGCCAATTCGCCGTTAGGATCCGCAGCAAATTCACCGTTAGGATCGGCAGCAGCAGCAACGAATGTATGCGGGTGAGTGAGACAAAACTTTTTTCTTCTTTCCCTTCTCCTTTGGCTTTTCTGCTTTTGCACGTGTGCATTTCTTTCCTCCCCTGCCCTTATTTATTTGCCCTTAGCATGGAAAGTGAAATCTAAGAGCGAGAGAGGCGCTTAAAGAGTACGATCCTCTCTTGGCGCTGCGAATTTTTGGCATTTGGAAGCTGCTGCCTTTGTTTACCTTTTTCTTTTGTTGGGAATTGGTAAATGGGAAGAAATGCAAGGGAACCTTAATGAAACTAAACTTATATAGTACTAAATAATACTATTAATAGTTTAATTATACTGTTGCAGGGTTTTGTAATTTAAGATATAAATATTTTACAGGATTTTAAAATAATGGTTTAAATTTAATCAAAATCGAATTACTTTCTTATGTATAAATGTTGTGTTTATCTTCTCTTAGTTCTTATTTTCTGGTTAGCAAAATTGATTGATTTTTACAGATCCAATTGGACAATGCTAGGGCTTAAAAATTTAACCGTGCCGCAGTTAGCTTTCTTTTCTTATTATAGCCTTACAGGGTATTATATTTGTAGTCTTAAGCTTGTAATGATATGAAGGAATCATTTTCGACCATATAAATCATATATATTCTTGATCAGCATCAACAGACGGATCTTTCTAGCTATCTTGGGCGGAAAAAATTTTTTGTTCAGAAATTTCCCTTTTTTTTAAGGTAAGATGTAATCCCTCATCATGAAACTTTGCAAAAATCGGCCAAAAATTCACATTTTAAATGGAGTATGCAGTTTAATTAAATTGCTAAAAATTATAATACTGCCGTTTTCCGAATTGAAATTAATGCGTTTTTGGCTTAGTTATGAGATTTTTAAAATTTGATTTGTCGAAAAATTTCATATACAAATATTGTTAATATCGGTTCAAAAATGGTAATGGGCCTTCAGTCAGAAGCTTAAAAGAAAGTGAAGGAGTCATTTCCGACCCTATAAATCATATATATTCTTGATCAGCATCAACAGGCGAATCTTTCTAGCTGTTTCTGCTAGGACAAAAATTTTTAAAAATTTTCACCTTTTTTTTTTACAAAAAAAAGGGTTAGTTACATGTAAAAAATTGGCAAAATTTTAAATATTTTTAAATTTTAAATTGAGTATGCAGATTTATTAAGCTAATAAAAACTAACATTGGACTGCTTTCCGAATTGAAATTAATGCTTTTTTAGCTGAGTTATGAGTTTTTTAATACCTTGATTTATCGTTTATATGTATATATAGATATAGATAAAATATAGATTCAAAGAATGCTTAGTTTTTATGAATTTTCGATTTGATCCTATAATTCAATTGCAAACTCCAAGAGTGTATAAGCCTCGTCTTCCCCAAGTTAGTGTCCTTACTTGTTTTCATTTAAATTTAAATGTTAAAAAAGTGTGCAAAATATTGTACTATTTGTCTATTAGCTATTCGGTATTCATGACAAATGCATTTGAATGACTGTCTGTGGCCCCCCATTTCCGGCAAGCCTTGGCACTACGCATGATTATATTATATACAAAATATATATATATATATCTATTTAGTGATATATATATAACTATATAACTATACTATACTATATATATATATATCTACTTAGTGGACATGGGTACTCACTAGATTTCGATGAGCTCGCACCCTAGGAGCAGCTTCTGTGGCCCCAGCTCCGTAACGGCTATGGTCTGATCGTGATAGTATATCATAATGAGCGAGTCGTTGCTCACCCGCTTTCCGCTGTCACAAAAAAACAACAAAGACAAAGGTTAAATATACATATGTATAATAATTTAGAAGAGAGAGTGAGGCATGTTCCATGTGGGACGGGCTACGTGACATCCATGGCAATGGCTTTGAGTGAAAATCCTCCGCACAATCAATGCCGCTTTGAATGCTAATCAAGGGGGGGTGAGGAGAGGAGACACTCGACTCACCTGTACTTCTTCATCTGGCGCACGCTGCGCTGCTCGATGATCTGTTGGGTGAAGGATTGGAATGAGGGGAATCCCTGGAGGCCCTGCGGCAGGCTAAAGGAAAGCGTGGGCTTGGCCACCGCCTCCGATGTGAGATAGCCAAGTAATCCGCAAAAGAGCAACGAGGCCAACAGCTGGAGGCGTCGTCGCAGCCACAGATTGTACGGCATGGCTAAAAAGGGTATTATAATTCGATCCCGATTCGCAGATCCTTTTTTTATGGTAGAGCTGCCTTTTAATTCGGAGCCAGACCCCAAGGCATTGCCGGCTGGACTGAGTTGAGTCGCTACCCAAACAGGACAGCCGCTGCTTAAGTTCGTGTATTGTTTAATTAATCAGCTGAAGAAGTTCGCTCTATGGACGGAAAAGAAACATATAGGATAGGGTTCAGTGGATACTCAAGGAGCACCTGCTGCTGCTGCTGGTTGATGGTTGCTTTTTGCTTGAGGTTTGGGCTGCGTGTCAAATGTTGTAGGCGTCTCCAAGAGCTTCTAAATAATTTAAACACTTTTATACCATAGAGAGAAAATACAGTGCCGCCTTGATTTAATATATATTATATATATAGGTGCAGAGTGAGAAACAAAACGTACCCTGGGGGCTTGAAATCTGTCTCAAAAGGGGTTTAAGTTTAAGCTATACATTTTAATTGTACATTGCAGGTAACAAAACAAGATTACACGGAATTTGTTGCCTCAAAAATTCAACTTTTTGAAAGGGAATGAGAAATGCAAACTATATTTATGGGGGCTCTATAGAAATTGAGGTTTTAAAACTAGAAAAAAACAGGTGCCAGATGCTAGAAAATTGCAAAAATATAAATATTTGCAAGGAATTTGTTACTTTAAGACACATTTTTAAAGGTTTTGCGTTTTTTATTTATATTAGTGGATTGAAAATGAAATCAAATTGCTTTTATAATATTTATTTATATGTAAATCTTACTAGAATCTATTTTGTGGTCAAATTTAACCTATAATCTTCTCTGGAAATGCCATAGAATACTCTATAAATATGAAATCACCTTACTTTCAGTTCAAAAACATACTTCAAAACACCTTTTTTTTATTAATTCCTGTATATCCTTATTCTTTACTTGGTTATATATTATTTTTTGTCAGTGCTTAACTATGGAGAGACCCTTCCGCCGGCTGGCCAATTTCCCAGCGTTGGCTCAGCTCCGGGGCTAGTGGCAAGCACTCCATCGGCCGGTGGTGGCAGGTGCCAAAAAAAAAAAAAAAAAAAAAACTGCGATTCAGCGCTCACACAGCTGACCTCGTTCCCAGACCTGTGGCAGAGGCACAATGGCCACCGGCTATGACACGCACTGCTCCGCAATCCTCCCGCCTCCCGCCTCCCGGATTCCCACATATGTCATCTATTGCATCAGGCCAAGCCCCAAGAATCGCTTGGTTGCCACGCCTGCCATTAGTTTACTTTGTTTTTGTTTTTTTCTTGGCGGGGCAACGGGGCGTATACGTGCAACATATTACGTATACGCAGCGTTGGCCATTTCGCAGCAATATGGTTAGTCAGTTGGCCAAGTCAGTCAGTCAGTGAGCTGGGCGTATTGGGTAATATGATGCCAATTAGGCGTTCATTGGCCAGGCGGACTCAGGCATACAGATGACAGGTAATCAAGGAGGTTAAGTATAGATACCCGTTGCATATATATTAGGTTTAAGCTTATAGGATTTGATAAGGAATTTTGAAGGACTAAGGGGAACTCTTGTTTTAAATATTGAAATATGTTTATATATAGTAAATAAGGCAAGGAAAATCAGTTGGCAAGATGACAGGTAATCAAGGAGGTTAAGTATAGATACCCGTTGCATATCTATAAGGTTTAAGCTTATAGGATTTGATAAGGAATTTTGAAGGACTAAGGGGAACTCTGTTTTTAAATATTAAAATAAGTTTATGTATAGTAAATAAGGCAAGGAAAATCAGTTGACAAGATAACATATTTATTAGGCTTAAGCTATAGGATTTGATAAGGAATTTTGAAGGACCTAAGGATAGTGTTTTTAAAATATTGAAATAAGTTTATATATATTGTAAAAAATATATGAAAAATCAGTTACAAAGGTTAGTTAATGGTAAATATAAACGTATTTGCACCTCTGACATCATGGCCTTCGGTGTGACATGTCCCTTGACCTTAGCATTTGCTTAGGGAGACGTTGAACTAACTAAAACCCCGAGGAAACCCCCCTTTTTTTAGAAAGAAACTCCCTTGGGGGGGTAGCCTTGAGTTTGGCGAATGGCTTGAACACACGCAATGCAAAGCCGCCAATAAAGCTGTCCAGGAAATAGCCCAAAAAAAAAGTTGTCCCCTACATATAACACCTGCTTTTGTGCCCCTTCTTTCCCTCAAAATATATCACACGTTTATTATTATTATTATTATTGTGTTTTTTTTTTACTTCAGACATAAACATAATTTTTGTTTTTTTGTTTTGAAAGCACGAACGAACGGTTTACGCAAGCAAGAGAGTTGGCAATCGAGGGAATGGTTAGGGGGAGGAGGGGGGAGGGAGTAGATGGCCCTGTAGGTGAGCCAAGTGAAAGTGATTCCACGATTCCATAGCTCCGTCAGCTCCATTGTGCCAGCATGCATATAACCAATAATAAGTGATGCGAGGAAGATGACGAAGACGCCCAAAAAAAAAAGGTGGCGTGAGTGTGTGGCAATGGCAATGGACCTGGCCTGAAGCCACAAAACAACGCCCACTCTTGTGGGTCCCCCTCAGCACTCCCCAACTCAAAACACCGAAAGAAATTCATTGAATTTGGATTATAAATGTTATATAAGAGTTTTTACTGGACAAATATATAATTTTAATCAATTTTAGGCAAGTTTATAGTGAATACTATTGATTTATAAAGATATAACAAGAGGAAAAGTGGGTCGTAATATCTTCAGAAACATATTTCATTCGATAACATATCGGATATATTGTTAACTTTGATATATCGAAATTTTAAATATCAGAAAACTTTATATAACTTTATATAGATATAGCAAGAGGAAAAGTGGGTTGTAATATCTTCAGAAACATATTTCATTCGATAACATATCGGATATATTGTTAACTTTGATATATCGAAATTTTAAATATCAGAAAACTTAATGTTTGAATATTAATATTATCAAAATTATATATTATTAACAGAATATCGATTTATGGGAAATGTATCGAAATTCTAGAATTATCTATCGACTTTCACTTCAAGTCTCGATACAGTATCTATGAATATATCGATATTTTCTGTCATTCCTAACCACAACTATAGATTCCAAAATATAAAAGCCATATTTAATGGCTAATACTTTAATGCTCATTATTTTAAATATACATTTCACATTTTATAAAACATATTTTTCTAGCTATATGCCATATGGTACATATTTAAAAAAAATTTAAAAAAATACAGCAATATGTATGTCAAGTGGAGCAGTTGACGACCGTTGATCACCGGTGGTTCGTTGGTTCAATGCTAAACGAAAATGCAAATAGTCAAGACAGAAAATGAATACAACAAGAAAATAAAGTCGTAACGAATCTGCGTCGAGTCAGAGTCCAAAATCAAGAAAAATCCATTGCAAAATATGTATATATTTGGCTGGATTTAGTTACGGAATTAAAGCCAGCTTGAAATTTATTTAAAAACTAAACTTGAGTAAACGAGCAAGTGCATTTGAAAAATGTAAACTAAAGCTCAAGGTCTAGAGATCTTTTTCTAAATATTCATAGAAGTACTTGGTTAATTTTCAAGACTACAAAGAACCATAAACCATATTCATATACTATTTTTTAATGATTTATGAACTTTGCTTCAACAAATGTATGCCAACTTTAAGAATTGTACTTAAAAGCGGGAAGTGAGTCATAAAAATAACTACTAAATATTAAGTAGAACTTCATTAATGACTTCCTTAAGCGAAACAGGTTTAGGATAGGTTCGTCACCTAGCAAAAGGTGAAGAAAGCACCAAAGTTAATCGTTTTTAAAATCGATTTTAACGCCTTTTTTTTGTGGGTTCATATAAATGGTAATTAGTTTTGATTTCTTTAGCCCAAATAAAAAGTGTCAATTCATTGGATTTTTTTGTGCCCGGAAATGGTTTCTCCAAATCAAATCGAAAACCAAACGATTGACAATTAACGATTAACTATTAATGATAAATGGAATAAAGAAGAGGTTTAGTTTCCAACTGTTTTCATCGCTGATAGCGACTAATTGGAGACCAAGATGTGTGCTGACAGCGATCGTAATGAAAGCGTTTTGCTGCGTCTTTGACTTTGTTTAACGAGTCTCTCTAAAACCCCACAGAGATTATCTTCAATGTGCTCTGCTCTTCCGTCTAACTAAAAATGGGGGGGAACAACTAAAAGCCCAAACGAAACTTGGTTAGCTTGAACTTGATGGCTTGCTAAAATGAAAACAAAAAACTAAAGCTACTTTTTAAATGCCGGCGAGAGTTGGCCGAGTTCAAAAGTGCAAAAGAGAAACAAAAGCGCGGAAAAACAAAAACCAACAGCTGTCCCCCTTGAGGGCCTTGGCATAGGTCAGTGAAGCGTATTATTATTATTCGAGCAGTCCGTATATATATATTCCCATTCCCATTCCCTTTCCCCCATTTTCCCCCGTTTTCCTGGCTTGATTTTAGCCCGGCTAATGCGGGGTTTTCTTTTTCTTCTTTCCCCAAATACCCCAACAAAAAGGCTTGTCTTTTTACTTTATATTTTTTAAATTACTGTAAAGATTATCTACAAAAACAAATTATTTAAAAAAGGTAGAGAAAGATTTTTCAAAAAAGTGTATAAAGTCTATTTTTTAACAAAGAAAACTACATAACTAAGCCCAAAAAGCATAACTTTTCATTAATTATAATAAATAAATTAATATATCTGCATGCTCAATTTAAAATTAAAAAAAATTATAATTTGTTATCTATTTTTGAGAATTTTAACAATTTCCTTTTTAGGCCTAAAAATTGGTAACAACTTCAATGGTTTTTGGATCATAACTTGGCTTAAACTCAACCGATTTCAGTTTGGTTTGGAATTTTCTTGCTGGTTTTTGTAGGCGAACATTTCTGCATTTAAATCTCAATTTATGATTTTTGGGCGATTTTAAACAAGTTTTTGTTTTTTAAAAAAATTGGAAAAAATCGAGAAAAAAAATCGAAAAAAAATGTTTTCTTTTAAATATATCTAGAAAGATTCGTCTGTTCATCCTGATCAGTAATTTATATGATTTACAGGGTCGAAAATGACTCCTTCACATTGTTAAAGGCTTCTGACTAAAATTATAATACCATATTTTGAGCCGATATTTTTATACGATATTGTGAAGATTTTCAGCTTAAAAATTGGTAACAACTTCAATGGTTTTTGGATCATAACTTGGCTTAAACTCAACCGATTTCAGTTTGGTTTGAAATTTTCTTGTTGGTTTTTGTAGGCGAACATTTCTGCATTTAAATCTCAATTTAAGATTTTTAACCAATTTTTTACAATTTTGACGGTGACGATTTTTTGATAAAAAAAAATATGAAAAATCAAAAAAAATGTTTTTCTCTAAAATATAGCTAGATCGACTCGGCTATCGATGCTGGTCAAGAATATATATGATTTATGGGGTCGGAAATGACTTCTTCACATCCTTACAAGCTTTTGACTGAATTTTCAATACTCTTTAAGGGTATAAAAAGTAACTCAAACATCTAAAAAAGGTATTACTTGCCTTCGACTGTCGCTGTCTGCACTTATTTCTGGTTTTCTTCAACCAACTCTATATATTTCTCTCTGTGAGCCCCCGAAAAGAGGGAGTTGCAGTAAAAGTGGCTGCAGATGAGCCAAAACACGAAGAAACAAACCGCGAACCGCGAAACCACAACACCAGCAGCGCCAAGTAAAGCTTTAAAAAATATATAAAAAGAAGAGGCAACAGGTTTCCAGCAGCTGCTGCGACTGCTGCCTGCCTTAACTTTCACATTGGGCACCTAATTGTGGGCTTAATCTCGGTTAATTTGCTCCAGTTTTGATCTTCTTTTTCTTTATTTTGATTTCTTTGTGGGCCACAAACTAGAGAGTGAGGAAGGGAGGGAGGGATGTGGTCTAGGTATTGGGCTGACAAGATGCCAATTATGCAACCGGGAGCAAGGTAGCTATCTATCTAGCTGGATAGCCCAGTCGCACTTCACAGCTCCACGCTAATCCATTATGGTCATTCCCATTCCCCATTTCCCCATTTGAAGTCATCATTCCTGCCCATTCTCGAGACCGATTCCCCACTATTGTTTTGTGCATGCACACGGCCAAAAAAAACCAAAATAAAACCGTCATATTGTTTACGATTTTGTATTGTTTTGGGCCAGACTTGTGTATATATGTATGGGATATATCACGGTCATAGTCATAATAGTTGTGGGTTTTAGTTGGGAGTTCAGTTAGTGCCTAAATGACCTTTACTTGGGCTATGAAAACGCTTGGTTACCATGAAATAAGGTAAATCTATAGATTTTTGTCTTTGAACTATACTCTTAGATTGAAATATATCAATATTTACTAAATTAATTGTATTTAAATAGTTTATTTCATAAAACTAGCAATAAAATTGCGAAAGGCTCAAGAAAATGTTGCTAAACGCATGTTTGCTGGACAAATGTGGCCAGAAACATGTTGAGCAACATGTTGCAGGAGGGAATTCTTCCCTGTTTTATGATCCCATTTTCCCCCAGTGTAATGCTCCTCGTTCTAGTTTGAGCCATAAAAGGTAGCAATTATTCTGGGAATTTGTCACAGATCCGCCGATATCCGTGGACAGAATGCGCTATATTCGCATTTTTGAACTTGCGCGCCAGATTTAATGGCCCATAAAAAGGAACCAAGGCGAGTACACTGTTCAAAAAACAAGTATTTAAGTCTAAACTTATACTACAAATTTTATAATATTTTTTTTTACACATCAAATAAAAATGGAAAGGTAAAAATAATAGAACAAGTAAGGGGAGACTTCTATATTTTATTATCTACTTGATCAAATATACCTTTACTTCAAAAAGTAATGCATTTTTGATAGTTTATTGTTTAAATCATATTTGTTTTAAACAAAACCCTCAAAATTTAACACCAATTTTTTCCAAATTATATTTAAACCTGTGATTGATTAGTTATTACTATTTTAAAGACCCTATAACAGCAACAGCAGCAGCAGCAAATATGAAGTATTTATTATTTATTATTGAGCACTTAGAGCCATTTGTTTATAATTGATTTGTTTTAAGAAACAGTCAACTTTTTACACACACACAACACCGCCTTCACTCACAGAAACAAAAATACCGAAAACCACGCGCGTGCGCAACTGCAACTACAAAAACGAACAACTGAAAACTAAAAAAAATTTATATATATATATATATATATATATGGATATAGATATATAAAACAACGAGATCGTAGTGCAAACCGCTCGCTGCCGCGCAAAGTCAGCAACTGATCGATCAAAACCCAAACCCAAACCCAGACAAAACTCAAAACTCGCGAAGAGAAGAGAGACACTACTGCCACTGGAGACTTGGGTCTCTGCTACAACTGCACCAACAACAATTACAACTAAAACTACAAATACAACAACAACGACAACAACAAACAAACAACAACAACAATAACAAACAACAACAATAACAACGGCGAGCGTTGGCGGCTAAAACGACGACGAGACAGCGACGAAAATGTGTCAAAAGCAAAAGCTGGCCCAGAGTAGAGCATACAGGTAACACCCCAGTGATACCTCAGAAATAAATATATATATATATACAAAAAATATATGTATAAGATATATAAATTCTCCAGATTATATAGCATATTTATAGGAATATCAGGACTGGGAATGGGATCTGCAAAATGGAAGACTTAAAGTTTAAAAAGTTAGTTTAACCTTAAAGAATTTCTATTAGTTCCATCTTACCAGCTTAAACATTACAATTTTGAAATGAAAGTTTTACTAGTTAAGTATCTTAAACTGTTTTAAAGATACTTTTCCCATAAGCTTATTGTTTTTCCTCTTATTTATATATTATGTTATATTATATTTGTAGTCTGCGGGTTGTAATGATGTCAAGGAGTTATTTCCGACCCCATACATCATATATATTCTTGATCAGCATCAACAGACAAATCGATCTGGGCATGTCTGGAAGAAAAATAAATTTTTAAAAAATTTTTAAATTTTATAGGGGGTATAATAGTTAAAATTTTCAAAATTTGACATAAAATTTAATTTTTGACATTTTTAAACTGAGTATACAGATTTTTTAGCGCTATAAAAACTAGCACAGAAAAGCTTTCCGAATTGAAATTTATGCATTTTTAGCCAAGTTATGAGTATTTCAAACTTTGATTTGTCAAAAAAAAAGTGATATAAAAATATAGATAAATATCGCATAAAAAATGGTATTATAATTTTAGTCAGAAGCTTAAAACTTAGTGAAGGAGTCATTTCCGACCCTATAAATCATATATATTCTTGATCAGCATCAACAGGGGAATCTTTCTGGGTATCTTCGGGAAAAACATTTTTTTTTCAAAAATTTTTAATTTTTTTTTTAAGCATCGTGAAAATTGGCAATAAATTTCAATATTTTTAACATTTAAAACTGAGTATGCAGATTTGTTAAGCTAATAAAAACTAACATAGGAGCGCTTTCCGAATTAAAATTAATGAATTTTTGATTGAGTTATGATGGATTTTCACTGCAAGGGTATAGGATCTTTGGGTTTCCGAAACTAGTATGTTTTCTTGTTTATATGTATATATTATAGTTTCAGTAAAATTCCAAATATAATCTGGGACTTTTAACCCCAACCGGAATTAGTTCCATTTATACAGAATTTTTTATATGCCATTTACAAGCAAGACTGACCCAGTGTAATAATGACTTGCCTGTTAAATATATAATTTCAGAAGCTAAACCATGAAATTAAACAATTATTTTGAAGAGCAATCATAATACGTAAATGGGGTAATTTAACGCTCTAATAAAATCTATTTTATTGTGCATTTTCACACGCAAATTAATTAAACTAAAAAGAAAACCTATAGTTAAATTAAATAATGAAATATTCATACTGATTTCAATCAGTATTATTTAAAGGGTAAGCCAGCAGTTGCAACCATTGTGGAGCTGCAAGTTTTGGCAGTTGTAAGCATCGCTGCTGTCTGTGGCGGCCGAGCCTACAAAGTAAAGGCTGCAATTGTGGGATTCAAGAGCTGCTGCTGCTGTGGATGCCGCTGGAGTGGCTGCCACTGCGGCCATGTGACCCATTTTAGAGCGACTCGTCGGCATTGCCAAAAGCCGATCATTGCTAGGCGCTGACTTTTCATCGATTGTGTATGTGTCCGGCAAAGTGAAAACAAAGCCAAACAAAACAACTTTTACAATGTCGAGGCAGGGAAAAGTGACAGTGGCGGGCGAGCAATTAAAAATGGTTTTACGCGCACACAAAAAGGTAAACAATGCTCACAGTAAACATGGCCTAAAGCCAACAGCATCCACGCACAGAGCTCTCTAAACTTTCAGTTTAACACTGATTACATTCCAGGGCTCTTTCTCTCTCTCTAGCTTAATTTCTGTATTAAATATATATCAATATTTGAAGGAAATTTCAAGCTAATCTCCAATATACAAGACTCTTATCTGTTTAACCTACATATAGTTTATAGTAAGTCCATCTATATTTAATGAATGAATATCAATTGACATTGAAAGGGAAGTAACAACGAATGATGAGGCAGACAAGCTGCGAGATAATATTACAAAATAACTGAATATATTGTTAAAGGAATTGCGAGATGGCTTGGCACTTAGCATTCGGATAATTTTGTTACTTATTTCGACTTCTAAACGATCTAATACATAATAAGTATACATTTTGACGAAGGTACATTTATACATATATTACATAAGGGCTCGCTAGGGTCGCTATTTGGGCATCAGACCAGGAACAGTGGCAGGACTGGCTGACAAAGGCACCACCTCCAGTGACGACGCATGCGGCTCATTGTGATCGCTGGCAAAGTGTAGAATTTCAAAGCCCACCTCCACCATGATTAGGATGATGATCATCCATTCAAGACGAATGTGATGGGCATCGTTCAGGTTGTGCGATACGAGCTCGGCCAGCTCCACACAATGATTGATCTTCTCGTTCATCACCTTGGTGCGTCGCGAGGTACTGAAGTAGGAGCAGACCTGCAGATATAGCGCCTCAAGCTCCTCACGGTCCCAGTAAAAGTCCGGTGTGTCCAGCAGATCCGACGACAGATTGATCACATGACGCAGGGCAAAAAGTTCACCGGTCTTGCGTAGCATTGTCGCTCGTGAAATTCGCAGGCGGCGACCCCGCTTCAAGTCCTCCGTCAAGTGCTCTATGGAGTCGATGTAGCGGCTCAGCGTTGCCTCCCAGATGCCCAGCTTAATCGACTGTGCCATGGCATTGGAGAAGGTGTACTTGTACAGGAAACTGTCCGTGTCGGCCGTCACAAAGAATTTGCCATTCTGGAAGAAGGCACGTGAGGCGACATTAAAGTCGCTACTCTCCGCCACCAGATCACCCTCCACATCCACTGCCGTCGACGGTATATACGTGTAGGGCATCACTTCGCTTTCGCCATGAACCAGTGCACTCACATACGATTCGCGTTCGAATGAGCGTAGGAAGCTCAGCACATTGTTCGTCTCAATGTCGCTGCAGTTCCAGAATACCACGGATCCCTCGCGGAAAAAGAAGATCTCACGCGGCTGCTGGCCGGTGGGATATTTGGCTGCCACGAACAGAACATTCTGTTCGGCGTCCAGATTGTCCGTGGAGAAGAAGCGCTTCGTCTCGTACAGATTCTGCTGGCGGAGTGCTATCTGCAGATCCTCCAGGTTGTACTCCTCGGCGGTGGTGTAGCCGCGCGCATTGAGAAAGCCCAAGGCGGACAGCTCGTCGATGGCCAGGCGCTTCTTTCGGATGAGCCGGGTGCGATTGGGCGACAGTATGGACTCCAGGCGCTCCTCAGCCAATGGCACCGGCTTCACCTGCGTCGCATGTGATACCGGCTTTTTGATTGCCGCGGCAGCAGTGGTGGAGGTGACACCACTGGCCATCCATCGCCGGTGGTTCATCAGCCATTGCGTTGATTGGCGGGGCGTTCGGAGGCTTCGCAGGAGCAACTGCTCGAATCCCAGGCGTGCAAAGTTCATGACGACTATTGCCCTTTTTCAGTTGATTTGTAATTCCGGATCAGCTACTGGGACATGCTATATAATGGGGCTATATAATCAAAATAGACAGCCGGCAAGGTGTCGATTGACGTTTGTTGTGATTATCGATATTGTTATCGCACGCTACCGTATATACATGGTGATGACAGAAGCAGACTGGCTGCTACAACACATAGTGCGTGACTATCGTATTTCCTTTTGTTTTTTTGTTAGGTGGGCAAAAAACATGTATTTCGGAAGGCCTAATGAATGATTATTATTTATATATTATTTTTTAATATCAAGACATTTTTATTTCAAAATTACAGAAAAACTTTTACAACAAAATAAAAAGTGCAAAAAATATCGATTATTTAAGCCGAATGCCAATAACGATAACAACACAAGCTGTTATAATCGTTTTTTTTCCATTTTAGCTTTAAATTATATTTCGGAATAAAAAAAAGTATTACTGTTTGTTATCTATAGGTTATGCTCAAAAGGATAAAGCCTACGTTTGATATAGTTAATATTGTAAAGTTTTTACACGTAAGCCTTCGCTATTCCGTATTCTAGTTACGCAGGACCTTGCTTTTTGGGCTCCTCCTTCACCACCAACGGCTTCTTGGGCTTAGGACTTGGCTTTTTCGGATCCGCCTTCACCACCAACGGCTTCTTGGGCTTAGGACTTGGCTTTTTCGGATCCGCCTTCACCACCAACGGCTTTTTGGGCTTAGGACTTGGCTTTTTCGGATCCGGCTTCACCACCAGCGGCTTCCTGGGCTTAGGACTTGGCTTTTTCGGATCCGCCTTCACCACCAACGGCTTCTTGGGCTTAGGACTTGGCTTTTTCGGATCCGCCTTCACCACCAACGGCTTCTTGGGCTTAGGACTTGGCTTTTTCGGATCCGCCTTCACCACCAGCGGCTTCTTGGGCTTAGGACTTGGCTTTTTCGGATCCGCCTTCACCACCAGCGGCTTCTTGGGCTTAGGACTTGGCTTTTTCGGATCCGCCTTCACCACCAACGGCTTCTTGGGCTTAGGACTTGGCTTTTTCGGATCCGCCTTCACCACCAACGGCTTCTTGGGCTTAGGACTTGGCTTTTTCGGATCCGCCTTCACCACCAACGGCTTCTTGGGCTTAGGCCCTGGCTTTTTGGGCTCCTTCTTCACCACCATCGGCTTCTTGGGCTTAGGACCTTGCTCCTTAGTTTCTTGATTCACCACTAATGACCTCTTAAGCGTTGGACGTAGCTTTTTCGGTTCCAGATTAATCACCAACGGATTCATGGGCGTAGGATCTGTCTTTTTCGGTTCCTGATTAACCACCAAGGTCTTCATGGGCGTAGGATCTATATTTTTCGGTTCCTGATTAACCAACAACGGCTTCATGGGGATAGAATCTGGCTGTTTCGGTTCCTGATTCACCACTAATGGCTGCATGGCCGTAGGATCTGGCTGTTTCGGTTCCTGATTAACCAACAATGGCTTTCTGGGCGGAGGACCTGGCTGTTTCGATTCCTGATTAACCAACAACGGCTTCATGGGCATAGAATCTGGCTGTTTCAGTTCCTGATTAACCAATAAGGGCTTCCTGGAAGGAGGACCTGGCTTTTTCGGCTCCTGATTAAACACCAATGGCTTCGTGGGCGTAGGATCTGTATTTTTCGGTTCCTGATTAACCACCAAGGTCTTCATGGGCGTTGGATCTGTCTTTTTCGGTTCCTGATTAACCACCAACGGCTGCACGGCCGAAGAATCTGTCATTTTCGGATCCTCATTTATCACCAACGGCTTCTTGGGCTTAGGTCCTTGCTCCTTAGTTTCTTGATTTACCACTAATGGCCTCTTAAGCGTTGGACCTGGCTTTTTCGGTCCCAGATTAATCACCAACGGATTCATGGGCGTAGGATCTGTCTTTTTCGGTTCCTGATTAATCAATAATGGCTTCCTGGGCGGAGGACCTGGCCTTTTCGGCTCCTGATTAAACACCAACGGCCACATGGCCGTAGGATCTGGCTGTTTCGGTTCCTGATTAACCAATAAGGGCTTCCTGGGTGGAGGACCTGGCTTTTTCGGCTCCTGATTAATCAATAATGGCTTCCTGGGCGGAGGACCTGGCTTTTTCGGCTCCTGATTAAACACCAACGGCTTCATGGGCATAGGACCTGGCTGTTTCGGTTCCTGATTAACTACCAACGGCCACATGGCCGTAGGATCTGGTTGTTTCGGTTCCTGATTAACCAATAATGGCTTCCTGAGCGGAGGACCTGGCTTTTTCGGTTCCTGAGTAAACACCAATGGCTTCATGGGCATAGGATCTGGCTGTTTCGGTTCCTGATTCACCACCAACGGCCACATGGCCGTAGGATCTGGCTGTTTCGATTCCTGATTAACCACCAACCGCTTCATGGGCATAGGATTTGGCTGTTTCGGTTCCTGACTCACCACTAATGGTTTCATGGCCGTAGGACCTGGCTGTTTCGGTTCCGGATTAACCAACAATGGCTTCTTGATCGTAGGAACATTATTTTTCAGTTCCACCCTCACTATCAACGGCTTCTTGGGCATAGGATCTGGCTGTATCGGTTCCTGAATAACCAATAGGGGCTTCCTGGGTGGAGGACCTGGCTTTTTCGGCTCCTGATTAAACACCAACGGCTTCATGGGCATAGGATTTGGCTGTTTCGGTTCCTGACTCACCACTAATGGCTGCATGGCCGTAGGACCTGGCTGTTTCGGTTCCGGATTAACCAACAATGGCTTCTTGATCGTAGGAACATTATTTTTCAGTTCCACCCTTACTATCAACGGGTTCTTGGGCATAGGATCTGGCTGTATCGGTTCCTGAATAACCAATAAGGGCTTCCTGGACGGAGGACCTGGCTGTTTCGGTTTCGGATTAACCACCAATGGCTTCGTGGGCATAGGACCTGGCAGTTTCGGTTCCTGATTCACCACTAATGGCTGCATGGCCGTTGGACCTGGCTGTTTCGGTTCCTGATTAACCAATAAGGGCTTCCTGGAAGGAGGACCTGGCTTTTTCGGCTCCTGACTAAACACCAACGGCTTCATGAGCATAGGATATAGCTCTTTCGGTTCCTGATTAACCAATAATGGCTTGCTGGGCATAGGACCTGGCTTTTTCGGTTCCTGATTAACCAACAATGGCTTCTTGATCGTAGGAACATTATTTTTCAGTTCCACCCTCACTATCAACGGCTTCTTGGGCATAGGATCTGGCTGTTTCGGTTCCTGAATAACCACTAATGGCTTTCTGGCCGTAGGACCTGGCTGTTTCGATTTCGGATTAACCACCAACGGCCACATGGCCGTAGGACCTGGCTTTTTCGGTTCCTGAAAAACCACTAATGGCTTCATGGGCATAGGATTTGGCTGTTTCGGTTCCTGATTTACCACCAACGGCCACATGGCCGTAGGACCTGGCTGTTTCGGTTCCTGATTCACCAATAATGGCTTCCTGGGCGGAGGACCTGACTTTTCCAGTTCCTGATTAAACACCAATAGCTTCATGGGCATAGGATCTAGCTGTTTCGGTTGCTCATTCACCACTAATGGCTGCATGGCCGTAGGGCCTGGCTGTTTCGGTTCCGGATTAACCAACAATGGCTTCTTGATTGTAGGAACATTATTTTTCAGTTCCACCCTCACTATCAACGGCTTCTTGGGCATAGGATCTGGCTGTATCGGTTCCTGATTAACCAATACGGGCTTCCTGGGTGGAGGACCTGGGTTTTTCGGCTCCTGATCCTTCATGGGCACAGGATCTGGCTGTTTCGGTTCCTGATTAACCAACAACGGCTTTATGGGCATAGGATCCGGCTGTTTCGGTTCCGGATTAACCAACAATGGCTTCTTGATCGTAGGAATATTATTTTTCAGTTCCACCTTCACAATCAACGGCTTCATGGGCATAGGATCTGGCTTTTTCGGTTCCTGATTGATTGGATTCGTGGGCGCAGGACCTAGCTTTTTCGGTTCTTGATTCATCACTAATGGCTTCTGGGTCGTGGGACAAGGCTTCTTCTTGACCTGCATTCCCAAGAACTGCTGGCTGCCCACGAACTGCTTTCTGGGCGGAGGACCTGGCTGTTTAGGCTCCTGCATCCCCACTAACGGCATCTTGGGTGTTAGACTTGGCGGCGTCACAACTTCTTTCTTCACTATTACTTGCTTCCTGATCAAAGGCATAGACTTACTTTCTACAAACCGCGTTTTATAAACAGGACCATGCGTCAACAATTCCGTCGGGGACGTAGGACTAGGGGTTTGTACTTTTTGTACCGTAGGACTAGAATTCTCCTTTTCCTCATACATAGCTAAATCTTCTTCCATTCTGAACATTAGGTACTCGTAAAGCTTTCCTGGTTGAGTCATGAGCTCCGGATCCTTGGTGGCTCGAGATGCCAGACTTAGGCATTTTTTTATCACAGATAGATTTGGTGGGCAGACGTTTTGGGCCACGTTACTGTGCATATCAAAGGGATCCTGCACGTACATGCAGGTAATCAACCGAAAAGGCGACGGTGGCTCAGCCCCAGCCGCCTCCATGGACTGGATCTGCGCCGTGTACACGGGAATGTCGCCGTTCACTATTAACCGCTTATCCATAACGCAGCCCATAAACGGGCTCATCGCTTTCTTATCGAAGTCAATGGTGCTATAGAGATCAAAGAAGTTCCTAATAAGGTCCAGGGTGCTCGTTTGTGCCGGAATTGGTGGGGCCAAGTCCAAGTTGTATGAATAGTTAACGCCACGGACAATGTCCGGCAGGCAGGCGGACTGCAACCAACGGACGGATGGCAATAGGCCACTCTGCTGCAAACTGACAATGATCATGCAGATCAGGCAATAGTTGTTCATTATGCAGCTTCCAATTAGGCGATTTGCCCAAATCTTCAGGAACAGGGACATTTCGCGTAGTTTCTTTTCGCGGCGCATTAGATCGCATATGAACTCGGAATTGTAAGCGCCATTTGGATGGGAAAAATGGATGTTGACGATTGACCGGGTAGGCTTATGCTTGCACCGGATAATGGGCGATCTGGTGCGTGGGATCTTTGAAACTTCAGCGAATTTGTTGGTTTTGCTGGTGTCGCGTAGAAAATCCATGACCATGTCGAGCAACCCATTCTGGGACATGGACGGATCATCGCATACTTTCAGATACAGGTCGATGCCGCTTTCTGTGCGATAAGAATACGGATTATAGCAGAATGATTGCTCTGTGTATGGGTGTATGTGTATCACTTACCCTTCAGGGCCAATCCTGTGACCACCGAACCAAAGGCATGCGCCTTAACCTTGCCTTTCAGTCCAAATTCGATGCACCTGCGCACTCGGTCGACACACCTCTCCAGCTGATGGGGATCACAAGTATACAAAGCTATCACGGCGCTAAGGTGATCACCGGGCTGCGAACTCTTCAGTGCATTTTGCAGCTTGATAAGTTCGAGCTTGGTTTTTAAGGGGTTTGGCTGCGCGCGCGGCTTTCGTTGCGGCGGTCTGCGGCCACGAGTTGCCGGCATTGTCAATGGGAAACCTTTAAGATTTTCTTGCTTCTTACAAACTGAATCTGTTGCAACTTTTTTCTGACATTCGAAACAAAATGGCGGCAAGTTCCCGGGATAAATACCGCTTGTCGACGAAAGCAACATTGAATAATACTAAATTAACATTAAATACTAAAAATTGAAAAAACCTTCGATAGTGCGATATTATCGAACGAATTTTAAATATATATTTTTTTTTTTGCAGCAGCAAGTTTATTAAATAAATTAAATACTTATTCAGCGGTGCGCGAGAGGGGGGATATATAAATCTTGTAGAAAACGTTGTAGAAAACGAAATATTTAAAAATATTCGCTTATCGTTATCGGCCGTGTTACGCCCGCAGGGTCACACTGAGCCTCCACACAGCTGTTCGCCTTGTCTCCCATTCGCTGGTTATCTCCAAACATTCGCCTTCTGCCGGAGACGGCGCAGTTCCAAACAAATCGGGGCAGAAGCATCAACAGCCAACTGCCCGAAACACCCAGCACGTGCAGCGCCAGAAGACGCACTGCAGCAGAAACCAAAACACAGACGTTTGAAGCCGGAGCATAGCATGCAATGAATGCATTGCGCAACATCTTTACCTCGCGAACGCTCAACTACCTGCGCCAGAATGGACAGAACGCGATCCTCAATGCCACGCAGCAGCAGCCAACGGCTGCAGTGGAGCTCTCCGATGCCGAAGCCTCGCTGAAGCCGCGTCCCGCTCCGCTCTCCATACCGCGTTCCATTCTCGACGCTTGCCACTTCACGGCCAAGCCCTTCGAAGCCGGACGCACTAGTGGCCAGGCATCCAGTGGTTCGCTGTCGCCGACAACACTGAAGAGATTCCGTCGCATGCAGCGCCGCATGGAGCTGGTGTATCGCTGCAAGCTGTGCAACACCCGCAACACGAAGACCATCAGCGAGGAGGCCTACTACAGCGGCGTTGTTATCCTCCAGTGCGACGGCTGTGCCGTCGATCATCTAATCAAGGACAATCTCGGTCTATTTACCGCCAGCGATGGCAGCGACAGCAGCAGCATCAGCTCCGGGATCAGTACCAGCAAGAATATCGATCAGGTGCTCTCCGAGCGGCATGCTCGCGTCCGTGTGATCAAGGTGAACGAGCGTGGCGAGCTCATTTAGGCATCTAGTCAGGGCATCAGTACGAAGGAGAATATCCACCTGGTGCCTGCCTCTCAGTCAACCTGTGAATCGTGTCCAAGGAGGACTCACTCAGCCAGGGGGGACAGCCCACGAAGAGCAACTGCATCTGCACCCGCACCCGCTACAGTACACCTGAACAGCAAGCAAGCAAGACTGTTTGCAAGAAGACAGCCGGCTAAAACTATGATAATTTTACCATTATAAATTGTTGATTGTTTCCGGGCCCGTGAGTAATGCCGTGATTAAAACAACGAACGTCCCAGTGTTCGAATTCTATATAGAAAACCCTGTTGTGTCTATGTATACATACATATATCCCCCCGATATGTTTCTGGTAAATCCGTGGCAATCTAATCGCTGACTAATTTGTGTTTACTTAATACTTGATAATAGAAAATGCGAAATGCGTAGATGAGCGTAGCGACAATGTGGGCCCGGAGGGGCTTGTGTCGCGGCTCTTTGCTAATTGATCGATTCGATCAAAACACAGTTTCGCGAATCGCTAATTATCGCAAAAGTTATCTACAAATTTGAATTGGCACGCTGCCAATGTGTCCGGGGAGGTGCAAAGCAATATATATGCATATCGCTTGGCGCTAGACTATGGGTTTTAGAGCGCACGCTCCACACGAGTGATCGTCGGGGCTGCTTCTCCGCCTTTTGCTAAGACCACCAAAGGGGTGGCAACAGCAGCAGCAGCCGGGTATTAAGGAGGCGGGGCCAGCTATATCCACGTGCCCGTAATTTCACCAGGGGTCTTTAGGGGCATTGGTCCCAGGTTCTCTGTATGCTGTATACAAATCAAGTGACCATATCACACAGAACTTGGATATTTCAATAATATCGATCGATTTTCTTTTGAGAGAAAGTTAGGTTTCAGCTGGATTTACATAGTCTGCTCAGCCGTGATCTGGATATTAATTTAAAGGGGATTCTTCCTGAAAATTCTAGATATTTATAGTTTATTTTGTTATAGTAGTTTTTGGGTGAAAGCAGTGACCTCAGAAATACAAAAACTAAACGTAAACAAGGTGCTAATAAAAATAACTGGCAAGAAAAACTATCAAATTAAGGTTTCTTCTACAAAATTCTAGCTAATTATATATTCAATTATAATATATAATATAATATTTATAATTCAGTTAAAATCAGTTTGGCATTGTTTTTCAATGCCAAAAGAGCATAAAAAAAAATCGCAGTTTACCGAATAAGCATGACACAACACTTTTGTTGACGTCAAAACATAATTAACAATATATAGTACATATGTATATATTATTATTTAAACAAAAACACACACGCGACGATGAGAGATGGCAAGAGATGATTTTAATTCCTGGGTTCCCGTTCCGCCTTGGATGGCGTCCATCTCTCGGGAATGAGTCTAGACGTGCGACAGCAACAAAACTGTAAAGATAAACCCCCAGTGGCAGTGATAAGGCCCCACCGACGTCACATATTAAATAAAAGGGGGTTTGTTTTCTTCTGTTTTTCCTTTTTTTTTTGTTTGTTTTCTTTTTAATAATTTAAACCTATTTATTCGAGAATACTTCGAACATGCGTGTTGTGTGTATCGTATTAAAATCTCATTCGATATTTCTAGGATATAAATAGAATTGTGATTTGTTGTTGTCTTCCATTTGTTATACAATTAATTTACATTAGCTTTAGTTATAGTTTAGTTTAGAAGACGCTTTCTTAGGACTAAGAAAATATTCATTATGCATTAAGAGTGCTACCTGGGTTTCAGTTTTTCAGTTATTATTTATTAGTTTCAATTGTTTCGTTTACGTTTCTCCTTGGGTTGAGTTTCTTTTAGCTTTTTTGTATTGTTAATTTGTTGTTTCCATTTAAGGTTGAGGTTGATCTCTCTCGTTTGTGTATCTTTTGTCTCCTGGAAGCGCACTTTTGTTCCGATTATCTCCTCCAAACTCTCTCTCTTTAGACTCGTTCTCCTCTTTCTCCTCATGTTAACTATTTCACAATTTGTTTTGAATAAAGCCCCTCGATCCGGCTTCTTATCAGCGTTTAGTGATAAGCGAATTTTTGGCTGGCTTCTTTTACTATTTTGTTTGTTTTTGGAAGTTTTGTATGAGTAATCATCTTCAGAGCAGGATCCTCCGTGTGTCTGCGAAATTGTGCTAAATACGAACTTAGGCCTAAAATTGGGGAGCTTCTTTGCGGATCTCTCTCTGGTTCCAGTATATATTGCCAAGGAGCCTGCGTAGGTATATATCTATTGTTAATACAGCTTACATATGTACAGAATAGCTTTAAAATATATCATATATTAAGAGTTGGGGTTAGGTTTGGGGGCCTCGTAATCTCTGCCTTGCTCAGATTCTCAGTCATTTTGGCGGACGCACTGCACTGGTTGTGTGTACATATATTTTGTGGTTCTATTTCCTATGGCTCAGTTTATGCGGCGGCTTAGTAACTTAGTTAATTAATTAGTCGGCTCTGCTGTCTGCTCTACGTTGTATATATATAAGTTAAGTTAAGTTAAGTTACATAGAATACTCGTTCGAAATACTTGGTAATGTGTGGAATGTCTCTTACCGGAGCAGGGGGTAAGGAATGTGTTTACAATTCTTACAGGCTACAGGGAGAAGGACGCGAAATTGGCACAGAAATTTAAAATAATTATTATTCTAATTAAGGTTATATATAATTGGATTGTAAGTTCAGCTAGCTCTTGCTCTCTCCCTTACTCATTCGCTGTCTCTTTCCTTTTGAACTTACCCAAGAATCATTGGGAACTTGTGGAGGGAAGGAAGTGTGTCTAGCTTAGGCCTAAATGTTTGTTAAATACTTGGTTTTGCTTTTAAGTACCAGCTACAGGTTACAGGTTACAGTTTAAGGTTAAAAAAACCTTTAAAATACACTCAAAGAAATTCAATTACACGTACAATTGCTGATCATTTGTATGGTGGTTGTAAGGAATGCTGCCTTTTTTGAGTTACTTAGAAAACTATTTGACATACCGCCCGCGACCACGGCCACGTCCTCCGCCGCGTCCTCCACGACCGACGCTCGACGTTGCCTTGATCTTCTCCTTGTCCTTGTCCCCCTCCCACTCCCTATCTCACAGAGTGCTACGGCCGGATCGTCCCACAGCGCCGACAGCGCCATTGGGTCGATTGTGCCGACGCTTATGGAGATAGAGGCCAGCCGCCTGTGCAAAGGCCGAGCCACAGATCTGGCAGACATAGCGCTTGACCTTGTCGTGGATCTGCTTGTGGTTCTGCAGGTTCTTGGTCGACTTGAATGTCTTGCCACAGATGTCGCACTTGAACTCCTCGTTGCTGTAGTGCTGCTTCAGGTGCTCGAACAAACTGTTGCGGGCCACAAACGATTTATTGCACTGGGGATAGTCACACTTGTAGCACCGCTCACGCTCATCCTGATGGACAATCCGATGGGCATTGAGGTGGCCAGGTGTGGCGAAGCTCCGGCGGCATACTTCACAGCCATAAGGCTTGACCACATCGCTGCCCGCCTCTGTTGAATCCTCCTCAACCTTCACGTCCAGTGCAGGTAATGATTTTGATGCTGCTGCAGCGTTCCTCTTGCGACCTCTACCGCTGCTCACTGCGACGACGGGAGGCGGCGCTGCCTCATCCTCCATTTCGTCCGCGGTGCCGGGCTCCAAAATGCTATGATTCATGGCCAGCGAGGGCAGGAATAATTCCTCGTTGTGCCGCCGCAAATGCTCATCATAGTTGGCCTTCTCCCGGAAGCTCGCAGTGCAGAGTTCACAATTGTATTTGACCTCGTTGCCGGCGCCTAAATGCAACTGCTTGTGACTCTCAAACTCCTCGGCATTGTGGAACTGAATGGTACAAATATTGCAAAAGTATCCTCCGCCCAGGCTGGGCTGATGGCTAAGCATATGGAGATCAAGTTCACGCAGCGTCTGCACAATCTCGGGACAGTGCTGGCATTTGAACGGCGGTATATCCTCATCCATGAAGAACATCTGATCGTAGTATATGTAATTGGCAACAAACTTACGGTCGTTGCGTTCGCAATTTAGGCGCTCCATTTTCTGTTTGGAGTAATCGAAGCGCAGCTGCGAGATGCGCTTAGATATTTGAATGGTGGTCACATCGATCAGTTGCTGCAACTCCATGGCCATCTGATGGAGGCCCTCACCGCGTCGTTCCTTGCTGCGATAATCGGGATCGAAGCGATTGTAGAAGCACTGGTAACGTTTCACCATGCTAAGCAACTTGGCCGTCGAGGTGTCGTTCCAAATGGCCGAAAAGCGGCGACGATAAGAAGTTTCCTGCAAGTTAAAGAGAGCATGCAATTAGTAAAAGTCACATTCTTACTTGACCAACTCACCTTCACCACGGCATCGGACATCTTGTCGTTGTAGCTGTAGACCTCGTTGAGGAAATGAAGCTCCTTGAAGTACCACAACGTGCTAATGTTGGTCTTCTCCAGAGCCATTCGATTGCACTCTCGCTTGTAAACTGTCCGCAGGTTGTCCCACTTACGGGTGATGGCATCCTTGGCCAGGGAGATCTTGAAGCGGCTTTTAAACTCCAGCACGATCCAGTCGAGGAAGCGGGCACGCTTGACACGATCACGAAACTGGGGATTCCCATGGTCCCACAAAAGGGATTGCGCTTGTACGATTGAATGAGGAACTTGATCATTTTGCGGTCCTTGATGTGCATCGTCACCTCCCGATCACGCTTTAGTTTATAAATAAAAGGAAAAACAAATTATAAGGATTAAAAACAAGAAGAAAAACCATGGTTCTTTCCGAGGGTTCAACGAGTGTGCAAGACAGATTACATCTGCAGTTGTTGCGACACAAAACTCACCCCCAGCAGGGACTCCTCCACCATCTCGTCGTAGCTGAGAAACTCGGAATCGAGGCACAGCTGGCTCGGCTCGAAGGGCTCGCCGTAATCCATATATTCCCCTGAGTTGTCATCCATGTAGCTGTTGTCCAGATCACCGTAATCATCCGTAAAGGAGTCCCCATCGCCCTCGCCATCGGCCATGATGAGAGGCGTCTTGTTTGGCATTTCCACTTCGCGAGGTTTTGTCACCTTCATGCGCGCCTTGGGCTTGCGGGTGCTGCTTACCGCCGGCACATCGCTTTCGGGCAGTATGGCCTCGTTGTCGTCATCGTGATCCGCTTCGGAATCGGCCATGTCATCCATGAACTCCTCCTGCTCCTCGTCGGCATCGCTGCAGGGCAAATCCAGCAGCTCCTGTTTGATAACCATCTGGGGCTCCAGCAGCGCCGTATCGGCGTCCGTCAAGTCTTCGATCTCATGAAAATTGGGCAGCAGCTGCTCCCCACTGCCGCTATGGATGCCCGTTTCCGCCAGAGATATCGCCTCGCCGAGACGCAGGCCTGGGAGAGTGCTGGCTGAATTGGGTGAGGAGGAGGACGTACCGCCGCCGCCGCCGCCAGTGGCCGCTGAGGAAGAGGTGGAGGCGCCGATGGCGGCGGAAGCTTCGGCAGGATTCGCCACAGACTGATCGCCCAGATGCGCCGTCTGCATGTGCCCGATGAAGGAGTCAAAGTAGAGGAACTTCTCGCTGCAGAATATGCAGCGCAGCGCAAAGTACTGGAAGTCCTCGGTGGCCGTCACCACCCCGCAGTCCTTGCCGCAGTGACGGAAAATCTCCTCATCGTTGGTACGTGGATACGCCAGCACACTCATGGCGCCGCCTGCGATCCGGGTCTCGTCCGGTCCCGGGGCACGCGCAAGCAGTTAATTTCAGGTTTCGCCTCGGTGTTGGCTGCGCACACACTCAGCTCCTAATTTCTCCGGTTCTCGGTATCCTTTTTTAAACAATTATTGCCAATAAAAAAACTTTGCCGTTTTTTGGTGTTGGTGTTGTTTAGAGATGGGATTAGGGCGTACAGTTGTATTTTGTTTGTGTATCGACATCGAAAAATGCGGTATCGATACCGCCGTAGCGTTACCAACTACCCTTCGGAAAAGTTGTTGAAATTTGTTAAATGTTTCAAATTTAAACTTTAAATAGGTTTATAAAAACCTAATATGCTTATGCTTGTTAAAAAATTGCAAAAAATGTTTATGAATAAGCTGGAATCGAAGCACAAATAGCTCAAGTTACAAAAAAGCTAGAAACTGGCTACAAACTAGCCGCACTATCGTGTGTCATTTTCCGTCACTTAGCCTCTGGTCACACTGTCTTCTGATTTCGTCGGCTCATTCAGCGTGTTTCGTTTATCTTGCTTTAATTTACTCAAAGAAACAAATAGTTAACTAAATACGAGTCACAATGGCTTCGATTAGCTTGCTGAACCCTAAGGCCGAGTTCGCCCGCGCCGCCCAAGCCCTGGCCATCAATATCAGTGCCGCCAAGGGACTGCAGGATGTGATGCGCACCAATTTGGGCCCCAAGGGAACCGTCAAGATGTGAGTAAAACTGCATAAATCTAGAACTATTACCAGCCGCTTTGCAATGCGGCAGGAGTTTTAGTCAAAATTCAAGAAAACACATCCCAAAACAAGCGTTTTGTTCGCAGCTGCTTCTGCGGCAAGTTTGAGGTTAGGCCAGAACTTAGCGGCATGCGTCATCGTAGGCCAGAAAGAGATGGCATCATATTAAAGCTAAAACAAGAAATTAGTAATTTTTTATGTTTTCAATTAGTTCTGCGGAAATTAGTTCAATGAAACGAAGTTTATGAGGTCTTGTTTACATAGGATGTGGGTAGAATACTTGAGTTTTGACCACAGATGTTTAGGAAAAAGAGCCCTAAGCGCTCACGTGCTCTTTGAAAAGTTTACTCATGTTTTTCTGGAACTTTCTTAGGCTGGTCTCTGGCGCCGGCGACATTAAGATCACCAAGGATGGCAACGTGCTGCTCCATGAGATGCAGATTCAGCATCCCACTGCCTCGATGATTGCCAGGGCCAGCACTGCCCAGGATGATTCCACCGGAGATGGTACCACCACCACCGTGATGCTGATCGGTGAGTTGCTAAAGCAGGCCGACATCTATCTGTCGGAGGGTCTGCATCCACGCATCATGACCGAGGGCTTCGAGAAGGCACGCGACAAGGCATTGGAAGTGCTTGAGAAGGTCAAGGTGCCCGTGGAGATCAGCAAGAAGAGTCTTGTGGAGATTGCCAATACCAGTTTGAAGACCAAGGTGCATCCGGCACTGGCCGATCTCCTCACCGAGGTCTGTGTGGACGCCGTCCTGACCATTGCCAGCAGTGATAAAAACAAGCCGGTGGATCTTCATATGGTCGAGCTGATGGAGATGCAGCACAAGACCGACACCGATACCCAGCTGGTGCGCGGTCTGGTCATGGATCATGGCGCTCGTCATCCCGATATGCCCAAGCGCCTGGAGAACGCCTACATCCTGACGGCCAACGTGTCGCTGGAGTACGAGAAGGCCGAGGTTAACTCTGGCTTCTTCTACAAGACCGCCGAGGAGCGTGAGGCCTTTGTGCGCGCCGAGCGTGACTTTATCGACCAGCGCGTAAAGAAGGTGATTGATCTGAAGCGCTCCGTGTGCGACGGCACCGACAAGACCTTTGTGCTCATCAACCAGAAGGGCATCGATCCCATCTCGCTGGATGCTCTGGCCAAGGAGGGCATCCTGGCTCTGCGTCGTGCCAAGCGCCGCAACATGGAGCGCCTGGCCCTGGCCTGTGGCGGAACTGCCATGAATTCGTTCGATGATCTGCAGGAAGAGAATCTGGGCTACGCCGGTGTGGTGTATGAGCATGTGCTGGGCGAGAACAAGTACACGTTCGTCGAGGACTGCAAGAACCCCCTGTCGGTGACAATCCTGATTAAGGGTCCCAATAAGCACACCATCACCCAGATCAAGGATGCCATCAGGGATGGTCTGCGGGCCATTAATAACACCATTGCGGATAAGGCTTTGGTGCCTGGCGCCGGTGCCTTTGAGGTGCGTGCCTACAATGAGCTGGTTGCCTTCAAGGAAACCATTAAGGGCAAGTCTCGCCTGGCCGTGCAGGCCTTTGCCGATGCCCTGCTCGTCATACCCAAGACGCTGGCCGTCAACAGTGGCTACGATGCCCAGGACACCATCGTTAAGCTGACCGTGGAGGATCGCCTGAATCCGGATCTCGTCGGCCTCGATATTGCCACCGGTGAGCCCATGAAGCCGGTGGATTTGGGCGTCTACGACAACTATATTGTGAAGAAACAGATCCTCAACTCGTGCTCGATCATTGCCAGCAACCTGCTGCTCGTCGACGAGGTGATGCGTGCGGGCATGACCAGCCTCAAGGGCTAGTAGTCTTGGTCGCCTTAAACTCTCACGTTAACCAAGTTAATGCACCGCCTGCTACTCAACCCGCGTCGTCAAACCAACCGAAACAAGCATCAACATCGCCCGAAACTGTTGCGGTTGCGCAAGTATTCACAAAAAAGAGAAGAAAACTAAAAGAAAAAAACAAATCGAAACAAAATCACCTAACATACACACAGCAAAACATATACTTTATAACGCTAATATATTTTCTCGTATTTTTTTCATTACAACTAATGTTTACTTACTCCAAAAACCAACCATTGGTTTAAAAAAATAAAAACTACCATTGAAACTTATAGAACAAAGCTTTGTTTTGGTCAATTATTACCAATATTATGTATTAATATTGATTTTTATACCATTTTATATGGGTTTAATGTATGAATGTAGTATATTGGTGACAATTGTTGATACATCAACCATATATCTATAGTTTTTACCCCTACTTTGTATCGCAAACGGAAAGAATGAACTTTGTGTGGCTTCGGCTTGCTTATCCCACTGTCAACATATTGAAATATGATTTTAATTGTAAAACAGCTGCAACTAATATCTTTCTAATATAATTTTTATATTTTCCAATGCCTTGACTTTAAGAATTTGAAATCCCCTGTTAAGGAAAGCCATAAATTTCGGCACTAATCTCTATTCCAGGCTGTGCATTATCCTTAAAGCCAAACGGATAAGTTTCCATTTTCGATGTAGTCCCCTCTTCCCTTCGCATTCCCTTTCGATTTGCCCTTCCAGTGTGACACATAGGAAATGCACAAGAAAATAACAAGAAAACAAAAAATAAACAAAACAGAAAACAGAAAAACGAAAAATAGAAATATATATTGCGGCCCATTGGCATCGGTCTCGGTTCCCTCACGGAATTATGCTAATGTGGCCGCCGTCGCCGACTCGCACAGTATATATCGCAATTTCCCCCGGGGGCGGCCTTCGATTTGACACGGTCCCTGGCAGCGAGGGTGCACTGTAGTGAAAGAAAAGTAAAAAAAGAAGAGAAACCCTTTCTGGGGAAAATGTCTAAAAGGATTTCTCATGTCAACGCACGGAAATTGATATTGAAATGAGCATGGTAATGAGCTTCAAATTTGTTTCCTTCGCTTTCTATAGTCTTTTACACATGTTTGCATAGAAATATATATAAAGATATATCGTATATATATATTTATAGTATGAAAGGTTTTTTGATAAATAAGTATATTTTTATATGAATTTATTTTAATTGGAGAAGAAAACCTTTTATTTTATGAGTTTAAAATGGTTAGTATTAACTTTAAATTTAAATATTTAATTAAAACATGAAGGGAAACTGATTTCGGGAAGCTAATGTTTATGTATCCTTGCAGTTTTCTTTTGAATTATGGGATCGAATCGAAAATCGAAGCTTTCTTTATATCAATATTTATCCAGATTTTTATATGACTATTTTTATTCGATAAATCAAAATTTAAGAAGTCATACCTAAGCCAAAAATGCATTAATTTTAATTCGGAAAGCGGTCGTATGTTAGTTTTTATTAGGTTAATAAAACTGCATACTCAGTTTAAAATGTAAAAAAATTCAAATTTTTATTAAGTTTTGAACATTTTAACGATGTAACCCCTTAATTTAATTTTTAAATTTTTGAAATATTTTTATTTTGCCCGGATATAGCTAGAAAGATTCTCCTGCTGATGCTGATCAAGAATATATATAATTTATAGGGTCGAAAATGACTCCTTCACGTTCTTTTAAGCTTCTGACTGAAGGCCCATTACCATTTTTGAACCGATATTAACAATATTTTTATTTGAAATTTTTCGACAAATCAAATTTTAAAAATCTCATAACTAAGCCAAAAACGCATTAATTTCAATTCGGAAAGCGGCAGTATGCTAATTTTTAGCAGGTAAATAAAACTGCATACTCCATTTAAAAAGTGAATTTTTGGCCGATTTTTGCAAATTTTCATGATGTAACCCCTTATAAAATTAAAAAAAATTGTTTTCTCCCAGGCATAGCTAGATCGACTCGCCTGTTGATTCTGATCAAGAATATATATGATTTATAGGGTCGGAAACGACTCCTTCACTTAGTTTTAAGCTTCTGACTGAAATTATAATACCCTTCAAGGGTATACAAATTTAAGAATTCCTTTACTTGAATATTTGTATTTCCAGACCAACAACTATTATTTTGCGGCTGTGTGTTGGCACAGCACAACACACACAATACACACACTCTCTATCAGCGACTATTTGAGGTGCAAATGTATTTAAATGCGTTTGGAAATGTATTTTATTCGTTTGGGAATCCAGGGCGGAATCCTTTTGCTTCCTCCGTTGGGTTATTTGATTTCTCACCCTCGTCACAGGACACACACACACACACAGGACACACCCTCGGCACCCACACACACACACACACACACACACACACATCCTGCAACCTGCTGCTGGATTTATGTTGAACATTTGATTCTTGGTCAGCGCTTTGTTACCTGTCGTCGTCCCTGTCCCTGTCCATGTCCCCCCTGTCCCCAGGACCTTCTGTGTTTGTGGACCTCAAATTGGATTTTCCGCCGTTTCCAATTTGATGATTTAAGACAAATGAAAGGACATTTGTCCACGGCAAAACTTTGGGTTAAATGTAAATTTTTGCATTAAAAACAAAAACAGAAACAAAAACAAAAAAAATGAAGAGAGAAAAATGGGAAGAAGTTTCCATTTCGCTGACTTCATTTACAAATCCCCCGGCTCGGACTTGGTGTGACTTAAATGAATTTGTTGTTGGCATTTTTACGCAAATTTCCTTTTCTTGCGCTGTCTGTCGTTTAATTAATTTTTACAGCCAGCTGAAAGGCGAAAGGCTGGATGCTGAAAACATGAGAAAATACAAAAAAAAAGCAAGGAAAAACTGCTGGAAATTGATTTTTGTTTGCCTTCGACTTAGGGGAATTAAATAAATTAGCGCTAAAAGGATTACGACGCCCGTCGGTCAGCCTTTGCTCACGCCTGCTCCTGCTCCTGATCCTTCTCCACCTCCATTCGTTGCTTCATAAATCATTCATTTCCGCAACTAGGACGAAGGCGGCCAAATAATTTCTTATTTAATTTGTACATGTCCTTGCCGGTTTTGCAAGTGCTGCTCCGTTTTTCTAGCTGAGTTTTTGCGTAAGGAAACTGAAATGTTAGAAGTTCTTAGCTATAGAGAATGGGAAAATTAGATTTATATCATTAAAGAAGTAATATGAGTATGCAAATTTATTTATTTCATAAAGACTAACATAGAAAGGGTGTCTGCATTAAAATAAAAGCATTTGTGGCTTAATTGTGAGTTTTTAAAACATTTGATTTGATTTTTTCATATAAAAATATCAATAAAATCAATATTTATGGTAATATAATTCAGTCAGAAGCATATTACGCTGTGAAGGAGTCATTTCCGACCCTATAAATCATATATATTCTTGATCAGTACCAACAGGCGAATCTTTCTAGCTATATTTTTAAGAAACACATTTTTTTCGATTTTTTTTTAAATTTTTTCAAACAAATCCAAATTGTCAAAAATCGGCAAAAAATTCACTTTTTAAATGGAGTATGCAGTTTTATTAACCTGCTAAAAATTAGCATACTGCCGCTTTCCGAATTGAAATTAATGCTTTTTTGGCTTAGTTATGAGATTTTTAAAATTTGATTTGTAGAAAAATTTCAAATAAAAATATTGTTAATATCGGTACAAAAATGGTAATGGGCCTTCAGTCAGAAGCTTAAAAGAAAGTGAAGGAGTCATTTCCGACCCCATAAATCATATATATTCTTGATCAGCATCAACAGGGGAATCGATCTAGCTTTATCCCGCAAAAATGTATTTTTTTCCAAAATTTAAAAATTTTATAAGGGGTTACATCGTTAAAATGTTCAAAACTTAATAAAAATTTCAATTTTTTTACATTTTAAACTGAGATGTAGATTTGTTAACCAAATAAAAACTAGCATAGGAAACTAGCTTTCCGAATTAAAATTTATGGGTTTTTGGCTTAGTTCTTAGTATTATTTAAACTTTAATTGGTCGAAAAACTTTAAGGTATTTTAATGTTATTTTTCTTTTAAATTTTAAATTGGTTTTTTAAGGTGTTTTATAGATTTTTTTACAAAGTATTTAATAAAACAGCTGAAATAATCACAAACATTTTTACTCGCTGAAAATCTTCCTCTGTAGACGCTTTGCTATTGCCTACTTTCCAGCGCTGACCGTGTCGCGTTTCCTTTGTCCTTACATTCACTTTAACTTTTACTTTCACTTTCGCTTTCGTTTCGTTAATTTGGGTTTTGCCCGCGAAATGAAATTGCAGATAATTTGCAAGTAGGCGGAGGGACAAATAAAGAAAAAAAAAGAAAGAAACAAAAAATTAAGCCGAAACAAATTGCAGGCAAATTGCTCGAAAAGCAGCGAGGAAGAGCGTCCTGGAAAAGCGTTCCTGGCCAAATTCGAGGGGGGCAGGACATGGCGGTGCTCTATTATGCGGCATTGCGTGCAAATGGCTTTTCACGTGCAAAAATCCAAAAATAAAGGGAGCCCAAGAAGACTGCAACAGGACGAAAAACAGGACGCCCGCAGGCAATTCAACTTGTTGTCTTCTATTTTCCCCTCGGTTTTTCTTTTTCTTTCTCATTTTTTGCTTTTCTTTTTCTTCTTCTTCCATTCCCCCCCTCATAATTTTCCCTTTTGTTTAGGCTAGCGCAATTTATTTGTTGTCTAGAGAGAAAAAGAAAAGTGGGAGTGACCCATGCATAAATTTTACAATAAAAAGGAAAGCCCAAGAATTAGGTGAAAATGTGGGATGTACATTGTTAATATATATATAAGATATATTTTATTTATGTATTGTTAAGTTTTTTTATTTTATTGAAATGTATTTTTTGTTGTATTTTGATATATTTTCTGTCAGTTGAATACCTGCGCCAGGTCATTGTCATTTTAGGGGTCAAGGTCGCGGGTCTGGCTCTATGTTGGCCCCACATGCGACCCGGTGAGATTAATCGTTTTACGATTCCCAATTTGGGGCCAAAAAAAAAAAAAAAACAAAAACATATCATTCATTCTCGAGTGTCAAAAAGACTGCAAATCCAGCAGATGTTGCCCGGCCAAAAAGTTGTGCGTTCTCATAAATTCTGCAACTCATTCCCTTTTTGGAAAATAATAAATAAAATATATATATATAAAATAAGAAAGTAAATTATATATATATATTCCCCTGATTTTCGCACAGACTAAATGTCATCGGGTGAAATCTTAATGCAGA